GAATTTTATTAAAGGTGATTTTAAAATTGTGTTAAAATGTGAAATTGAATAAAGAAAATGTTTCAATGCTCGCATAGACAGGAGCAACAGCATAATAGTCCTAAGTCGTCTGAGTTATCCTCTCTTCCATTTCGACGCAGCAATGAAGATGAATTTCTTAAGCTTTACAAATTTTTTCGCAGCAGCAGCAAAACATAAATGACCTTATTTTTTCGATGTACACGCAGTAAAAAATTGATTTTCTCACTTTTCACAGAAAAAGTACAAGGCAATGCTCTTGGAAGCCATGGAAATCAAAGAAGGATCTCCCTTGCGTCCTCTTTAGCTTCTCTCAGCAGATGTATTTTCTTTTATTATGTCGACTTGCGATTTAAGCGAGACAAGCTATTTTAAAGCTCACTTGAAGGCATATTTTTCATTGGCTTATAAGCCAAATTCTGAATAAAATAAATATTTCACATAACGGCCTTAGAATTGGTCGTCCTTATAGGCCAAATTCTGAATACAAATAAACTTCCACACAACTAATTATCACATTTTAATTTTTAATTAATGAAGCGATGTGAACAAAATCAATTACTTCCTACACTGATAAAAAAAAAAAACAGTCTTCTAAACAGTACAACGCAGAGTAGGATGCCAATGCCAAAACACTAGGTAGAACTTTCTCTAAAATTATTTCATACTTTGGAATCAGTTCAACAAAAAGCATTTGATTATAAATAAATTGGAACACTGCACATGTAGACGAAGAAGTTGGGGAAAGCTTAACTCGCCTGTTATGATCAAGAATATTTGTATATATATTTCATGGGGTCAAAGATGCTCTTTTCAGCCTTCTTCTGAAGCCAACTTCTTTTAGCCTTTTTAAAGGATGCAGGGTAGTTTTGCCTCTTTGTCACCGTGGGTAACAATGCCAATGAAATTAAGCCATTCACCAGAACGCACACACGCACACAAATTAAGTGAAATGTAAATCAGCAAAAAATATGCTGTATGAATTAAAGTTTTTAAGCCGCTGCATGCATACAAAAACCGGGAAATGAAAATTGTAATGTTATTCGGAAATGTGGTTGACTGTAAAATACCCATAAATGTGTTTAACCAAGAACTTTATACTCATATCTCTATCTGTATAGCCTTTGTTTTAAATCATTCAACCATTCTCTTAACGAGGCAACAATTTTGACATATTGAAAGAAACTGCATTAACTTATGCTATTCAAACCATTATTATGTTCCAAATAAGCTCATAACAACAAATCGAGTGCAATGAGTTCAAATTACATTTACTGTTTTTTTAGTATTCGCAATAAGAGAGTCGTATTGAATATGCAATTGTTGAAAAGGGTTAAAATGTACAATTTATGCATAAGAGTCAATACCTACTATTTGTATGCGGCTTTTCACGGCTTTTATCAATGGCCGCATTCACTCTGACCAGTCTGTCAAGTCCTGATATTTGCCTAGTTTAAGCTCGAATTTACAAAGAACTGAAAATCCCTTGCAGCCAAGGCTTATGTCTGTCCCCAATTTTTTATGGGTCAACAGTGGGTTTTATGGTAGTCATTGGGTTGACTGATAAGCAAAAGGGTCGCAATTAGTCGATATCCTTTCTTCTTGTTAACATTGAGCTGTGCCTAGCAGAGCTCTTTGGTATTGAAGCACGTTCTCAATTCCCTATTAAGTTTCATGGGACAGGCAATGGTCAGCAGTGGTATGTTGTTGGAGCCAGGAGGCAACAAATGGCATAGTTTACTACTGCTAGGCTTTGTTCTGTTCGCCTTTTGTCGTTCCCAAGAACTTTTGTCCATTCGATACGCATAAAAATCAAACTACAATTAGAAACAGACTCCCAGTAGCTCGATAAGGCGACTGAGGGGCGACCACCACTCAGGACTATTAAAGAAAAGTCCCAAGCCACAACACACACACACACACACAATAGAGCTTTATTGCTTATGCAGCAGTATGAATCCTTAGCAAAAGATGGCGAGATGAACAAATTCGTTTGTTTGCTTCTTTGAGGCAACGTATCAAATTATCTATTTATGTTGAAGACTAGCAATGTATTTACAGCTTAACTAACAGCAGGATAAACATTCAGGGGCTCAATCAAAACAGTTGGCGGCAGTCCTTCTCATCCATTTGTTGAACGCCGAGAGCTTGGGAAAATTTATAAAATATATATCGCTTAAGCCAGAGGGCCTATAGTTTGTCGGCTGTCATTGTTGGCCTTTTTGCCTCTAGTGATTTATTTGGCTAAGCTGTCCCAAAGCCAACCAATGCACAAAATCCAGCACACACATAAGAGCGAAGCCTCCTTTTGCTAATCAAGTCGGACATAGATGTATGTGTGTGTGTGTGTGTATCCTGTATACAGATGTGTGCGCCCTGCTGGACACTTCATTTCATTTGCCCTGGAAATGACATGCCGTGTATCATTCATTGAATTGAATGAGGCGCACGAGTGAGCAGTCCAAGACTATGGACGATGTCCTGAATATCCTTTCTGGCTAGGTGATAGGCGCTTAACACATGCGGGTCAGCTGGCACGACCTTACCCCAAAGTGTTGCAAAATAAGAAATATGCACAGTGAGTGTGTGAAAGTAACACATTCACACATACACACACAGACACTCAGACATCTGTTTGCCCATGGGACGCCTTTAATTTTGAGTGTAGATGAGTTAATTAGATGATTTAGCTGCCGCTTTTTTAGCGGCCACAAAGCACATTAATCACTTGCTTAAACGAAGCAACACAATGATCGTCCATTTGCAATGCCTCTAAATAACATGCCATTATTTACATGCATATACACAGGTACACGCACACAAACACACTCACACACACACACACACTCATACACACACATACACACACACACACACATCGTAATCAAGGCGGGACAGGCACAGACATCTCCTAGGCATTGTAAGCTGATTGCGGTATTTATAGCTGGCGCGCCCACTTTCACCTCGCTGCTGTCTCTCATTAAAATTCACATTCAAACATTTTGCAAATACACATGTATTAACAAACCTTTTACGCGAGTGAGTTCTTTAATCACACGGATTTTGTGGCTGCACGCAACAGCGTCTTACCCATGGGAGCGGAAGCCGCACAGCGGTGTGGCAGGGGCAGAAGCTGGAACAGGTGCTTCTCGCTATTACTGCTGTTGTTGTTGTTGTTGGTGAAATGCCAGCGGTGTCACTGCTTAAAAAAGGTGTTTTTTTTTTGTGCAGAGGTACACACACAAAGATGCCGTCGCATAAATCGAGCGGAAACAAATGCATAATGAGAGCCGAGTAGCGACTACTGCTAAGTGGCTGCAGCCCACAGCCCACAGCCTACACTGAAACCAACAAAACATTATGTACAAATTGGAAGTCTTTAAAATTACGGCTTTTGTTTAAGTGAAAAAATCGATTTGTATCTGCTATTGATGTTGATCAGAAATATATATACTTCATGGTGTCGGATGCTTTCTTCTGCCTTTTTCATGCTTTTGCACAAAATCAATATACCCTTTTTACGCATTTTTATTGTCTTCAGGGTATTAATATGTACAAACAAATAAAAAATGTTTTTGTTTGATTGGTCTGTCTTATTTGTCTCAGTGTACCATCTACTGTATACTGCCAAGTGGGCCGCATTCGCATTGACCATGGCCATGAACTTTATTTGCGCATAACCCTGATGCTGCTTCTCCTGATGCCGCTGCTACAACTGCTACTGCTGCAACTGCTGATGTTGCTGAGGCTAGCTGGATTACGTAATGAAGGCAGGGCCAGACAAACGTCTCAAAATGAGTTCACACACTGCCACTGCCACTGCCACTTGAGCACTTGACGTTGCCCATCATCGCCAAGATGAGAATCTGTGCGCAGTGCGAATCATCCCGAATTGTTTCACAGAGCGCCATGGTGTTAGTTGAATGACCGAGGCTGTATGTAAACCGCTTAGACGGTATCAAGTTAAGCAATTTGCCTCATGTAATTTGTAATTTTTGACTGGATTTGGTCAACGCTTTGATTACCGATGCGCAAAGCTGTTGAAACTAGGCGACAAGACTCTGATGGGTGGCGGCAGGTTTGTGGAGGTTGCAAAAGTTTTTTGTTAGCGCCTTTTGTTAGGTGCAACAAAAGTTTCATTTTGGTCGCCTGGTGTAGTTTACTTTACCTAACCGAGTGGTCGTCAACGAAATTCTTAACTTCATTTAGAACTCATTAAAAACTTTTGCATAATTGCATAAATTTGCAAAGTCAATGGAAAACTTTTGCTAAACATCGCTAAGCAAGAAAAACAATTGCGCCAGCTGTGGGAGTGGGAAGCGAATTTAAGACGATGCAAGTAATACAAATATTGTTTTTTTTAGAACGTATTAAAATTTATGTTATTGATTACTTTAATAAGTCAAATTCTCAAAAGATGAATCAAAATCAAGTGTCCAAGCAACTGATAAGGATAAATTTCCTTGAAAGATAAGTCAACATTTTATATGCAAATCGAATTGAGACCTGAGCAGAATATTGGGGAGTATTTTGCGGATTTAAGCTTATAGATTTAATGCCACAAGTGACTAATATAAAACGTTTTGTTTATTTGCATGCATTGAGATAATAGAGAACGAGACAAGATTTGGAATTTCATTTGCATAATTTTTGAAACGCCATCCAATTAGATTAATATTCTCCTTCCACTTCATAGTTGTATTATAAATCTCATATATATGTACATATTTATGCCTGCCTGTTTATACATTGGCATCTGCCAACATCACTCTGTGTACAGCTTTAAAGCTCTGCTAACAGCGCCAGCCTAACAGCGATAAGCTTTTTCTACGAAAAGCTTGAGTGAAACTTATTGCTGCTAAGATGTGTGCATGTATGTATGCACCGGCTTCACACGGGCGCGTTGATTTAGGACAATAACTAAAAATCAATCTGCACAATTTGAAAATATAAATGAATCGTAAAGAGAAAATGCAGTTACAGATGTTTAAAAACAAAACATAAATATTATTTATTATATAAGAAAGCCAAGGCACTAAACAAGTTGTGCATAAATTGAACACAATTAAAACATTTAAATTACATGATTAGCTTTATGTGCGCAATCGACGCTTTTGTTGTGACGCAAGCGGCGTGGAGGTGGAAGTCGGATTTTGATCCGTTTCCGAGTCGGTATCCGCAGCCTTTTTACGGCCAGCTCTGCCCGCCGTCAGCTTTTTAATAGCTACCACCTCTATATTCGGCTTGCCTCTTGGACGCACCAAAGTCCCAATGGACACACGCGGCTTGGCCTTATTTTCCTTCTTTGTCTTCTTGACCTTCTCCAACTCATCTGCAGCGAGATCACCCTTTTTCTTATATTTTTCGGGCTATAATATGAAATTAAAAGTTCCACTTTGGATTCATGGGTCACAATATAAGTCGCATACAAACCTCCTTTGCTTTGAGCTTCGAAGCCTGCTTTTTTGACTTCTCCTTCACACCTTCCGCAACTGCGGTTAATTCCTGCATTTTGTTTTTTTTGGCGGCCTGTAAGAGTTTAGTGATTTGAAAAACGGTGTGATATTTTCAAAATGCATACAAACCTTAGTTGACTTGGGCGCCTTTGACTGCTGTTTCGGGCTTTCAGTCTCTGCTCCCTCTACTTTTTCGGTTGGCTTAGTTTCTTGCTTCTTGGCCAGCTTCTTTTTTAACACTTTTTCCTTCATCTTCTCAATTGAACTGTGTTTCTTTCCCGCCAAAGGCAACTTAAAGGATAACTTCACTTGATTAAGTTCGCCTTTGGCAGCAGCTTTTTTCAGTTGCTTATAGAGAAGCTTGTGGAATCTTCTCTCATCGGTCATCTCATAGCCGGCAGACTTCATGACTTTCATTATTGCCTTAACCGAAGAGCCGGAGCGATTGTCTAGGATTTCAATGGCTTCTTTGGCCCAAGCCACTAATGATTTATTTGCCAAATTCTTCGTGGTAACGATGGCATCAGGTGGCGGTGTGGGAAAGGGATGATCATGATTGTTAACACTCCTCTCGTAGTGCGACAGTTGCGCTAATTCCGTTGCAGACTGCTCGAATTTTTCGTCCATGTGGTTATTGGACATTTCTTCATCCATTGAAAATTGTTTTAAACTTAAACTTTTCACAAGACAAATATGCTACAACACTAAACACAGTCAATCGCACACTAAATGATCAGAAAATCTGCAGATAGACAAAATGCAACGGTAATCGCATTTTGCCAGTTTCACTCAATCCGATTTCAGTTATCCAAGAGATGACACGAAAATCTATCGATAAAATCAAGAGAATAGAAAGAAGAGAGAACAGCCAAATTAATTACTCCGATGTTTACATACATTTGTGGAGAAAATGAAATGTTTTCAACAAACATTTCCTATTGCTTGCAGTTTTGTTTGAAACACATTTCATTTGACGTCTGACTTCGAACAGAATAATCCACATTTTTGTAGTTGATTTTGCTGTTGATCTTTTGGTCAAATATGAGGCACAGAATATATAATTTGAGTGCTTAATGATAACAAGTTATAATGAAACTTAGAGAATCTTGCGTCTTTAAGAAAGAAAAGAAAGGATACAAATATTTAAACACTTTACTTAGTGAAGTACAGCTAAATTTAGAATGAACATTTAACATGACTTTTTGTGTAATTTATTAATTCATCAATCGTATAATTTATACATACATAATGAAATGTTTATCTTTAATATTATTTAATTATACTCTTCTTGTATGTGTTGAACATTTAGTGGATGTGGTTGCTCTTTCTCCCGCTGCTAAATTATTTGGCAGTAAGAACATGTAACTGTTTCAGAGTTTTCCTCATTTTCACAGTAATGTGATCATCAACCCCTTACAGACAACAAACAGAATTTCTACGCATATTTCAACTTTAAATAACATTCTATTTACTTTAGGACATTAAACAAACAAATAATCAATATTATTGCATATGTAATTTTTCGTAAATATTTTTTTTTAAAACCATTTTAATTTTTTGTTTTTGTTTTTCATTTAAAGCAGTTTTGCACTTAATATTTCATTGTTTAGTTTTTGTTGAGTTTAGTTTGCTGTACAAATTGTTCACAAAGTTCGGTGCAGGGAACAGTGAGGGACGGGTGACAGGGAGACCAGGCCAGGGTACGGGCGGGTACAGAAAAGAGAACGTGTTTAATACTTGTGCGAACTGAAATAACGTCTTAAATTTGAACAAAAAAAAATGGACAAAAGAAGAGCAAAAGCGAAGCAACAAAAATATATATTCTTTAATTTGGTTTTGGAATGCTACGATTCTGTATGCGAACGAAATAAAATAAATCAAATCCAAGAAACATTTGAAATCAGAAATCAATAAGCAATTTACAGAGCACACACACTTAAAACCTAACAAAAATTGGGTTAAACTTTAACAAATGATCGACGGGTCGGCAACAAAATGTGTAAGGAGTTCCTGTTTTGTTTTGTGTGGGATTGAGGACAATTAATTGAATTTATGTACACTTTTTGGGATTGTTTGACAAATTTGTTAGCTAAAACACACATTCATTAAAATAGTTTCCGCTCATTTTGTGATTAGGACAATATTTAACTAGTTATTGTTTAGGCTGCGCGCTTCGGCTCTCTATATATGTATACACAAATCAAAATTTGTATAAGTATGTAGATATTATGTACGATATTATTAATATCCGTTTCGTGGGCTATATATTGTAATTGTAGTTTTATGTATATATATAGACGCATACACAGCGGATTATTGCAGAAGGAGGCGTGCCGCACGCTGCGCCGCCAGCTTAAATTATGAATGAAACAAAATTTTGGACATAAATCAAAAACAAAACAAATTTTTAAACAGAATCTAATGGCGCGAGTCCCTAGGATAGAATTCAGCCAAAATGGAGGCTGGAATACGCTTGAGCATCTCCTTGGGGAAAATACGCAGCAGCTGCCAGCCAATGTCCAAGGATTCGAAGACAGTGCGGTTCTCGTAGTTACCCTAAAAAAAAAAAAAAAAAAAAAATAAGAAAAAATCAATTAGCAAATGTGTGATAATTTTTTGGCAAATTGTTCGCTATCACTCACCTGCGAGATGAAGTTCTTTTCGAACTTTGTCAAGAACTCCAAGTAGAGCAAATCATCGGGCGTCAGAGCCTCCTCACCGACGACAGCCTTCATGGCCTGGACATCCTTGCCGATGGCATAGCAAGCGTATAGCTGATTGGACACATCCGAGTGATCCTTGCGTGTCATGCCCTCACCAATGGCGGACTTCATCAAACGCGACAGCGATGGCAGCACATTCACTGGCGGGTAGATCTGTCTGTTGTGCAGTTGACGATCGACGTAGATCTGGCCCTCGGTAATATAGCCAGTCAAATCGGGAATTGGATGGGTAATATCATCGTTGGGCATAGTTAGAATGGGAATCTGCGTAATGGAGCCATTGCGACCCTCTACACGACCAGCGCGCTCATAAATGGTGGCCAAATCGGTGTACATGTAACCGGGGAAACCACGACGACCGGGCACCTCCTCACGGGCAGCAGACACCTCACGCAGAGCCTCGGCGTACGAGGACATGTCCGTGAGGATGACAAGCACGTGCTTCTCGCACTGGTAGGCTAAGAATTCGGCAGCGGTCAGGGCCAAGCGTGGGGTAATGATGCGCTCAATGGTTGGATCGTTGGCCAAATTCAAGAACAGGCACACATTCTCCATGGAACCGTTCTCCTCGAAATCTTGCTTGAAGAAACGCGCCGTCTCCATGTTCACACCCATAGCGGCGAACACGATGGCAAAGTTATCGGTGTGATCATCAAGCACCGATTTGCCGGGCAGCTTGACGAGACCGGCCTGACGACAGATCTGGGCAGCGATTTCGTTGTGCGGCAGACCAGCCGCCGAGAAGATGGGAATCTTCTGACCACGGGCAATCGAGTTCATCACATCAATGGCAGAGATACCGGTCTGGATCATTTCCTCGGGATAGATACGCGACCAGGGATTAATGGGCTGACCCTGAATATCCAAAAAGTCCTCAGCCAAAATTGGTGGACCCTTGTCGATTGGTTTGCCAGAGCCGTTGAACACACGACCCAACATATCCTCAGAAACGGGCGTACGCAGAATATCGCCGGTGAACTCGCACAGGGTGTTCTTCGCATCAATGCCCGATGTGCCCTCAAACACCTGGACGACAGCCTTGGAGCCGCTCACCTCCAGCACTTGACCAGAACGGACGGTGCCATCGGCCAGACGCAGCTGCACGATCTCAGCGAACTTGGGGAACTTTACCTCATCGAGAATGACCAGAGGACCGTTCACACCGGACACCGTCCTGTAGGCTAAGAACAGAAACAGAAGAAAAATATATGAAATATTGTAATTTTAATTTTAATTTAATTTCTTTTTTTTCTTCCATTTTGCTCCATAGAAATACAATTCTTCTTGTAATAATAATAGATATAATCGATTCCAATTGCAATTTGTTATTGCTTCATTCTTATTAGCTGTCACGTTTAGTTACAGCAGCGTTGCTCACATGCACACAAAGTTAGATACAAGTGGTTGCCAATAAGAATCCGATAAGAAGGCAAACGTCAAAAAAAATAAAGTAGTTTGCGTGAGGAGGGTTAAATAGTCAGCTGACTGGCAAACCAGCTTTGCCGAGTGAAGCACGAGCTGCGTTTTGGGTGTGCGTAAGAAGATGATAACGAAAGAAGACAGAATAAAATGCAATGCAAAATGTGCGTTACATAAAAACAAACAATTACTACTGCATAGATGTAAAATTTGTAGTTTTACATTTAAGCAGCATTTGCTTCACTCTTTTTTGCACTCACGGCTAGTCAGGTGCTCTCTGGTTGCGCGCTTTGAATGGCAAACAGCAAACAGCGAACAGCTGAGCTCAGCGATCGAGTCATGTGACAACGAAAATTTTCAGTATTAATGATTTTCTCATGCTTATGTGCATTGTTTCAGGCCCCGTTTTAATTGTTGATATTTTAAATGCTTATACTCTTATAATGTGCGTGCCTCGCGAGCACGTTGATAAAATCAAATTTATTGATTTTTATTTCGTGCTCTGCTTTCGCACTCGATTTGCACAAAAAGTGTCATGGCGGCCGATTATTGCTCGGCAAAAAACAGTTTTTGTAATGCACTTTGCGAAATTATTGCATCCTTTCTTTTAAATTATGTACTCACTCAATCGTGGCTGCGAGATAAAGTCCCGGGAAACGGCAAGGACATGTTCCCGTTGTGCTTGATGGGTGTTCATTTTGCGGAATGAATTTTCTTCTCTACGCGATGATTTCCTCTACCTTGGAAAAGTGCACAGCAAATTTCGAGCTATAACAAACCATAAACAGAACAAAACGGTGTTAGTTAGATTCGTGATTCGAATTGAATTTCAAGTGGAGTTGGCGTTTCAACATACAATTTTTCCGTTTCAAATAATACTGAGCGACACACGCAAAAATTTTGGACTGCGACGTCGTTGCAAGTACGAAAAAAATCACTCTGACACGGGTCAGACTGTGTAAAAATTCGTTGTGACGTCACGTGCCGTCACATGACTTTGCGTGTGACCGCATATTACAATATATTCATTGAACAACACTGACTGCTCAGCGCGTGTGCAACCCTATGCTACAAGTAGCAACTCTGCTCAGGCTTTTTTAGTCACATTTTGGCATTATTGGATTAAGCGTAGAAAGTGTTTTCTTTATGAACAATTAATTAAATTATACTAGTTAACAACTACAGGCAAAGCGAGCCAATGCGGCATTAAAAGAGTGGGGCGTGCGATTCAATCAAAGAGCTGCCGTACAAATTGAAATTTCTCAATAATCAAACTCAATCAAAAACGGCCCGCATTTAATAACGAAGAAGAAAGAAGAACAACAACTGCAAGCCACAAAGAGACAGCTCCACAACACTGCAAACCAATACAAAACTCGTTTCTTGTGTTTGTACGAGTGTGCGTGTGTGTGTGTGTATTCTTTATTTTATTTGCATTGCAGCCACAAGGCAAACGCTGCGGCATTTCGTGGCAGAGAGGCTGACAACGAAAAAGGGGCGTGTCTCCCTCCGTCTAAAAGTTCTCTTCCGTAAGCGCATCGTTGCATTATGATGGTTGAGTCCGACGGCACCGCCGACGCCACCCGCCGTCTCAACGTTAAGAAACAAACGCTGGACGATGCCTACGCCGCCCCAGCTAATTTCCTCGAGATCGACGTGGTCAATCCTCTGACCACCATGGCGGCGGGGAAGAAACGCTACACCGACTACGAAGTCCGCATGAGGGTGAGTAAGGGGTAGCAAAAATGCAACAAAAAATATATAAAATAAAATATCACTGCGTATTCAGTTTGCGAAAAATGATAAAAGCCAAATACGTTTGATAAAGTATAACTGTGCATGGGCGCGTGTGTTTGTGTGTGTGATACGCCTATAAGGCCGAGCGAAGCGATAATTATTAGTCACAACAAAACGCGTTTCATGTTGCACAGTGTATGCATCCGCTTTGTTGTTATTTTTCGTTCCTTTTTTGTTTTTGACAACATTAAAATTTACTTGAGTCATCTGCTGATATGGCTACACTATGATAAATGCGGGCGATCCGATGAAATTAATTATGTTATTTTACGCACATCAAAATGGGCGTCAAAATGCGTACATTAAACTTGTTCAAAAACATAGTCTAACCAATTATATATAACTAATCGATGATGCAAATATTTAGAATATATGTAAGATTTCTTAAGATGTACAAAGAACAAAACGTAACAAAGAAAATTAAGTTCATCTGATTTCATTTTCTATAAAAAACGACAATTTGCATTAAAGTTCTTTGATAAACTGTCCCCGATATCAGCAAGTCACACTTTGCGCGAGAAATATCATCTTTTGTATGTAGATTTCTCACATATCCCAGCAGAAGAGTGTTCATTCCTAAACAAAATTCTAATAGATTTCATTTGTTCCTTCGATGACAGACAAACTTGCCGGTGTTCAAGGTGAAGGAGTCGAGTGTGCGGCGTCGCTACAGCGACTTTGAGTGGCTGAGAAACGAGCTGGAACGTGATAGCAAGGTGAGTCTCTCACATCAGGCAATACAATCGATCGATCACATTCATATATACATACATATATCTGTTACACTAATTGTTGTTTAGATTGTGGTGCCGCCACTGCCTGGCAAGGCCTGGAAGCGACAGATGCCGTTCCGCGGCGACGAGGGCCTCTTCGACGAGAACTTCATCGAGGAGCGGCGAAAGGGTCTGGAGGCGTTCATCAATAAGATTGCCGGACATCCGCTGGCACAGAACGAGCGCTGTCTGCACATGTTCCTCCAGGAGAGTGTCATCGACAAGAACTATGTGCCCGGCAAGATACGTAACGCATAAGATGCTGAAACAACGAGAATATTCCCGGAGAAAAGCAGCAACTTTTTTAGCAATGCAAACAACAAAACTTGAACGAACAAAACATTGAGAGAAAAGAAAACAAACAATATATATATATATATATTGTATATATGTATAGAGAGATGAAAGATAACGAAATCGATTAGGCAAAATGAAAGCTGCGTCTGTGTGTGCGCGCCAAGCTAGTTACGACGAGTAATAACAAGAAATATGAATAGATGTTAAAAATAATAATTAAAACGGCAACTGCTTTTTCGGCCAGAGCCAGAGCCGAGTTAATGTTAATAAGCGGCTCCAGTTGAATTATTGGGAATTTTTATTGCTAAATTTAACTGTTTATATATGCAATGGTATACATACATTACAATACATACATTATATATATGTATACATATATATATATATATATACATATTTACCTAATAGTGTACATAATACTACATGCCTCAAGTCCAGTATTGGATGGCCGTCGTCTCATTTGAAAAAGTCCCATGCCAAAACTTGTCTTGGCCAGGTCAAGAACGCTCAGTCATGGACCTTTTTCTCGAATCCTGCGAGCACCCCCCTACTATCCTCATCCCCTAATCCCTCTTTAGTCGTTGTATCAAATTTGAATTATTATTGAGTTTAAAATTGTGCAAAATAAAAGAAAGGTTACCCTCCACATCAATGGAAAATATAGTATAGAATTATACAGTTGCAACTGTTTTTTGCAAAATTACTGAATATTTTGGAATCATTTTAGTGTTTAATATATGTATTGTACTTCGAATCAACCTAAACATAATTCCAATAATAATACATGTATTTTACTACAAATTTCAAATCTGTCTTTGTTTTCTCTAAAATAAGTGGTCTGCTCCATAAAGTTTTTAAGGTAAGTAAGATATCTTTAGTACCACATTTGATGTATAATATTTACTAAAATATACTATAAAACAAAAAACAAAAAGTTTACTTTAAATTCTTGAAATATTTTGGATAAATTGGGGGCGACTATTAAGATAAGGCAATGATTATAATAAACATTGTATAGACATTTATGATGCAATCAAAGAAATAAACAAAACAAACATGTTTTTAAAGCAATAAATTTATGTTAAATACAAAAAAAAAGGGTTTCCAATTGGTAATTTTCAAAAATGGCGCCAACATACTTTGCGCGCTGCGTTCACTGTGCGCAGCGTGCGCACTGTGCGCCTCAGGGCTACACAACTTAGTGGTGCGAGCGAGACAGCTCTATCGTTGACATGTGTGTAAAATTGTGAGTGCGTGTGTGTGAGTGTTCATGTTTGTGTGTTTGTGTGCAGGGCTGTCATGCGTATGTATTTATATTTTTTGTTTTTTGTTTTTTTGGCATGGACACGGCGGATTCTCCGACAAAAACGCAAGCGAGCGACGATGAAAACTACAATTTGCTGCGCCAGGCCCACGAACAGTTCAACAAGTAAGCGACGCATGCCGCACCGCTAAAGAAACCAAAACCAAAACAAAACAAAGCTAATAAAACACTTATTGTTGCAGTGGCGCCTTTGAGCGCTGTTTGGAGCTGCTGCAGCAGCTGGAGACAAAGGGCGAGAATAGCGGCTTAATTTTGCGACACAATCGTGCTGTGGTCAATTACTACATATCCGGTTGCATGCAACATCAGACGCTGCTGCAGGAGCTCGAGCAGCTGGTGGACGCAAAAGCAAAACCGACGACGCCGGCAACTGTGGAGCAGCCAACGGTTGTAGGTGGCGGAGGATTGTCGCTGAAGCATGCGGGTAGCGCAATAACCGTGGCCCGCTACAATAAGGCCGTCATCTACTACCATCGGCATATGTATGGAACGGCGCTGGAGCGACTGGCGCCACTGGTTGGCCGACTGGAGGCGCTGGAGAAACAAATGTCGGCGCTGGTTGCCACGCTGCAGTTGCAGCTGCTGCTCGCCACCAATCAGCTGAATCGCGCCGAGGCATTTCTCGAATATTTGCAGTACAAGCTTAATTTGGTGGCCAGTGCACCCAGTCCAAGTCCAACAGGCAGCCCCGAGGAGGCAGCTGCTGCTGCTGCTGCTGCTGTGGCTGCAACACCAGTGCTGGAGGCAAGTGTGCCACGCGTGGCCGGCGAGTGCGCTGGCACATTGCAGCTGCTGCAACTGCTGACGCACGTGCTCAATCGCAAGCCGGTGGTCATCACCGAGGATGGCACACCGCAGTTTGCGGCACTCAAGGCGCAACAGTACTACATCATGAAGGACTTCCAAATGGCCGCCAAGCAGCTGATGCGCATCAACGACGAGTGCACCCAGGCGGGGTAAGTGAATAATATGCTCACATCCCATCCGATTCTATCCTATGATCAACTCATCCTCCTTTGTTGTAGCAACATTACGCCGCAGCTGAGCACTTGTATTGCCAACAACATGGGCGTGATTCATTTGCGTGTCCGCCACTATGCGATTGCGGCCAAGTTCTTTCAAAATGCGCTGCGCTTTGATCAGCAGCTGGCTGCCAATTTGCGAAAGAGCTCGCTGCAGACGATGAGTTCGGCTCGCTCGTGCGAGATTATGTATAATCTGGGCATTGCCATGCTCCATCTGCGCCGCTCCAAGGAGGCGTTCCACTGTCTGTTGGTGCCCGTCAAGCAATATCACAGCAATCCACGTCTCTGGTTCCGCATGGCCGAAGCCTGCATCATGGAGCACGAATCGGTAAGACAAACGTTTCTCTATGCAATATTCAAACCGATCCATTTCCATTAATGCTCCACAGCAGAAACTATTGGGCAAGGACTCTCTCCTGAACTCAGCGGACGCCAAGCCATATGGGTGAGTAGTCTCCACCTCTACAACTGCTCGCTCCAACTCACAGCCAACGTGTTTCGTTCTTCCCTCTCTCCAGCAGCGCTCACTCGACGGCAGTGCCAGAGCCGACGCTGGAATTTGCGGCATTGTGTTTGCGGAGCGCTCTGACCCTGGCTCTGCAGCACAAGGCCAGTTTCTATATGGCTGCCTCGGCGGAGGACACACTGGAGCCGAAGGATGCCGCGCAGCAGCTGTGGAGTCAGCAGCAGGACAATAATTTTTGCAACCCATCGAAACCGATTAGCTTAGAGTCACTGGACAATATGCTCGCTGCGATTTATGCGGCGCACAGCTTTGTCTCGCTCCGATTAGGTGATCATGTCACCGCCCTGGAAATGGCCAAGCAGCTGCTCCAAAGCGAACGTCTCTCCGATGCGCACAGGTATGTGTCCAGCGATTGTTATTTTCTTTGATTTTCATATATACATATATATATTTGCTCATGCTTAGATTGCTGGGGCACATGTATGCGGGCGAGGCGCTGATGATGATGGAGAAGCCGGCCGAGGCACGTGACCATCTGGAGCCGACATTTGTCAGCACGCTGAATGCACTGGAGCTGGAGACACGCGACTGGCAGCTGAAATCCCTGGACGCCGCTCAGAACGTTGTTCGTTACAATTTATCCGTTGCGTTGGCCCTGCAGAACGACTTTCAGGCAGCCAAGGGCCTCCTGGCCACGCTTACCCACCCGATTGTGAGCAAAAAGTCACAGATTTTGCATCGTTACATTGAGTTGAAAAAGAGTGCCGCCGGTTCACCCAATTAGACAACAAATTGTGTAAATAGCATAGACGGATTCAATAAGGAAACCAATGCGGGTTGTAAATATATGTGTAGATGAACCACTGACAGACAAAACTGTTAACACAATTAACGCTTTTTATTAATTATGGATTATCAGAAGTGTCAATCATCCGTCTGTTAAGGACTAGTTTAATCTTCGCAGTATTGTTATTGTCTATATTATTACACAGTTGATTGGCTAAATTGAATGCTTCTTTTTATGCCCTTGCAGATGGTATTCTAATTTTGTTACAGCTCTGGATTATTGATGGACCTTGGCTGTATCAAAAGGAAAGCTTCTCTATGGATAACCATATATCTCTGATATACCCAATCTGCTATACATATTTAGTACCCAGAATTCCCAAAGCACAAGCAATTCAACATTTTCAAAAGCAAAACATAATAATAGCTGAAATATTCACATTTTAGATACTTAATTCCCTGGGATATTTGATCAATTTTCCTGGAAGACTTAATCGGTATTGAAAATGCAGCTGGCTTGAAATTCGTTTGATAATCTGATCTAATCAGATCGATCGATTTTAAGCTTTATAAAACACTCTGAAATCTGAAAAATCTTGTACTTTGACACCATCCTTTCCATCCAAATGCTCTAATCAGATCTTTATCTCATGACCTCTTGACCAGCTTATTTTTCTGCTTTATCTTCTAAATTTGTTTTCACGGCTTAGGCGAGCCATTGGACTTGTACAAACGCTGTTCATCGGCGATTTAGATACATCCGGCTTTCCGCCATGGACTCCTAACGGACCTCTTTGGTATCCCATTCAAGCCTCCGGATGGATCACGAGGACTCAAGCTTAGTGATATAAAGTAAAGCGACTAAAATCAGAAGGGGTTGCAGTCCATGTGGCATCACAATAAGCCAAACTTAGCTCAAATGAGTTTTGGTTGAATGGAAGCTTCTCATCCCTAATATAATCAAACCTACACCAGTAGTACTCCTGGTGAAAAGGATCAATATTAAGATTATCAAAACTGATACTTATCGGTTTGAAATATGTTCTAATATAGTCCACCTATATATATATCTATATATCTATTTGCAGCACATCAAAAAAAGGTTTGCTCATAGAAACTGTTCAAATTGAAACTATAAATAAAATATTTATTAATCAGTACGCATGTCCGCAGTTGATATACTGACAATATCAGGACTGGGACACATTTTGTGGTATAACTAAGTAGTATTTGGCACTAGTAGATGTGGTGGCTCTAGCTCCCTGGCATTTGTGTGTGTCCATCATCGGCGCTGTTCGTATCGATTCATTGAGAGCACAATGTTGTCAAAGATGTATTCTCGTACACCCAGTCCACAGATGAAGTCAAAGTGATTCCAGCGCTTCCACGGCACCTTGTAGACGGCTTCAACGTTGGGCAGACGCGTCACCAGACGCCAAATGTCCGCCGGCGCCACAATATAATCGTTTTCCGCAAAGAAAATGGTTACCGGTGTGCTCACATTTTCCAGCGCATACTCCGGCGGCTCCAGCTGCTGATAGTGCAGCCAATTGCGCTCCGGGCCGTAATCGTACTGCCTAAATTTGGTGGATACATAGCCCTGGAAGTAGTGCATCAGCTGCTTGACAGATCCGCCCGTCGGAAAGTTGGCCATCAGATCCGGCAGCAGGGTCTTGTTTAGAAAGCGCGTATCGTAGCCAACCGCTGGCCAAAGGCGGGTGATGCACACTAATGGTTTCTCATTGTCCAGGCAGGTCATCGACAGGAACTTCTTGAAGAACTTGTTCGTCGAGAACATCTCAATGCCCTCGAGCATCTTTGACACATAATTGCGTGTGCCCAAAATCGGTCCGATAATTTTGGCCAATCCACTTTGCGTATTGCTCACGTAGGCAACCGGTGCCAGCAGGGTGGCCGTCTTGAAGACCGCATTATACTGGGGCAGCATTGAGTTGAGCACAAGGAAAACGGTGCCGCCCTGTGAGATGCCCACAAAATGCATGCGGGCAACACCGCAGGTGCGCAATATATGATCGATTTGGGCGGGCATATCGTAAACGCTCATCTCATGCCAGCTAAAGTTCCAGAACTCGCGCTCCGTTGTATTTAGCCAGAGATTGTGGCGGCAATAGATATTGCCGCGATTGTTGCCCAGCCACACATCATAGCCGGCGCGCCACAGCAGATACGCCAACGAATCCTCCCGACCATTGAGCAGCCAGCTGCAAATGTGAGAAATACGCCACAATAAATATCAATAACCAGGTCAGTTGACAGACAAGCTACGCACACATCCGACGAGGCATACAGGCCGGAAAGCAGGAATACAACCGGTCGTCGCAGCACCGTGTAGAGCGTTCCATTCGCATCCAGCTGCACCTGCGGTATGCGATGCAGGGTCAGCACATATCCATCCTTGGTTATCACCGTGTGCTGCTCCACATTGTAGCCATCGTGCTGAATGCGACGCACCTGCGAACAAAACAGACCCCCAGCAAAAATTGACAGGAAGTTCGACTCGGTTATTATAACTTGGCAAATACAAATACAAACACTCATACACACACACCCACACACACACCCACACACACACACACACACCCACACACACACACACACACATAGACAGACAGTTGGCACATTTATCGCTTGACATTTGGAGGCCATGCGACGCGTGCGTTGTGACATTCAAGTAATTAGGAATTCCAGAGGCGCGCTCTCTGTTGAGAGATGGGTTTCGGCTACCTACCGCGTCTGTTATGATAATTTCGCGTGAGTGGCGTATGGTGGCCAGCACTTGGCGCAGCAGTAAGGCCACCATGACGAAATCCAGGCCGGGGCGCAGCGATCTCATCGTCTGACAGGATGGTCGATTACATGAAAGCTGGATTAAGTAACGTAACGTAACCGCTTAATTCCGAACCGGTTCGCAGCGCGACGCGTATCGTTGATCGAAAATGAAAGCTGCACACGTCAAAGGATCGAGAGCGCGAGAAATGAAGAAAGAAAGTGCCGCCGGAGCTTTCAAAAATCCAAAACCAAAAACAAAAAAGTGAAGTGAAGTAAAATATAAATCGACACGGCCGAGGCAGACAGAGCAGCACCAAGAAACCGTCGCGATATATGTATTCGCATGAATGGATATGAATGAAAATTGCAATCAAAGTGCTTTCGTCGTCGTCGTTGTCGTCGTTGTTGCCGTTGCCTGCTTCGTGATCGGCGATCGTGGCCAGCAAGCGCTGCTAACGTTCGATTCGAATGTGCTTTATCGACTGTGCACGCGTCTGCGGCTTTGGGCCGCATCGAGCCGACACAGCGTCATGTCGCAGGGCTTGTTACTTACTTACTTACTTACTCACTGACGCCGCTTCAAGCTCCAAGCTCCGAGCAGCTCGCACAGCTGAGCCACTGAGCAGCCAGTCAGCCAGCCAGCCAGGCAGTGAGCCACCTGCATGGAGCGTGTGCCTTACCTATGCACCCAGACTGAGGCGCATCCGGACGCTGCGAACTCCAAGTGAGCGTCAGCATTTTCTACACTGCGCCTAATACTTGTAACCAATTGGCCTGCTGCTGCTCTCTGTACCACCTTTGTGGCTTTGTGGCACTCTTCTGCCCAATGACTTGGCAAAATGCCATGACAGTAATATTTATTTTTAATTATAACAACCCACGAAGAGGAAGCCTATGCTCAAAAAGTGTCAACGCTAAATAGCTACAGTGGCAAACAAAAGTTTTCAATAGTTAATTTATTTATTTTTTAAAATGACACTATAAATAAAATTAATTTAGCGATTAATTTAGCTAATTGCGAACAATACGTAAACAATTATTTGTTAATAATCTGGTCAATAAAATAAAACTATTTTTGTAAGACATTTTAATACTTAAATAACAATGCATCAATCAATTGAAAATATATACAATCTGATTTATAAATTGCTTAAGCCTTGAGTATGAATCAAAAATGCTATTTGTATTTGTTTTTATTTTTAATTGACGGTGGAATTAAAAGTTAATTATATAAACCAGTTCCTGATGATCAATTTGTCTTTTATTACTGTAATATAAAAGTTTTTGTTCAATAGTATTTTAAAGACACTTTGGTTAACTCTTTAGAACTCTTCAATCCTCATTTTACTTATGCCAAAAGCATTAAAAATGCAAATACCATATAACATATCTGAATACAAACATTATTTTATTTTTACAACCAACATTCATTTGAATATCAAGAATAATCTTCACCAGAATCAGTGAAAACTTTACATTTTAAATACGAGTATAATCAAAAGCTTTATTTTAATGTCGCCAAACATAACACTATTAAATTACAGTATTCCTTCTAGTGTATGTATATAAATTGTATTTAATTATTTATTTATTAATATTTTAACTATGATCAATTTATAAACAAAATAACAATACAAGTAAGGTCACTAGCAGATAGGCCTTAAGCTCATTAGTCTATTTATTTATTATAGTTATTATATTTTATTGAAAATAAATATATTTGCTGCAACTTAAATAAATAATAAACCAAAAATGCAAAAACTCTAGTGTAATTTCAAGCACATTTTAATTTGATTAATTAATTTTGATGCAATCCGAAGTTTATGGGAATGACAATCACAATACAATGATGCACTTTCATTGCAAAAATTACTTGCATGAAACAATTTGGCGCAGTGTATTCATTTTTGGGAGCTACTTACACATTTTTGTGGCTGTGGCTGTGGCTGTTGTTGTTGTTTTTGTTGCTGTTGTATTTTTGGTTTGGCTTCCACGCCGCTTTGAGTCGCATTGTCGTCTGTCTCCGTTATTTTCGCTGAATTGCAATAACCTGTTGCCTAATGTAACCGCCGATCGCAGTAGCAGAGTTCCAGCTGCGACGCGACGCGACAGAGCTTCGGCAGAGGCAGAGCGTCTGCTTATTTAGGATCTGAAGAAAGCCCAATGCCAACTTTGTCCGACTACTCATATAAGTATAAGTACGTGTGTTGGTGTGTATGTGTGTGTATGAGTGTTTATATAGTTAAATACTTAAAAACAATCGACGCCCGCTGCCCACCTCCTCCCACTGGTGACACCAGCACCTCCCACATTGCCAACATTCGCACGCAACTGTTGTAGACGGCTGAGAAGCTTTCATTGCGGCCAACTTGCTTTTGTCTATATGGCTTTTTAATAACGCGTCAACAACATTGGCAAGCGGTTGTAAAATGGTGAGCAAACACTAAACACTAAACGCAGATTGAACAGCATGTCCAACTTCATTTCGTCAATGGGCACCGGTCAAAGTTACCGACCCGTTGGCCCACTGCAGTGGTCAATTTTGACCCGGCTTGCAAATACACTCACGTCTGGCCAAGTTAAATACGTGTATTTACTGCCCTGACATTACACATTACATTACATTGGGCAAACCCAGCCAGTGTCGGTGTCGGGTATGTTTTTTATTATTTTTTTTTTTTTTTTTTGTTAAAACAGTTTACGTTAATTTATATTGTGACACATGCATCCGCTAAATTTGACGCGTGCTCTTGCCGACGGCGTCGTCGAACAGTTGACAAGTTTTGACAATTAAACAAATCAAGTGCCAGGTAATTAAAAGGGATTGAGGCCATGGGCATAGGCCAAGACTAAGCTAAAATCTGCAAAGCTGATCAAAGCCGGCCTCCACTAATGGCCTACGCTTTAACATATCGCTTAGCTTTCTTTTGCTTTCGCCTAATGGATTCTATGTAATCGGCTCTCAACTCAACACTTCGAAACGTACACTTTATGCCATACTCAATTGCCAAATTGGTTTGTCTGTTTGTTTTGGTCTTTCTTCATTTAATAGTATACACATATTTACTCATACACACTTGTGATAATTACGTGATGTAATTTGATTTGCTTAGCGCCTTAATACACTGCCAGTGAGAGTCTTACAATTATCTTGAAGAATTTGCTACTTGAATATTAGATTCAATAAGTAAACAGATATAGTTTCAAATATGATATTAAGCTTAACCGCTTTCCCAGATATCTCGAAGCAATTTATGAACTATAATTAGACGGTTAGTTTACTATTTTAACTTATATTTATAGATAGAAAAACTAAACTCAAATGAATTGCTGACTCCCCAAAATACAACTCTGAAGTAAGTGAATTCTTGAAATACCTGCAAAGTTACGCATATTTGCTGAACTCAGCATTTCCACGATAGTCAAACAAAAAAGCAGTTTATTTACCGGTAAAATGAAAACTTTACTTTGGTTTTTACGACTATGTGTAATGAAATTGTATGTTAAAATTAAAATTTCCACCTCATAAAGTGCAGAACCGGTTCAATGCTAGATTTCAGTTTACATATCCCAAGTAACCAAATGATTGTTATTGTGCAAACAGACCTAACGAAACTCTCCATAAAGAAATATTTAACAGAAACAACAATTTCAACATGACGTACATGTTCTCAGTAATGATATACTTCATTATATTTACAACTATTAAAATAAATATAAGTACAATAAATACATTTATATAAAATTATATTTTAATGTTGAAATGTATGGTGAGTTTATAAAATCAAACTCTTAAATTATAATTTCGATATTTTCATAGTCTTTCAATGGAAACTCATTCGGGTGTTATTTCAAAGAAAGAGTATATGGATTGGGATATGCTTTCGTTTTTCGGCTGTATTTTGTAAGCTTTGTTTTGAACTTGAAATTCGAAATGCTGAACATCTCCGTAATGTTCACACTCACACATGGAAATAAAATGGCGGTCACAAATCAAAGGTTTGTTCAAGTTTTCCATTGGGCCGACGAGTTGACATTTCACTTTTCACTTTAAGTGCTCTTGTTGCCCGATAAGCTTATGCATTTGTTTTTTATTTTTTGGTCATTTGCAATTGAACACAATGCGATTCGACTCTGACCGAAAGCATTGCATTTCCGGCCGGGGTTAGCCCTTCTATATGTTCATCGTTATCGCAGTCAAAGAGTCAAAGAGCTGCCTCGATGTACATATATACATATATACATATATGTATATGTATATGCATATGTATATGTATACATAATGTACGAAATCGCATTGTGCTTATCAGCTGCAGGGGCAACGCGGCTGTCGCCGCACATAAAATGAAAGTGATTGATGCCGCTTGGGAATAATTCCAGCTCAGTCCTTGGCCTGAGAGAGCGAATATTATCAGCAAAATGGGTAAGCCGCACTGCGCTAATCTGCTGCTAATTGTTTCTTAATGTGTTTGCAACTCTCTAAGTCAACAACAAGACGATGGCAGCAGGTAACAATTGCCAAGAACTGTTTACCTGTTAAGCCAACACAGTCTCGTCTGGCGATCACTTTAATTATCCAACAACTTGCGGGGAATTGCCCACATCGGTCTGACTCATAAGGCACAATGTCTGCACCTCGACATGGCAATTGCCGATCATAAAATGCTACGCTGTAGCTACAAATAAACAAAGGCCACTTGCAACCGCCTCTGCAGGCGTTACGACGACAAAAGGAATATTGCCAGACCTTAGGAGGAAGTAGCCAACGGTTGCCTTCGTCCCCAGCTCCGTCTTCATATTATCGTGATGACTAAGCGGTAAACCAATTGATTCCTTCCTGTTTACTGTGAACAGCGAGCGAGCGAGTGAGTCGCAATGAGAAAATCTAAATATTTAACGACTAAATTGAATCTGAAGGCTCGCTCACATTAGTCAAATTGATGTGGCACGACCCGCGGGTTACCTGCTGCCATAATCAATAAAACATAAACACAGTGGGCCGACAACTTGTCGAGTCGCAGTCAGAGGCAGGGTCCGAGTCCCATTGAACTGGCCGCATCACGTAACGGCAAATGCCACAAGGAAAACCTACTCAAACAACGACGGCAACAACAGCCACAGCCACAGCAGCAGCAGCAGCATCAGCATAAGTATTACAAGAAATAAATATATTTGTATGTACATACATAGACAGATGTATGTATGTATGTGTCTGGAAATGCAAACGACTCGTCGTCAGCGTCATTGTCGACAATAGCTCGGCGAGAAGTTTTTGTTTGGACATTCTGTCAGGCCAGCCAACCAGTCAGTCACTCAGTCAGTCAATGGACAGGCCTCTCATCAAGTTTGTAGTAAAAAACGACCCCCGTGGTCCACAGCCAGCAGTGGACAAAAAGTTCACTTGAATAACTGTTTTGCTGCTGCATCTGAGCCGACAGACAAAATCAAATCATTGACAGAGAAATTGCTCCAGACTCCAGTTGAGTTCATGAGTACGCATTACATGCCAGAATGCATTTGCGATTATAATTAGATAATTTGGTGTAGATATGTATGCATTTCTATATGTATACATATCCAAACCAAACGAAATCCTTTATCTGTCATCTTGCATATGTAAACTGTGGTCTATTTTGCTGTGAGTATGCACAGTTGGACATGTTGTGGTTTCCGTTGTCATTTACATGCTCTCTATATGTTGTGACTCAAAATCAAACTGAACTCACAACAACTAACTATCTTGCGGTTCACTCACTCCATGTGGCATACAATAATGTTGATACTATTAAGTTTTCTTAGAAAATGTTTTGTTCAGATAACAATTTGGTTTAAAAATTTGTCATGTTTCTTTGTAATTTGCATATTATTTTTAAAAGCAGATTTAAAGAAATTTATAATAAATATTTAAGTCTTTTGCTAACTTCAGGTCAAATGTCTTTTTTATACTCCGACATATTTGGAGCACCGTTAAGATTCGACTTCAGGGAGAGATAAAAAATAAATAAAAGAAGGCCATCAAACAATAAACAATTATTCAAGTCTATTAATGCAACAAAGATATTTGGGTGGATTCAATTCTTTCCTCTTATCGAAATATACTACAAATACACATCATTTTGAGGTTGTAAAATTCTTGAAATAAAATTCAATATGGTATAGAAAACAGGGCAACAAAGTTAATGACAACTTTTGGTAAACTCCTTCAAATCGACCTGATAAATACGACGTCATTAAATGATATGCATACATGTACAACGTATAAGCGCACTTTAAAGCTCACGTGTTTCACATTTTTACTGCGTTTGCTTTTTGCCACAACTTGTAAGACTTGTTCGCAGCGATCTGCAGCTGATGTTCAATGTGGTGGCTGCCTGAAGCTGTTGCTTTCATTGTTCCTGCTCTCTTTTGTATCGGGGTTTTTTTATTGTGTCCAATAAACAATACAAGTACTGCGAAGAGGCCGAGCAAACCGATGCTGAGGGCTGCGGCAGTGGCAGTGGCAACATCAGCATCAACTCGACGACCTAAGAGGCCAGCAAGAAGTGCGTGCTACCTATAAAAATGAGGAGGTTTTTCATGATGTTGCTAATGGTGAAGTACTACGACGGGCAATATTGATACAAATGCGACCCCACGCTGAAAGTTTTGCCAAAGGGGTTGCCCCCTTATGGCGCTATGCACTTATCAGACCAACACAAACCACACACACAGAAATCAACATACAAACATATAGACTGAGTGAGGCCCACTCAGAAGCAGCAGCAGTAGCAGCAGTAGCAGAAGCCGTATGCCTGCCAATGCCCTATTATTATCCAAAAGCAAATAAATGCAAGCGGCAACCCAAACGCTCCCATGTTGATGGATCTTTTAGGCAGGCAACCCGACGACATAGGGGCAACAGGCAGTCGGCAGAGGCAGCAGCAGCAACAGCAGCAGGCAGAAACAGCAGGCAGCAGGCAGAAGCAAAGGCATTGGTCGAGACCTATACGACAACGTCAGCGTCATCAATATATGTATATATATATATATATATATGCGACTCTTATGAGTGTGCAGCGGCAACAAAATTCCAGAGCGCACGCGTTCTCAACTTTAGTTCTTTGCGAGTGGCCAACGAGTTCGGTTCGTTGCGTGGCCTCCAGTCGGAGTATTCAGTTTGAGTTCAAGAAAACAAAAAACGGGAAAGTGACAGCTGAAACAAAAAAAAATAAAAAAAAAAAAGTGGAAAAGAACACAAGAGAAGTGAGCGTATCTCTCTCAATTCAACTTATACTGCATATAAAGTGTGCGTGTGTGTGTTAGCCGGGTTTTTGGCCAGTCTATCGTTTCGAACGGTCCGAGCGAGCAAGGAGCGACAAGCCAATCAATCACTTATTCAACATGGCCATTGCTGAGAGCCATCTATTCGGCAGCTGCAAAGCTGTTCCAGGCAGATGCTATAACAGGAACAAGCCACATGCCCCCCTCACACATGCGCCGTTGCTCTATATGATGCTGGCTGCGATGCTGACTTCGTGCTTGGCACTCACTTGTAAGTACTTGGTATCAGACACGCTAACTTCAACTTTAGCTCCATCTTCAGCTACAGTTGCAGTTGCAGATACTGCATCTTCGTCGTTATTATTGTTGGCGTAATAAACTTGTTGTCGTTGTTGTGGTTGTTGCTATTGCTGTTGAGATCTGTACAAGCCTTTGAATTATTTCGCCGCATTTTCCTCGGTTTTTTATTGGCATAATTCAAAACAGGTGCTGCCTCTGCTCAGCGCGCGTAATTATGCCGCGGAAGATGCGACGCCAATGCCGCAAACAACGCAGGCCCTGCATCAGCAACCACCAAAAAAAAAAAAAAAAGAAGAAAACCTCGATGCAGCGGCACTTTGGTGTCATAATTTCCATAAAACGCTGCCCCTCCCCATTCCTTTCCGCTGTAACCACAAGCAAATCCAATACGCCCAAGCCGTGTGCGAAAGTTCAATAATGCCTAGTAACATGACAATTGTGGCGGTCACCGAGTTCAATTTGTGCGATAAAACGCAGATGACAGGAGCGGTTCATCGAATGGGGCTGGGCCCAGAGAATGGGGATGAAACTTTTCCAAGTGTGACATTCATGTGTAATCAGCCAAATACATAATTTAAAGCAACTGCCTCTCAACTTCTGCGTATTCGTTTTATTCGTGCATTGTTTGTTTCTACACAATGCAAAAACCCTTATACAAAAGAAAGCAGGAACAATGACAGCAAAAGCTTCTAGAACATCAACTACGGAATTGAACGCAATAAAGATGAAAAACACGTGAGCCACTTAAGTACACTTATAATGCTATATGACGTAGTGAATTCAAATTTAATTGGCATACTACAATAAAACCCGCGCAATAAAACGCAGTTTAGCTAGTTAGGATTGGTCCAGTGAGTTAAACGAGGGCTAGTGAATACCTAATACGCTTGCTTCCATAGATTGCTCAAGTTGAAATAGATGTTCACTCCGTTAGTCTGTCGATTTAAATTCTCAAATTTCTTCTTTTTTCATAAGATGTTGTAATTAATAAAAAAAATAATATATATATAACTCATATGATACGATATGATTGTTCATAGCCTGTTTGATTCTCTTAATTATAGATGTATGTACACAAATGCATAAATATTTTTCGAATATGCAAATTTTTCTAAGAACTAACGGAATATTTTCAAAAAGTTTCTGGTCCTTAAGCTGGGTCTAAGTTTCTAAGTTGATTTTGAATAGCTTATTTGAAAATATTTTATATTTACATCTATAGTCTTGGTTCAATGCAATCTTTAGTTTACTTAGTAAGAGATAGGTAGAGTTGAGATAGAGACAGTGAGACTTAATAAGACTACTGAAAAAAGAATAACGACCTCCATATTTTACTTCACCACATTCAAACAGTAAAACATATGTATGTACGAATGTTTTCCCACCTCTAAGACATGCCACACAACATGAGGCCATCTCAATACGTCCAGAAAGATAATTTTCCAAAGCACACGCACACTCACACACACACACACATACACATACACACATACACACTCACACACTCACACACACACATACACACAGATACATTCATGCATTTATCAACGAGAAGTCTGCAACTGGCAGATGACACTGCTCCGGTTTGGGCAACTGCAGCTAGAAGCAGAAGCAATAGCAGCAGCAGCAGCCTCTACAACATATAACATCAGCGGGCGGTGGCAACAGCCCCGAAACGGAGAGGAAAATCGATTTCTTTTATTTTTGTGTAAATGCCATTTCATTTGGATTTGAAAATGTCTTTTGTTTTTGTTTTGTGCCGCATGCTTTGTCCCATTTTAAGACATTTAGACACTTGGTCGCTGCTGTTGCTGTTGCTCTTGTTCTCGTTCCTGTTCTTGTTCTTCTTGTTCTTGTGGATGTTGTTGTTAATTTTTGGTTGCGAGCGTTCCCAAAGGGATTTGAGTGGATGTGCCATAGAAATGGTCATTGAGCCCACCGCTGATGCATATCTCATGCAGGGTAGTAGATAACTAATTTTCAAGTTCCACGAATGCAGTTGCATCCATGTATGTGCTGCATTGGGAGTGTGCGTGTCTATATATATATATATATATATGTGTGTGTGTGTGCGTCGGGGAAGAACAATCAGATCATAAATAAAGCAGCTACTTTTGGGCGACTGCCTCTTAGACGGGGCGGTCTGCCTGGTCTCGTTGGGTTTGTTTATTGTGTTACTAATTTGGGATTCCTCGTTTTGTTCTTGCTGTTGTTGTTGTCATATGTGTGTTTGGAATTTTAATCGCTGCATCGGGCACTTGGATGCATTTTGAATTATGAGGCGCGGGCGTATTTTTCTGGACGAGAATTTGGGTTGCTTCTGCGGTCGTGACGTCGACATGGACATGGACATATGTCTGTGTATAAATATATACTTGTAGATACGAACTGCAACGGAAAGGGGAGCGTCTTCCAAGCATTTGTCAATGGGAGAATGTGTGAGAAAATGTGTGCGACGATGATGACGGCGATAATGGCTATGTGAATGTATACATATAAATATATATCTTTATATATATTGTCGCGTGAATGGGTTTGGCTATACATGTCTCTCTGTCCCTCTCTCTCTCTCTCTCTCTCTCTCTCTCTCTGGTTGACGTTGCCATAAAATAACAATCAATGTGTATGCTATGGCAGTTATATTAGTTTACTATTTGGTTAAGTGGCATGTGTTTATGAATAAATCGGTAGAGCTGTTAATAAAATGTATATAAAAATGCATTTCGTGCATTGTATTATTTATATTATTTTAAAACCATGACTCGATCGCTGCACAGAGAAAGTTGCTGTGGTGACAAGTGCTTCCTTATGCATATTTTCTTGGATATAAATCAATAAAGATTACATGTTTAATATAACTATCTAGATCAAACGAGTTAATTGATTTTCTATTTAATTTTAGCCGAGTCAACAACCCCGTCGTTATTGGACTTGGCAGAGGCCACCACACTAATTCCACCACAGCAGCCAGCTAATGAAGCCAACTTATTAACAGCAATCGCCGTTGTGAATGAGACGAACATTGAAATCAAAGCTGAGAAAACTATTGCTGCTGAAGTTGTCGATGAGTTTGAACCGCTCGTGGGATTGGAGCAGGGTATACGCAATGCGGTGAAGAGCGAGGTTGAGTCGGAAATTGAGGCAGACTCAGTTCGGTTGGAGACACTGCAGGTGGAGCAGCAGGAAACTGAGGAGAAACCAGCAAACACCAATGATGAGCAAAAAGGTATGTTTATATTTGAAAACCCATGGAATACACATATTCTGAGCAGTGCCAATTTCTTAGATGCAGCTAAAGGTGTGCGTGAGCCGAAAACTCTGGAGGCGAATGATGAATCTCAGCCTGAGGAGCCTGTGAACGCTGAGGTGACTGAGAATGCTGCGGAGAACGAGAAGGCTGAGGAGACTGAGAAGGCAGAAGACAGTGAGAAGGCTGAAGAGACTGAGAAGACAGAGGAGAGTGAGCAGCCTGAGGAGACTGAAACGGCTGAAAAGGTTAAAGAGCCTGTGGAGATTCAGCAGTCTGAAGAGCCATCAGTGGCTGAAAAGTCAACCGACGCAGTTACGAACAACGAATCCGAGCCAAGCACAGCCAATGAAAGCTCAGCGGTGGCTAGCGAGCAGGTTGTGGAAATTGAAAGCAGACCACTGCCAACTGTAACCAGCGATCTGGTCGCTGTCATTTTTGATGAGAATCGTGCGATTACAGAGCAACCCATAACGAAAACCAATCTGTTGGCTTTGGAACAAGAACATGAGCAATTCCAAGAGGCAGAGACAACACCACAACCCACACACGAGGTGAGCAGGCATCAGGTGACCAAGAAGCAGGGCGTTGAGGATCTACTACCCATCTATGTGCAAAAGGAGTATACAGCGGAACCAACATCAGTTCAAGTTCATCTGAATGAAATCGATGAAAACGTCATTGAAAGCGAGCAAAATGAAAGCGAGATACAGGCCGCAACTTCATCTACCACACAACCAGATCATGTGGAATCAACGGAGGCAGCTGTAAGTGCTGTTCAGCCAGCGGAGGAAGCTGTTGTCGAGGGTAGCGAACCAGTTCTAACAGCCGCATCAGAGACGCCAGAAGAATCTTTGACGCCCACAGAAGTTTACACTGAGCAATCAGAAGAAACCGAAGTGGAAGCTGAGCCTGTGGAACCAATTGCACCAGCAGTGGAAGCAATAACTCCAAAGTCCAGCTCATCAGCTTCTCCAGTCGAGCCTGCCGCTGACAAAAGTGATGAATCCATCGAAGATGACAGCAAAGAAGAGAGCGATGTTGCTAACGGCAACTCAGAAAATCAAACGGAACAATCTGCTGTGGAGCAAGCTGAAAAGGACTCATCTGAGGAATCTGATGAATTGTCAGCGGATGAGCCAAAGGCCAGAGCTGAGGACAGTACTGCAACGCCACTGGTCTCCTATCCACCACACAATTCGGGGCAAACCTTCGACAGTAATCTGGCCGATGAGCGCAGTGCTCATCTCTCACTGGCGTCCACAAACCGTTCGACGTTGATCGTTGCCCTTTGCTCGGGAACTGCGGTGATATTCATTGTGATTTCATTGGTCATCTTTGTATTGTCATTCCAACGCCAACGCGGTACTTTGGACATTGAAATGCAGGAGCAACGTCTGGGCAAGGATGATCTGGATCAGGAGGATGCACAAATGAAGCTGCTCGATGTGGAGCTAACGGCGCCCGTGATTATCGCCATGGGCAACGAGGAGACCGATGAATGTCTTTAGATCTTCCAATATCAAACTGATTTTGGTACATTGTAAATATTTTATATTTTTGAGATTGAGTTTATCTTAGTAAAGCAGCATCGAATTCTTGAGCTTGCTCCTCCAACTGGTTGTTACATTTTTGGCTCCAAATATCATGACTTGCAAAAAGCTGTAGATGCGAAAAAGACGAGAAACGAAAACAGACACAGAAAAACGAACAAAAAACATTTGCCATATTGCTTAATTTTAGCTGCACTTTATTCTATAAGTTCTTCTCTGTTCAAGAAAACACAAAAATTATTTATCTTTAGGATTTTGATTTAGATTTAAGCACACTTTTATTGAGTCTCTGACGAAAACTCAGAATAAATATTTTCGATTTATTAATAAACCTACAAATGCATTTTTGATTTATTATTTTACACAATTCTTATAAGCTAAAAGACTACTATATGAATAAGATCTTGAAGAAAAGAAACATGCACACTGTCAATTCAATTCAATAACCAAGTTAGATATTTTGTATAGCTGACAATCTATTACAGCGACAGCCTAAAAGTATTCCACATTTTATAGAGTAAAAGTAAAAGTAAATGTATCTTTATATCTAATCATATTATTTGAAATTCAATATATTCCTATTCCTAATTGAAAAATATTAAAAGAAATATAACAATGAGAGATATTTAGATTTAAGTTTTATTCCAGCAATTGAAATCTGTAGTAAAAAATAAATCTTGCATCGAAATTTCAAATGAACATTTTATTGAGCTGGCCATAAGTACTGAACAATCAATCTCATACATTACAATCACAATGTTAACCAATATGTTTATTCAAAGATCTTGTAACTGTTTATAATACCAAAATATGATTACTACAAAAACATATATATATCACAAAAAGGCCAACTGCATTTTGTATATAAATATTGGTTGCTTATCTAGATTTGTGTATTAAGGTTACACGAATAATTTAATATTGTGTACTATTGCCACATAAGGAAAATCAACATCTGCCCTGATGAAAGCTCAAAAAGGTCAACCAGAAATGATTTAATGCTTTGCCACTTACAACTATGTGGCAGCCACTACAAAGTTATGGCATTAGTGCGACTAATTGCATCGGATTAAAAGCTTTGCCGCGTCGGCGTATCAAAGGCGTATTTTAATTAACTATCAAATGAGTGCATGATCTATTGAATGACGCTATTGACAATAAGATGGCGAGAGAAAGCTCGAGAGCAACAGCAAGTTCTATGCTCACAACATAATAAATAGAATACTCCATCCGCTTACAGTAGGCACACTGCTGAGAGGAGAGGCGACGATGCTTTTTTGATTGAGTATTAGTTGTTTCCGATCTTGTTATAGCATTCTGATGAGCTTAATGGGCGAAATAAAGAGGCGCACTCTCAATGGCATCGTGACCAAAGTGAAATAAACAAAAACATTTTGAGATTAAGAGTTTTTGTTTTAGATTTCTTGTTGATGTGATCTTATGCAATCGCCCGCACATTGGGCGAGCTAATCAAATAGCCAAAAAAAATAAAAATGTAAGGAAAACAAAGACTTTCGGATTCTTTGCCATGCTTTATTATCGACAATTTAAAAGCAATAAAATGTCAATTGACAGCATAATTTTTTCAGTCCCATTTCAGTCGTAGACAATTACAAAAGTTTTATTAAAAAACAAATACAAGTTGGAAGCCTAACAGACGACACAACAATGTGGTTAGCTGTCTGTGGCGAAATGTAAACCACATCAAATAAATAACACACACTGTTCATACATACACATGCAGTACAGATAATGATAGTCAAGATTGAGTTTCACAAACAAAGTGGAATCTGCAATAACATACTACCACTGTGCTGCAGCCAAGAAGAGACGCGTTTTTTTCTTCTATTTTTTCTTACTTTACACATTTTGGTTCTTAACCCATATCCCGCCGGCGTCGACGCCAACGGCGCTGTCATTTTCTCATCTAATGCGCGTCTGCCGCTAGTCAAAGCTCTCGCTCACGCGCCATTCGCTCAGTGGCCGTTGCGTTGTTGTGCTTGTTGTTGTTGTTGCTGTTGCTCTCTCCCACTGCTTTGTGCGTTCAAAATAAATTCTATTTGAAACGAATTAAATAGTGTAAGCATGCATGCATGCATGTGTGTGTGTGCGAGAGTGCGAACGGTTTTTTTTTCTTCATCTTGTACATTTGAAAGCACAGAAAATAGCAAACATGAAACATGTTGTTCAGTTTGCTTGTTGCTCTGCACGCGTGCGGTTCGCCTTTTGATTTCCGCTCCTACGACAATACAATCAACAAGCGAGACGTGTGAGCATATTCTGTAAAAGCCACAAAAGGTAGAATATATTCAAATTGTGCGGCTGCTATTTTAATCAGCTGTGCAAAGTTTGCAACTTTTCGTGACATACGCGACGTATACGTAATGTGGCATATTGAATTTAAGCATATAAAATGCACAATGTGTAACGTGTCTAGAAGGATTTCAAAATACAATTTTTTTGGTTTTGGCGCTCTTGCGTGAAATTTGCTCATGGTTCAAGGTTTGCAATCGCGCTGAAATTAAATTAGAATACATAGTACAAATGTAGCCACAAAATATTACAGACTACAAAAGATACAAACGAAAAAAAATTCAAATTGTAAATTAAAAGCGAAATAACTATGTTTATAGGCTTCACAAAATTCTTTTTTATTTTTGACAAATTCTTACAACAGCATAAATATACAGTTTTATTATTTACGATGCTCAAATATTTACTTTATATCATTTTAATATTATTTTTGTTTTTTAGTTTAATTTTAAACATACAATAGAACAATTCAAAGAGTTGACGTGATCAATTTAAAGATGCCCTGTATCGAGTTTTAGATAAACGCTTGAGCTACTTTAAAATCATATTATTATCATAATGTACAGCAGAGATAACCAGGTACAGTCAATTATCTAGGATGAAGCTAGCAGATATAAAAAAAATTATATAAATATTTTATCTGAATTTGGATATTTAACTATTTTGGACTAGTACACAGTTTTTTCAGTTTGTTGACTCAGAAACAAGAAAATTCACTTCCCTTTTTCGAATGAGTTTGTGTAGTTTACAGGGTATACACGTGTATTGTATTAATCTATGTTGATCGTCTTTATGTTCGAATAAAAATACAAAGTTGCTGTTTTGTGTACGAGCATATTTATACTCAAGCGTTTAAACTACATAGCTGTATAGTGCGAGCATATATATACATACATATGTATAATTAAATATATATGTAGACACCCAGTATTTATATATATATACATATGTTGGTTGTCTGTTTTTGGCACAGTGTTGTCTTAGTTCTGAGCGTGTGAGTCACCTGTGCGTTCTTGGTCGCGGCCACGGCAGTGAAATGAAAATTGAAAAGAATTGAAAAGAAATGCATTTGATAAACAATGGACAAACAACAACATTAGAAAACGAAGCATTAAATAAAACGGCATATGCAGCCTCCTTCCCACCCCACTCCTCTCCACCCAGAGTAAACATAGCACACCCATAAATTGTCTGCCTATTTGTAGGTATTGCAGGTGTCTTAGCAAGTTCTGCTCTTCTTCTAGCCTGTATTTTACTTGTATTTTTCTGTTTCTTTCTTTTCCAAGTAAGTAACCGCAGTAAGAATTGCATTTCCAGTAAGGGCAGTCAGCTAGTTGGCTGTTGATGTGCAATATGAGCACATTTATCATTGTTTATTATTTGTTAAGTTGGCAACTGTTTAGCATGCATATATAAATAACATGCATATGAATATAAGTAGATATATATATATATATAGTTTGTCGACTTGAGTTGGCTGTTGCCAAAGTCAAGCACATAATTGACAAGCGGAGGCGATGCCATAAACAAAGTCAAGACTTTCACATTTAAGTACTTTGGAAGAGTGCGCCCACCAATTGTTTGAATTTGTTTTATTTATAATTAATAGCAATATTTCCCATGGCATTTCGCCTTCGATGCAATTGTTGGAATTGCTGTTTCTCGTGGGCAGCTGTGAGGCGTGCCAATTGTGTAACAACATCAACCAAAGCAGCTATAACAACGCCCAGAGAGCCAATTATTCAAGTTCACATTAAATGCTCTCAAAATTGTATGTCAAACAAATACAACATTTTATCCGATCAATTTAATAATTAAGTTTATTCAAATTGTCAAATAGGTAGGAATATTAATAATAACAATTTTATTGTCGATATTGTATACTGATTTAAAATGCCAAGCATGTCGAGCATATTAAAGCGTTGAACATTAGTCGCCATCAATCAGTATCAATCAAGTTGCTTGCCATTTCTGATTGGCAGGCAGATTGATCGCGGCGCTTCCCTTTGAGCTGCCTTATATGGCATATGGAACTTGCGCAAGCCTATTTCAGTTCCAAATGAATGAACTTCTCCACACACTATCCAAAAAAAAAAAATAAACAAAAACAAAATCACATCGCACACCCGCACACACACTCGCCAGTTGATATGCATATATGAGCATAGAGCTTGGCTCATTTCCAGCGTGCTATTGGCTTTACGCATGATCAATTAAGAAAAACAATTAAGATTTTGTTAAAATACCAAAAAGAGACCCACAGAAATGTTCAGAAACTAGTTGCCAAATTTTCGACCAAACTAAGATAGACACAAAAGGCATGCCAGCAAAACGACACAGAACGGAAGTTATAAATACGAATATGGACTGATATCATAGTTACATTTGCATACGTGCCAATGTTTGTGCTAGATGAGTTATGGCTGACGTTCAGGGAATAGAAGTTGGCAGTCAAACTACTGGCATATCAATTAGTAGAAAGCGCCAGAGCCAACACCCAACTAACTGGAGCACACGACACAATTCACCATACTTAGAGCCAGGCCACACCCCATCATTAGTTGCAACATCTGCAATATGCGCACACAAATGACAAAAGAAAACAATTTTTTAAAAATATTAAAAGAAAACAAGTAAATGCCCAATTAAATACAAGTGAAGGGGAAAAAATAAAACCAAACACTTTCCGGTCATCAACTGGCAGAGTGCAGCGCCGAGACAAATGGCCACTAAAGATGCCACACTATATTGCATGGCATTTCCTTCCTTTCCCATAGTTCATGCACATTAATTGCAAGCATTTGATTTGTTTATTATTATTATTTTCTTTCTTTTTTTTTGCAGTGCAGAAAAGCCCAAAAACAAACAATTCTCGAACGCGGCCAACAGTTTTATGCTGTGCGCTTTGGGGAATTTTAAGTGCAAACACAAACAACAATGACGACAGCCAAATGGACTTGGATTCGGATCTGCCGCCTGCTGCTGAGCATTTTACTCGGTATGTACTTGTACTATTTTATGGTCTTTACATTATTTTATGGTTTTAATTCTTGGACGAAAATAGTTTTTCGCATATGGCTGGGTCAGCTAAACTTGAATTAACTCGTTACACCAGCGCTGGCCTTCAGTATTTAACCAAAAATTTCAATGTTCTGCAAAGAGTGCGTCACAAATGCGAACGCTTCTTCAATTTAAGGCATAATTTCTATTTTTAAACAAACGCAAAACGTATCCAAGCTTCATGAGCATTATAACTATATACAAAACAAAAAATGTTCTATCTCATTTTTCACATATTTCAATTAAATTGCCTAGACTAATTCGGTACATATGAATATGCGGCTATTAACAAGAAAATTAAATCACATATTTTCCATTTTAAAAAATGTAGGAGCCACATAAAAGGAAAACACAACGAAACGGTAATACACTAAATTTATGGTTCTTAATTGATTTTCAAATTAGTTTTCAAATTAACAAACTCAAAATGATTTCTTGAAAAATTACAATAGGATTTCCAAAGAATTCGACTAAGTTCGAAGTATGACAAGTCTTTCGCGAGTTTTGAACTCAGCTAGAGACAAGGGACAACATTGCCAGGCGATGCAAAAATGATGACAAAGTTCTTATACCCCTTAGCGAGCAGTTAATAATATAAATCGAGGCCCAGCATGTCTGTGGGAGGCGGATATAAATCAATTCATAATGCCACACGGTTCACATAAGTATGCTATGCATAAAGTAGAGTCATTGAGTTGACAAATCGCACGTCAGCAGTTGGCCAGCTTTTTGGCAATGAAATGGCCGTCAGTCACTTGTCAAAACAACAAAAATCCCACTGGGCGCCAAATGTAGTTGTTGTTTGCCATTGAAGCCCCCACACACATACATATACACTCACACACTGTGCACTTTACATATTACGCATACGCAGCGTGACCGTCGCATGACTCAATGTACTGTTAGAGTCAGTGTAGCAGGTGCGCTGAAAGCGAAATTGAAATTAATTTCAATTATATATTTAACGCTACAGAAAACCGCATAGAGCCGCCTGCCTCGACACTTCTCTTGGCCAAAAATAAACACACCGAAAATGATTCGGAATTGCGAGCGTGGGAAATTTGTGAGCACTACAAAAAATATTGTGACGCACTTGTTGCTATTATTAGGCCATTTGTTTGTTCGCGCGAAATATTTCTGCAAAACAAATGGCAACACTTATAAATCTATTACAACTATAACATATATACATTTACTTTGTTTAACAATTTTTCCTTTTTGCTTTGCAGTTTTCAGCAGCGTTGCCGCAGAGACACCCAGTGGCTATAAGCGTGAGATATGCGAGTTCCGCAAGGGCAGACTGGTACGTATTGACCACCCACGGATATCTCTGTCCATAAGCTAATGAGCTGTTAATCGTTTCAGATGCAGCCCACCAGCTCGTATCGCAGCCGTTTGCTTGCAATGCGAGAGCAAATGCTGATACGTGCCACACTCGAGGGGCCCGAGATCTATGGATACATACTGCCCTCCACCGATGAGCATCTCAACCACGAGGTGGCGGCACGCGATCAACGTTTGCACTATCTCAGCGGCTATACGGGGAATCGTGCTGTTGCCGCAGTCACGCAGGGTGGCGCCGCCATTTGGCTGGAGAATCGCTATGCACAGCAGGCGGATGGGGAGCTTGACTGTGATTGGGAGATTTATTTGGTGGGTGGCAATGTCAGCATGGCCCAATGGTTTGGCCATCAGCTGCATATGAACAAACGTATTGGCGCCGATCCGCAGCTGGTGCCGCATCATTTGTGGATCACTTGGGAGCGTGAGCTGACCGAGAAGTTTCTGAAGCTCATCAAAATCAATAGCAATTTGGTGGACATGATTTGGGAGGCGGAGCGTCCAGACCCACCCAAGGATCATGTCATACAGGTGCAAACACGCGATTTTGCCGGCGAGAAATGGGAGGACAAAGTTAATGAGCTGCGTCGTCGGCTGGTTCATCTGGGCTGTGATGCCATGATTGTCACCTCACTCACAGAAATTGCCTATTTGTTGAATATTCGGGGCACAGACATTCCGTACACGCCCGTGGTGAAGGTAAGCCGGAACAGAAGCAAATTTGGATAGATATGTTTGACAATGTGTTTTTTCTTTAGTCTTTTGCCATTGTCAGCCGGGACGACATATTTTTCTATGTGGATCATGGCAAGATCAGTCTCGGCATTGATCTGCATCTGCGCACTGATTGCTATAACGAGAACTGTGTCAAGTAAGTATGGATTAATAATAAGGTTAACCGGTTATTTTCCTTAAGTGGACGTCAAATTTGTACAAAATGTGAAAGTTGTGAAAAAAAATGTATGTAACAGATAGAAGAACGGAGCTTTTACATAAATATATAAAGATGGCACATTAATAATCTGGCAATCTAAATAATCACCTTGTCACATAATTTTTATCGACTGCTCTGGTCTGTTTCCACTGAAGAAGATGATTAATCACCTTAAGAACATTTTGTTAAATGCTGAATCGTTTTGAGATATGATAAATTTGATTTTCCCAAAATAGATTATTAATCATTCAGAGTGGACATATTGCATTGAGAAAAACTTATTCCATATTGTCAAAGATATTCAACTTATTTATTAAATTGTATTTTACATATCAACCTTACTTTTTTAGTTGTATATTTAAGCATGAGATCAAAAGCACTTCTGACACATTTTTATATTCCGTTCTGCAGAATTAAGGAGTACAAGCAAATTTGGAGCGATATACGAACTTATGTACAAATCTGGAAGCGTGTGCTAGTGCCGGCACCTTGCGTTCAGGAGCCGGGTGCCTCCGAAGCGATTTACTCAGCGGTGCCCGCCAAGAATGTTGTGGAACACATCTCGCCGATTATCTTTATGCGAGCGCAAAAGAACTCAGAGGAGCAGGAGGGCATGCGTATGGCGCATATACGCGATGGCGCTGCCATATGCGAGGCCATGAGCAATCTGGAGACCAGATTCTACGTAGAGCAATGGACTGAGGAGAAGATCAAGTACGAGGTGGAGCTCTGGCGTTTGTCGCAGACCCATGCCAAGGGCCTATCCCTACGCACCGTGGTGGCCTACGGTGAACACTCGGCTCTACCCTACTACATATCCAGCAATGTGACCAACATTGAGGTTTCCGATCAGAGCCTGCTGGTCATCGAATCTGGCGGCCAGTATCTGGAGGGCACGACGGATGTGTCGCGCACTTTTATTTTTGGCGATCCCACACGCGACATGAAGAGAGCCTATACGGCTGTGTTGGCTGGTATTCTACACATATCCGATCTAATATTTCCCGCCTCGGTGAAGCCATCCGGTCTTGACAGTGTGGTGCGCGCCAAGGTGTGGCACGAGATGACCGATTATCCGCAGGCAACCGGGCATGGCATTGGCGCCTTTGGTTCTGTCGAGGAGCGTAAGTAAAGTTGTTGTCTTAAAGTTACTGATTCTTTAAAATATTTCTCAAATCTTTAATGTAGTTTACGAATGATCTCCAAAGATATTCTCTTCATAATCAAAAGAATATTTTTCGATAAAATAAGACTAGTAAGCAGTCGGTTTTATTCCACTGCAAATCTATTATAACATTATTTTTTACAGTTCAACTAACTCATGTCAACCAACATATTTACAGCTCCCATCTCAGTGGCTTATGGACAGAACAGCAGTTTCCACTTTAAGCAGGGCTATTTCTTCTCCAGCGGTAAGCAGTTCAGCTAGAATGCCAATGTTGCTTCTAAAACAATCTTTTACTCATGTAGAGTCTGGTTTTTACAAACGCGATGATTTCGGAGTACGCATCAAGAATGTGTTGGAGGTGTTGGACACTGGCAAAACAACGACCAGCGGTGAACACTTTTTAGCATTCCAACCTGTTACACTGGTGCCGTATGAGCCAAAACTGATCGATGGCTCGATGCTGAGCTCAGATGAGAAACGCATGCTGAATAGATACAATGCCAAAATACGGAAACAGATTGGGGACGAGCTGAAAAGACTGGGCAACATGAAGGCCTTCTATTGGATGATGAACAAGACGCGACACATACGCGAGTATCTGCCGGAGGACGAGTATCGTGCAGCAATGGGAGGTGGCTGCCACACCCACATCCATCCTGTCTACGTGCCCATATTAGCTGTGTGTCTAATGATTGTGGCATCATTCATCCATCTTTAGAAGCGATATATTTAAGCAATTGTATGTGTGTGCCTGTACTTGTGTGCGTGTGTGTGTGTGTGTGAGTGTATGTGGTTGCTTGGGTGTAATTATGTAGATTTAGTTAGCTATGCAAATCGAAGAGAGAACTTGGGACTAACAATTAAAATACCATTATTAACTGTTAGAATGTATTTAAGTAGTAGCTTGATTCATTCAATTCATTTGAAGTTGAGATACTTAAACCAATGCAAGTACGTAATGCAATTGTATAAACATATTTAACTATCAATAATTTACCAAAAAATATCTGTTAAACTTCTTATATTAATATGAACAATATCTACTTAGGTAAGAAATAATGCTGTATATTTTTCTAAATGTGATTAAACGTAAAATGTATTGAAGGTGTATCCGAGATTTACATACTGAAACGCTTAAGAAGTATGTTGTGCAGAAGGCCTTCCCAATGACAGATGTATCGTGTATATATAGTAACCTGATCTTTAATCTAACCAACCAATTGCGTTTTTCATGTTATGTCAAAATTTGAATATTCAAATGAAAAGGTGTAATTTTAGTAAGACTGAAATGAGCCAATATCATGTTACATATCTTAATGAAATTTACTTTTCCAGGATAATTCAAATCACGTTTTTGTTCTGAGCTTCGTTTAAGTAGGTCAATTATATTATATGATCCAATCAATATTCACCTCGATACCCGCACATGCTCGAAGATTGTGGCAGTTCAGATGATAGTGTTACGGAGATATTTATACCACCAGAGTTTATTTTTTCCACCATAGCCAATCGAGCTGATAAGCCAGCCAATAAGTACGTTGAAAAGTTTGTTGAGTGTTCCAATCATTCAGTTATTAACGTGATTTCAACTCGATACCTTGTGCTCTAGATATTGTTAAAAATAAATGAAAACGCGCAGTGCAAAACAAAAAGTGATAAGATTTAAACAATAAGAAATATCTCAATATACTCAATGCGACACTGATTGAAAACAAAGAAAATTCGTTGAAAATGATTTACCTCTTTGGTATTTTGTTGCTCCTACTTCCGCAACTGAATGCCAAAAATGTGCTAGTCGAGGAGTTGACAAAGGGCTGGTCCTTGAGGGAGAGCGGCTCTAGTGAGTTTTCACCGAAATTATCAATTTTTCTATGTCTGCTGGGGCATGAATATTACAATATTGATCTGATTCATTGCCAAATATTCAAGATTCGCACAGTCCCCGGCCTCCCCAGTAACTGTTGCGACTGATAAGATAAGAGCCCTGACGTTGACTTCGGTTTGTTGTTAATAGCAATGACTATGTCAATTAATTGGTCGTAAAATGTTTCCACTGCAACATTAGTGATTTTAGGGCGATTGTTTGTTTTGCACCGATTTCATTTTTTTCTTTGCATTTTTCAGCGAAGAAATTTAACGTGGCAAAAATTCCATCCGGGGTTTATACAGCTCTTAAAAGTGAATATGGTGATCTGCTGGATCCTGGCAATGATATTAAACTGCGTTGGATAGCAAACAAAAACTGGACTTATAGCACAAAATTCGCAAGGGGTTTGGACAGATAACTGGCCTGCATTTCTCGACATTCCTACTAAAGTCTCCCTTAATTTTCAGCCGATGAATTGGGTCACGAGAGTAAAGTGAATCTAACATTCCACGGAATTGATACAGTGGCCAAGATCTGGTTAAATGGCGAATTCCTTGGCGAGACAAATAATATGTTTGTGCGGTATTCCTATGCCGTTGGTAATATTCTCCGCCGAAGTCCTGACCTGAACCAGCTAGAGATCGAGCTACTCTCCCCGCTGGCCGTGGCGAATGCACGTGCCAAAGAGCTGGAGGACAAGGGCATTAGCGCTCCGCCCAGCTGCCCGCAATCTCAAGGCGATGTTGAATGTCATCGTAACATGTTGCGTAAAATGCAAATGAGCTTTGGAGGTGAGTGGAATCCGGCAGCATTGTCGTCCGGCATATGGAAACCGGTGACCCTTGAGTACTACACGGTCGCCATACTTCGTGATGTGGACGTGGCAATCAATCGCAACAGTACTCACTGGATAATGGACTGTCGAGCAGTTCTAAGCACAGCCGACTCTGAGTATTTCCATGCTCAGCTAGTGGTCTATTCCAGGTGAGTGGAATTTTCACCCGATCTCTGATAAATTGTTTGCATAACGCACCGAGAAGTAAGATGGTTGAACTATACTATTATTCATAGTTTATTTAAATATCATGGTTGAGTCCCATGATTAAAAATAACAATTCTTCTTCTGTTTTCTTTCAAATCTCTGTAATAATTGTAAAAATATTCAAATCATATAATCGTCTTATTCATAATAAACCTCAGCGAGCTGCTGGATGAGCCGTTTGTCGTTGAGAAAAGTCTGAACTATGCGTCGCCTCATCTGGAATTTCAGGTTGATATACCGAAAGTACGTAGATCCATACTTTTACTGGATTCAGCTAATCATTTACAAATCTTAGGAGCGCGTCAAGCTCTGGTGGCCCAATGGCTACGGATCACAGCAGTTGTATCCAGTACTATTTAGGTTGAAGACTTATCGGAATAAAGATGAGCCAAGTTTGAGTTCACGCACGGACTCGCAGAAATTGCTGCGTATTGGATTTCGGACAATCAAATTGGTGGAGGATAAGGATGGTAAGAAATTAACTTATGCATGTTTGCTTAAAGGTTTTCTCATCAATTTGGTGTGGTTTCAGACCGTGGTCGCACTTTTTATTTTCGTGTTAACGATCATCCAATCTTCATGAAGGGCGCCAACTATGTGCCGGCTCAGACCTTACCCGAACTCTCGGCCGAAACAGAAACAGGTGAGTACAGTTTATACAGTGTATCTAAGTTCTATTTTAATTTGGACTTTCTATTTTTCGTTACAGTGCAGCATCTGCTGAAATCGGCCCAGCTAGCCAACATGAATATGATACGCGTCTGGGGTGGTGGCCTTTATGAGTCGGATACCTTTTATAGTCTGGCTGACTCGTATGGCTTATTGGTATGGCAGGATATGACGTTTGCAAGAGCAACCTATCCCATCGACGATGAGCTAATGGCCTCCATGGGCCTTGAGGCTGTACAAAATGCACAGCGACTCGCCTATCATGCCAGTCTGGCATTGATTGTGACTAATAATGAGATCGAACTATATCTGGTTAAAAATCGCACTGATTTCGGTGAAGATGCGATGCGTCTTGAGAATGAATATAAGCTACTATTTGTGGGCAATCTATGTGCCGAGCTAAATATAATCTCGCGAAATGATTTCAATCCTCGTCCCGGTCCCATGATCTCCACACCCTCGCTGGGAATTCTCGAGTCCGGCAAGGAACTAGCCAAGGATCCCCAGAGTCCAGACTATGGAGATGGTAAGTAAAAAATGGGTCTCCATGTTTGTGACAATAAAACAGCCTTTACTCTTCAATTACAGTACATTTCTATGAGGACGAACAAGATTCCACTTCGCAGGTTATTTACCCGCCGGCTCGTTTCATCTCTGAATTCGGCTATGCCAGTCTGCCCATGCGTTCGTCCTGGCAACGTGTGCTCGGCGAGAATCAGACTGAGGAGAACTTAGCGGCACTAATACGCCAACGGCAGCATAATTCAAGGGGCTTTATTCCGATATTAATGGAAATTGCTTACCAGCTGCCATTCAAAATACACGCCTGGGATGATAATATCGATGAATTTATCTACTTCAGCCAGGTGGTCCAGGCAATGAACACCAAAGCAGCCTTTGAACTGTTTCGCAGCAGGCGAGGCGATTACCAGACAATGGGCGCACTTGTCTGGCAGCTAAATGATGTTTGGATAGCGCCCACATGGTCCTTCATCGATTTCTATGGCAACTACAAGTTGGCTTTCTACTGGGCAAAGGAATTCTTAGCACCAACCAGTATAATTACATTCTACAATGAATCTGGCGATCACCTGAAGATAACTGTCACTCGCGAGAATTACATAGAAACTCCCGATGTGCAGCTATATAATATTCACATCAATACATATCTGTGGAATGATATTTTCTCCAAAAAGGTCATCGCGCGAGCAATCGGCTTGGTAAGATTATTCCGATTTTTATAGCTTCATTTTTGAGAAATTTAATTTGATTAATTTTTAGCGCTCAAGTTCGTTGGATGAGTTGACCATACCTCTGGAGTCAGTTCTATACGAAGACCATACTAAGGAGGAAATCTTCTTGGAAATCCTTCTAAAGGATAACGATGAGATTGTGGCACAAAACTACTTCTATCCGGTGCCCATCAAGCACATTGTCGGCATTAAAGATCCGGAACTTAGGGTTCGTTTTTATATAATATTTTTCAGCTGATTGATATGAATTTATTATTATTATTTCCATTTTGTAATAGCTCGAAGTTGTGGGTATCGACTGCAATAGTGTAAAAACACCCTACAGTAATAGTTTCAGTTTGCGTATAACTGTTAAATATCCAGCCCTGTTCGTTTACTTGGAGCTGATCCATCCGGAATATGCAAGTTTGAGGCACACATTCTCCATGAATGGCTTCATTCAGACGGTTCCCCGTCAAAATATATACTTGGATTTCGAAATCAATTCGAAATGCTTGACTCTCAAAAGTTCGGATATCGCAGTAAAGACCATGAACCAATATTTGCAATGAGTATTATAATGAATGCAATATAACATATATTCTTGTATAAATACGACTAAGTTAAAAAAAATATATAACTAGACCGATTTTAAGAAACTTAATGATGTCTATATTTAAAAACACAAACCAAATAGTTGCCACACTTTTGTGCCCACGCCTTTGACTATACATAGCGTCGATTATAATTATGAAACGGCTATGTTTTTCAGTTTCTTATGATAAAGAAGAGTTAATTAAGATAGCTAAACAAACAGAAGGTAATAATAATGATATTGGTTAAAAAAGGAGTTTGAATGAAGATTAATAAATTTAACTGAGCTTAGCTGAATTTTAATATTCTACAAACATTTGTTTCCATCAAACTGCATAATAAATATTTGAATAAAGGCTCAAATTTTCACTTAATCTACTCTCTACTCTAAATCCTACTGTATTTATCACTGAGAAGATACTGCAAAGGTGTGTTTGTATGTGTGCAGGGTGGGCTAATGTGTGATAGGTCACTTCCGTACCGAACGCTGTCGACCGCAAATAAACCAAATCTAAATTAGAAGCTTTAGCTTTGTTCACTAGTGTTATCAGTACATATTATCTTTCTCGCATTCTCTCTCCCACTCTCCAGCAATTTGCACTCTCACTAGAAGCCGACGAGCGCCGATCGTCAAATTCCAGTCGTCAGTACATTAGTTACCCTTCGCGGTGGCGGTCGCGTTCATTGCTGCGTTTCGGTGGGCAACGCGACGGAACAGTTCGTATTTATATATGTAAACAACAAATTGGTGCTCGAGTTGGCGGCTCTAAGTATCTGTTATTTTTTTTGTTTAGAACCCGAAAGAAGTTTGTTGAAATAATTTATGACAAATAAATTGGCAGTATTTGCAAAAAAAAAAAATAAAAAACAAATATGCGTTGTTTGCTGAGTCGTAAAGTTTACGGTGGCACCAGCTGTGGACTGTTGGGACTGCTGCTCTGCTTTCATGTGGTGCCGGGGGTCAAAGGCGACGCTGTGCAAGTCATTGAGCTGGGCCATAATTGGAGTATATCTAATCAGAATGGCTGTAAGTATAAACCAACTTAAGATTGTATTTTAAAGCAGCTACCAATTAATCACATTAATAATAAACAAAAACAAGGAAGAACCGAACCAGTGGCCAGCAAATTTTCCTGTATTGACTTTGGTGTTTTGCTATTCATTATCAGTATCTTACGCTGATGATAAAACATACGTACTGAATATTTAAAAGAGCGCAAAAATATATATTGCAGCCATGACTATTGCGGATCAGACGCTGCCCTCGGGCATATACAGTGCCTTCTATCCCAATCAACTGCTGGATGCCTACAATGATGTGAGACTCCGCTGGTTGGCCTACGACAATTGGACATACACGAATAACTTCAAGTGTAAGTGCATTCTCCAATTGAAGTAATCATCTATCTCTAATCCCTTCTTTTTTCGTTTTGGTGCAGTCGATGTGGATCACTATAAGCGTGTGCGCAGTTTTAATTTGACCTTCCATGGCATCGACACAATAGCTGAGATTAGGTTGAATCGCCAGCTGTTGGGACGAACAGACAATATGTTTGTGCGCTACTCATACGATGTGAGCAAGTTGCTCCAGAACGATAATGTGCTGGAGGTGGAGATAACATCGCCAGTGTTGGTCGCAAGGGCCAAAGCCAATGCATTGGACCTAGCAGAACTATATGTGCCACCAGCATGTCCACCCGAAAGTTATCACGGTGAGTGCCACATGAACATGTTGCGAAAGATGCAGGCAAGCTTTTCATGGGACTGGGGACCGGCGGCGCCATCGATGGGTATCTGGAAGAGCGTTCAGCTCGAGATGTACGAAGTGGCACTGCTACGTGATGTGGATGTGGACATTAGTAGCAACGACACACACTGGAACATGCACATAAGCTGCTACATGGACACCATGAGTAGAGAGAATTTCTATGCCGAATTGGTATTCTATGCCGTGTGAGTAGACCTTGACATGACACATCAAACACGAAGTTACAACTTATCAAGGTCTTCATCTATTGCAGTGAGCTGCTCAAAGAGACAGTCGTCATAGACACATACACCTCAAAGCCCATCAGCTATTTGACGCCGGTAATTGTATTTGATCAGGCTGTCCCAATTGTAAGTAGCGAACACTAATTGTCTTGAGCGGCAATTGATTTGATTGATAAGTGTGTCAAGAGCAATTTGTTGTTGTTGTTTGTATTATGCAGGATGAAGTCAAAACCTGGTGGCCAAATGGCTTTGGCGACCAGAAGCTATATCCGCTGCACTTTACGCTGAACGCCTGGCTGGGCGCTTCTGGGCCCGAGCTGCGTGCCAAAACCAAATCACAGAAGTCTGTGCGTGTTGGCTTTCGCACACTGGAGCTAGTAGAGCGCCCGGCACCAGATGGTCAGGGCAACACATTCCTCTTTCGGGTGAACGGACTCGAGATGTTCATGAAAGGCAGCAACTATATTCCATCCCATATACTGCCAGAGCAACAAACTTTCGAAGGCAGTGAGTATGGAAATTGTATAATATACTTGTCCAACAATTTAGCATATATGAAATAGGCAACTTATTAGATGATAACCCTTTAGAAGCTGAACTCGATTCAAAAAACCCATGAGCAATCAAAACTAACCTCATATTGGAAACACCCAGAAACACACATTTGCTTCTGAAATAGGTTTTTCCCTCTATAATTAAAAATAATATAATTTGAAATTCTATGAATGCAATGATATTGTCTCAACGGTTCCAACGAATTGGATTACAACAATAAATAATAAATAAAAAGACTATCTATATATCTGTACACATTTATATATCTACATCTCTATAGTCTTTGATACTAGCTACCTTTGACAGGTTGACAATTTTTAGAGTCATCTTAATAAAAACTCAATAATAACCCGCAATCATCCAAAACAAATTTTTGTAGGCAAGCAAGATTACTATTTCAAGATGCAATTATAATCAAGCATCGACTGCATCGCAAGCATCTTGAATTCTTCAATAATGCTTAATGGTATCACTGGGAATTCATCAAGATAAAATTATAGTTAAATTATTCAACTGATTGTATGCAATTTCAAGCAATTGTTGACTATTTATTAATTCTCTAAAATCCCACATCCTTGCAGTTGCCTACATACTGGAATCTGCCAGGGAGGCGCATATGAATATGATACGAGTGTGGGGTGGTGGTATTTATGAATCAGACTACTTTTACGATCTGGCTGATACTCTAGGCATATTCATCTGGCAGGATATGATGTTCGCATGCGCCATGTATCCAACCACACCCGATTTTCTCGCCTCAGTCAGCGAAGAGGTGCGACAGAATGCCAAGCGATTGTCCCATCATGCCAGTGTTGCCATTTTTGCTGGCAACAATGAGAATGAAGCAGCACTGGTGCAGAACTGGTATCATACATTCGGTGATCTGGATCGCTTCAAGGCCGAATACCGGGAGCTCTACCTGGGCAATGTCATCCATGAGCTGAAGATTGTGTCGCACAGATCACGGCCTGAACCGTTGGTTTCCTCGCCATCGAATGGCAAGGCGGGAGAGCGGTACAACTATATATCGGAAAATCCACAGGAAACCAGCAATGGCGATGGTAAGGCCATAAAATAAAATTGATCAAGCCCATTTTTAGCATTGCTACGATTGCAGTGCACTTTTATGACTACTTTAAGGATGCGTGGAATGCGGATATTTATCCACGACCACGTTTCGCCAGTGAGTACGGACTACAATCACTGCCAGGTGCCTTTGCCTGGTCGCGCCTTAAGGCGGATGATTATCCACTGGCCGAACTGATGAGCCATCGCCAACACCATCCGCTTGCTATGGTACCAATCACCACCCAGGTGCATCGACATTTGCCTCTGCCGCTGCCCGAGGACGAGAACTACAACGAGGCGCTAATCTATTTCAGTCAGATATCCCAAGCCATGGCCACCAAAGTGGAGACTGAACTGTATCGCAGTCTTCGCGATACGGATCACAATACGATGGGTGCCCTTTACTGGCAGCTGAACGATGTCTGGATAGCGCCATCATGGTCCGGCATCGATTTCTACGGCAATTGGAAGGTACAATATAACTGACTAATCTCTGCTAAATACTAGTGCGAATTTTTACAGCTCCTGCACTATTGGGCACGCGATTTCCTTGCTCCGATTGCCATAGTTGCGCTCGAGGACACCACCAAAAAAGCACTTAATATATCGCTCATTTGCGATAGCCAAAAGCCAAGCGTCGATACTGCCAATCTAAATGTGGTGGCCAACATTCATCTGTGGTCGCAGTTATTGCCACGACAATCCCAGAACTGGTCGGTCACCCTGCGCCCCAATGGTGTGCAATATGATAAGGTTATACCAATCAAGGATCTGCTGAAAGGTGAATTCAATGAGCACAATGCTTACCTGGAGTTTCAATTGCGTCGCGATCAAACTGTACTTTCACGCACTTACTTCTTCCCCAGCAGCATTGCGAGTGCTGTGGGCATTTTGGATCCGGAGCTGGATGTGAGTATATAAGCATATGATCCATCCAGAACAGCCACATTACCTTTAAAATAAAATTGCACAGTTCGATCTCACGTCGAAAACCTGCGTCTCAACTACGTCTGGCACACGGAATAGCATCAGCATTACAATAACCGTAAAGCATCCGGCTGTGTTTGTCTACTTGGAACTGCAGCTGCCCTATCGGTATAAGCTCTCCGAAAATGGATACATGCAAACGACGCCCGTACATGTGGTTCATGCGACAATCGAGACGTCCTCTTGTATTCGTATCTGGCGCAAGTCCTACTTCAATATCTGGACCGTAAATGAATTCATGCCATAGCGCGGCAAATTTCCATTTTAAATTTTAATGCAACATTTATAAATATCTTATCAGGTAAACAAAGCAATAAATATAATAGATATGTTATAAGTACAGTTGTGCGTGTGTGTGGAGGCAACGCTGCCTCAGGCAATCTAAATGGGTGCCTGCCACCGGGCGCCTATCTATCTATCAAAACTGGGCATTTGGACACGTGGCGGCGTATAACCCTCGGGATATGGCACCAGCTGATTGTTGAGCACTCGCGCATTGCGCCAGGTCTTCACCTTGTCCTCTGCCGTGTCCGGCACGCGGACACCCTCGATCAATGTGACCGCCGGCCCATCGACAACGTTGTGCGTGCTCTGCCCAATGGGATTGCGATGCGGACTGCCGGCAAGTGGACGGCGAGTGGGCGTCACTGAGGGCGCGGCAACACCGGCACTTGCCGTCACCACTACCGAGTGTGGCATGTAGGTAACATATTTTGATTTCTGGGGCGTGGCTTGGTAGTTATGCTTGGTGATCAGATTTTGTGGTGGACGTGAGCGAGAACCGCCACCATTGCTGAGATAAATGCGTGCATTGCGCTCAACATAATCCAACGGTTCGGAGGCAGCAAATTGCATATCGCTGGGGAAACTGATGGGCGCCTGACGGAGAACGCGTGGCTGCGACTCAACAGGATCGGCATATATATATGGCTGCCACTGGCGATCCATGGCGAAGGAGTAGTTGTTGTTGTTGTTCCGTGTGCCTGGCTGCGTCTGGAAGTAAACTGGCTGCCAGGCAGCAGCAGCAACCCCACCCAATTGGCGTCCACTTCGCGAGTTGCTAATGCTGCTGCTGCTGCTGTCCAGCGCTTGTTGTTCCAGTGCCTTGCTCTGTGCCTTGGCCAACTGCAACTGAATAAACTTGGCCTGTCGCTGTTCTGCGCTGGCCTTGCGCTGGCGATAGTCCTGCTGCTGTTGGGCCAGTTCGCTTTGCTTCAGAAGTGCCGGCGTATGCTCAAAGATTAGCTGTCGTCCATTGGGATTGACACCTGCATTGCTCCTGGCCTGCAGCAGCGGTCGCTTTACATCCGAGCTGCGCACAAAGAATGAACCAGCCGCCTCCTCGGCACGCGCCTTGCGGCTATTCTTGCCCACCAGTATCTCCACATCGTTCCCTTGGCTGGATTTGACACTCACCACGCGAACCTTCGACGGATCCAGATTACGGCCAAAGCGCAGCTCAGTGCGCAACAGTGATGGTCGTCCCGTTACGCTGCTGCTAACGCTACCGTCGTTATCATTGGCATCTGCCACGCCCAACAAGAGCATCGCATAGAGCAATAATGTTGCAACACTCATACGCCCCGCTGCCTCTGTCACCTTTGAAGTCGTTGACGTTGCCATCTTTTGGCTGCGTTGGCTGTGAAATTTATGTAAATTGATGTCAAATTAGCCTAAGGTAATTGTTCATACATATTTATGTAAATCAGCGAGTAAGCACTAACTACCTTTATCCCATTCACAACTTTGTTAATAATTCATACGTGTTCGTTGCTTTTATAATTGCATTGTTAGCGACTTAACAATTAACATTGGCAGTCTGAAGCTCCAAACTGCAAACTACTCTGTTCCCATAATTCTCAAGCTTCTCTTAACTAAATGTGGTGACTCTAGATATGTATTATATGATTAGATTTTATTGGAAGTTGGTGTGGAGAACAAGTTTCATAATTGAACAGAATCTAATTTGACGATCAGTCCCAATTTCCATTATCAATACTACAAATTATAATTAATTGATTGAATTAAAATGTATATATATTATTTGCTTAATTTGTTGGTCAACTTACAAATATGTTGATGGTTCAGATTGTTGCTTGATTGCTTGGCGGATCTTCAATTCGGTTTTCACACCGGTTAATTTGCTGTTGCAGCACCTGCTTGAATTTTAGCTCATTATTTCTGCTCTTAATTTAATTATTGACAACCAGTCAAGCAGCCAAGCTCTGGCAAACAGCCTGAATGCATTTTACAACTTTTTACTGTATCTACGTGTCTATCTGCATGTGTGTGCATTGATGTGTGTGTGTGTGTTAATATGCTGGGCTCAGAAAGCGAAACAGCAACTAAAAATTGCACTGGTTAACTTTCGTTTGCTGCTGTGGCATGAGGAAACTGCCGGTTTGCCGGCAACAACAACAGCAACAACAACAGCAGCACTTAGTCAGTTATTGGCATGGCGTCAATTCCGGCCAGTTTGGGCGTGGAATTGCACTAGGCTCGCCTTTTAAATGCGTTCATGCTCTCAAACTCTATTTAACACAAGAGCTGATTTAAAGCACTTGAGCAGCTGCTATCGCCAAAGTCAATGACATTATCAACTCGTGCCTGTTTGCATCAACAATAATCACAAAGTCTCTGAGCACTTTATGCTTCAGTGCAGTTACCTGCTTTTATACCTGTTGCTGCCCCGTATTCAATACTCTATACTAGCACAGTTGCCGTCTCACATACAAGACTTTTATCTAAAACAGGAAGTATCCTTAACTGAGCAACGGGTTTGAATAACCTTCAACTTAAGTAAGATGCCTTGACTGCAAAAGTTCTTGGAAACGTTGAGTTTTTAATTTAGTTGTGTTAATGAAAGTAGTGTAACAAGTAAACCAATGTCAACTCAGAAACTTATCTCCCAAAACAATTAATGTAGCTTTGTAAAGCAAACAATATAGTATAGAACAAACGTTGATATATTTAAACTATTTTTATCATCCAGATATCTACAAACAAACTAAGCAAACATAATTAAGCAAATATTTAAACTGCAAATATTTATCAAATATAAAATTATAAATTAAACGACATATCTGACTAAGAACTCGGCTTCAATTTTTGGCAACTGTTATTAAGTAAACCGATAAATTAAGATCAGTTTATTAAATCGCAGGAAAACGTACAAATTTACTAAAACAACCTTTATATTTATTAAAAATTGATATCAAAATCATGGGTGCAAAACTTGTATTGAGGTGCTGAAGGTTCTGTTACCATGACTAAATATTTTAAATAGAATCGCATTCTAAACTTGGACGTCAAACAAAAAACATTGAACAAATCGCGACTACTGAGATCTTGTTAACGTTGTAAACGATTCACCGTCACACCTCTTATAGCTCGCCGTCTGCCATTCAATCAGATAGGTAATAAAGTATTTAAATGTTGCCAAAGATTGATGGCCGAGTTTTTGTCCCATTTATCGCAATTTGCATTGGATTAATTTTAGCTTTGCCTATTGATTGGCTGCATAATTGGGGCTGAATGGACTACGATATTACGCATACGCCGTATGCCGCCAACAACAAGTCATTAATGAGTGAAAATTTACGAACAAAATGAGAAAAACAATTAAGAAAATTGTGAATTGCAATTTTAATAAACGGCGCACGGCAGAGTTCACGGGAAGACCACGATCACGACTGCGTCTGAGACTGCGACTGCGAGTCAGGCAATCTGGGTAACCACCACATTGGTGCTTGTGGCCCAAACTCGAACTGACTGCCGACTTTCACTTTCAACTCAAACTCGGCAGCGATACGGCTGAGTGCGCCGCGCTCCCAGTTGAACTCGCTGCCGATGCCGATACCGCTGCTGCTACTGCTGCTGCTGACTGTGTGCTGTGCGTTGCGTTTTGCTTTTGTTGTTATGAAATCGTCGCAATCATCGCGCACTGTAACAACAAAAACAAGTTTTACTTTTTGCACAACAACACTAACCACTAACCAAACCACGACGTACAAAAAAAAAATGAGAAACCCCAAAAAAAGAAGTCAACGCTTGCTATTGAGCGCTTGGTCTCTTTTTTGTAAGCCTTTCTGAAGTGCTGGCCAACGTTTTTAGGCCGCTGGCCGGTAACAGCAACGTCGGCGCCAGCAGCGAAGCGACCGATTTCGGCTTCAATGTCACGTCGCAGCCACAGCTGCAGCCACTGCCGGCATCGACGTCGACGACGACGTCACAGCAATCACCTGGTCTTTCGCTTTAAAGCTTTGCCGTTGCGTCTTCATAGCGTCATTTTTTCTGTTCGTTTTTTTTTTCGGCCACTTTTGTTCAATGAAAATTACATCACTTCAAGTTTTGAAGCGGGACAGGAAATGCGACTTAAAGTTTTTATCAGCGCCTGGTCAAATTCAGAGTCAGAGTCAAAGTTTGAGTTTGAGTTAAAGTCATGGCCCTAAGTTATAACAAGCGCTGTTGAGATTGGTATTAAGTAAGTATGTTGAAATGCAAACTGCAATTATTGTTATTGTTATTGTTATTATGTATATGCAATTTGTAAAAGTATTTAATTTTGTGTGTTTAGTTTACTAACCCATGGCACTTGGTAGCTCGGCAAGTAATCACACGTGGCATCAACTATGTTGATCATTTGCATGCACATTCACTAGATACAATGGACAAGCGACAGGCGGCGCACATTTAATGATGAGCTTTCTCACTCAAGGCGTGTCATTTGCCATTAATTGGGTATTACGCTTATGTATTGCAATTGAGCGCAATTGCGGGACAACAACTGTGATGCAAATGACTGACTTGTTCATTGACTTTTGAGCTTGAGTTGTGTGTGTCAGCTTCTAGCCCATAAAATCGAAAAACTCTCACTTTTCTTGAGTCAACAGCTCTTCTAGAGCCCCTTGACAGTTTGTCAATCAAACAAGCTAAAAAGCAGCCGCAAAACTACAGACACACACACACATACACACATACACATACACACACACACACACATACACACACACACACACACACACACATACGCTTGACAACGTTGTACGCATTTCGAATTGATCTGGCAACAAAGAGTGCATTAAAAATTACGTATACGCCCACTGAAGCAGCAGTAGACCTATTCTTCCTCTTCTGCTTTATTCGCTTTGAGCCACGGACCCATTCTTCCTCTTCTTCCTTATTCGCTTTGAGGCACGCGCGTCAAGTTGCGCATTGCATTTAATGCATTTAAAAATCAGAGTTGTTGTCGACCGATGTACGATATCCGATGTCATTGGTAGTCGGGTCCAACAATCAAATGGTCGTTGTTATCAGTGATTGTTGTAGATTTTGTGTGCTTGCTTTTATTGTATTTGTTATTGTTGTTGTTGTTGTTGCTGTTGTTATTGATGTTATGTGCAAAATGCAAATGTGCTTCTGCGGTTAATGTAATTTATTGTTGTTACTTGGTATTGATGCTTGCCGGCGTTGTATTAATTTCACTTTTACTTTTTATGATTAACATTTCCCACCCAAATGCGAGAAATTGTACATGATTATTTTTTCTCTGTTTTTGTTCACTTACAAAAATTTGTATATTTCGTTGCTTCTACTACGGCAATGAAATGTGAAATTTGAAAGATCGTAAAGTTGAAAGATGCTTTGGCCCCTACGATGGTCACTTGACTTGCCTTTTCTTAAATTTAATGCTTTTTACTCATATGAGGTTTTTGTTTTAGTAATTTTTTATTTTTAATTTGCCAGCTTCTTTAATTATTCGTGCTTGTTATTCAGCAGCACTGGCAGGTACTTTCCGTCCTAAGATGAGTGTCTATTTTGGGTGCTGTATTTTTTGCACCCATTTGTAGCAAATGAAAGTGAAACTCTTTTAACTTTCGTACTCATATCGTGTCTGCCAAGTTAAGGGCTCGTGAGCTTAATGGATATAGCTTGACACTTCAAAATATGATCAACAAACAAGCGGCATCTTCTGACGTCATTATCCCACACACAAATGTTGCAAGCTCTGAGGCTATTAAAATGTGTTGGACAATCAAAATGATTCAGATGCGCTCTTATGCCAAGCTCAATCAACTGTCAACCAACCAACTTTTTGATGCTCAAAACGTTATTTTGTTGCCTAACAAATATCGTAAAATCTTTTGAAATCTGAACCGTTATTCGTTTGAACTTTCAAATATTAAACTAATTTTAAAAAATATATTTAACCAAAATAAAAACATCAATCTAACGATCTATCTAATGTACTGCACCATATATAATTCTTATTATCAAGCTCACCAAAAAACCAACAACAACTCACATTTTAATATAGTCGCTTGAATTGAAATCCGGACTGCTAACTAGTCAAATGCTCCGTGGTGCTTCTTGGCGCCGTATCTGACAACAACAAGAGGCTTTTAATTTGTATCTTTGTATCTGCCAACGAACAGACGAAATGTGCGACAGATCGCAACGCGAACCGAAATACAACTGAACGCAAATGAAAAACTTTTGCTTGCAAGTAAAAAAGCATCGAGCTGGAAAACGATGGAAAAAAGTAAAACTTATTATGCATACATACACACATGTGTACATATGTACACATCTATGTGTGTTTGGAGGCCGACACCAACAGCGACGCAGCGGCAACAGCAGCGGCAACAAACGCAGAGAAGGTAGCGCCGCTATTGGCAACCGTAACAACACAAGCACCAACACCAACACCAATACAAACACACAAACACACTGCTGGAACGACGTCGACGTCGGCAGCGGCAACAGCTGGCCAAAGAGACTGAAACCAAAAACTAAGACTCAGACGGGGACTCAGACTGGAGCTTGTGAGCTTGACACGGCTAAGCACACAAAAGACATGCCAAAAAAACCTAAAAAAAAAAAAACCAACAATCATTGCGGCCAAAATCAGCGAACAATTGCGCAATTTCGACAGCAGCAACAACCAGCGAGCGACTGCAAAAGTTAAAATCGTTACTCACAATATTTTATTTACCTCTCTCGGTGCTAGCGAATACAAGTTAGCAGCATTTTGTTCGCATCAGTGAGTACAACTAATTTGACGATTGTCTAACAGTGATTTATCTCGATTTATTAATATTAGAAATAAACCACATTAAAATCAATTTTTATCTATGTACATATCTATACTAATGATAAGTTAAAGCTATCATCACGTAAGATGTTAACTAAAAGCACTGATTGAAACAGCCAGAATTTTTCGAATATTATCTAAATCTATTAAGATGTAATGCAGTAACGTATAAGTGTAGTGTGAATTAGACTTTTTTTTTATTCTTAATTCAACAAATAAAAATTATAGCTATAGAACTTATGTTATATTAAGTATTTCCAAATAATTAATTAGATTTGATCATTTGCCATTACTATTATCTATATACATATATTACATTTTCGATTTCCCCAATGAATTCGGTGAAGTCAGCATGAAAAAAAACATTAATAATAATTAGTTGCGCCTTAAGATAAACAAATCATCAGCCCATGAGACTAAGGAGTCGTCAATGCGGTCCTCCCCAGCAACAGTTCTTCCTCTTACACACCCCGGTTTGGCGGCTTTAGATGCATGCCATCAGATTGTGGGCAAAATAAATAATTGCCATGTGCCGCGGTGGTTTACGAAAGTGGCCAGAAGTAGGTGTGTTCCATTGAGCTGTGTACCTTGTTTAAGATGCTAAGATACAGATACAAATCCAAGGCAGTCACTTCACACAAGCATTTAGCTTAACTTTTTAATAGCAATTTTCGCAATTTTCATAGCATTTTATTGTGTTGTTTCTAGTTGGAGAGGCTTTTGAATAAATAGCTTTTTTTTAATTAACAAAATTTCACTTTCTTGTTAGGCTAAAAACTTAATAGGTTGAGAGGGGGTTATGGTATGGATGCACAAATGAGGAAAAGATAATTAACTTATGAATAGATCTCCAGCATGTCATTGGTGCTCTTGGCCGCTTTTTTTGCCTTACCATCCTTAATTAAGCGCAAGCCATTCTGGCTGAATTCCAAGCAATTTAATTTATGCTCAAATAACGACTGGTTGAGCAATAATGAAATGCACATGTATAAGCGTCTATCCACAAATCTAGTTTGAGATAAACGCAGGCAGCCAAAAATGGGAAACACTTGTGCAAACGGTGTACAAGAATCCAGAAGACTACTCGCCCCGATGGTAAAGTCTGCCACTGAGGAACCATTCAAATCGACTTTAAAATGCACACTCAAAGCTTTCCGATTAAACATGATGAAAACGCACACCTCCTGCTTCAACACACCAGCGCCGATACCCACACAGCATGTGCACACATAGTCCTGACAGGAGCACAGCCTCAATTTTGGCAGCTCAAAAAGATTGTTGTTGACTGCACGCGGCATCAATAATTTCGGTGCACCCAGCAATGGTGCAATCAGCATATTAGTCGGCTTTACGTTGGTCAATAATTTCGATGCACCCAGTAATTGCAATCGCTTCAACTGCTTGTCATTCGAAGGATTAAAGGGTGTAATCGTCTTATTAGTCTCGTTTACCTTGGACAGGTCCAGGGAAAACAATGCGTATGCGCGATGCACCATAAAAATAGCCAGAAGACAAAACGGCGCAAGGCAATTCATTCTTTTGACGCTGTACGAGGTTGTGCTCCACTTGACTGTTTAATGTATTGTCCAGCCGGAGGCTGTTTAGAACTTGTAAGCTTAAGCGTGTTTTCCCCCACAATTGTCCAAACAGAGTGTGCATTGTGTTTGCCCTCAATACATGTTATTTAATTTGTTCTAGTCGCTTTACTTCTAAACGGCCGCCAAATGGCGTGGAAAATCGTATTAACTGAAATTGGAATTGTGGCGCGAGGACAAAGTATGTGTTAAATGTGTCAATGCTAGATTGGGTGGGATGATAGCTCCAAGCGGCTAAACTAATTAATGAACGTTCGTCTCGGTTGTTCCCAATTTACGATAGGACACCGGGTGGAGCGCATAGCTGAAAATTGAACGCTCATGCGGCATTTCTTACGTCTGCTAGAAATGTAAATGTTACAAAATTGCACACTTGAAACTTTGAAATGTGTCAAAATATCATTAGGCGCTCATTTTACGCAAACAACGGGCTGCCAGGTAGCAGCAACAAAAATAACAACAGCAACATGAAATTGTCATCGGTATCGCAATCCGTAACGTACTATGCTTTCAAACAGACAGAGACCTTTTTGGTCCGTAAATGGATTTTAAAATCATATTTGGTCTTTCTTTATTTTGTCATGCATTTCACATTTGTTTGCAAGCGACAACAACAAGAAAAGACCCGACAATAACTGCAATAAAAGAAACACTCTGTATTTTTCCCAATGATTTGTTGATTTTGGTTTCACAACTTTTGTAAGACTCACGAGAAATCGAGGAAGAAACAGTTTCAGTTGATAAATATGAACATATGTTTATAACTTTGACATATACTTAACCGACCTTGTATCAGTTCAAAGCCACAAAATATGCCTTATATGTTTATTTTATGTATGTATAAAAGTATAGATACATGGTACATGTGTATAACCTATGTCTTGGCTAAATTTGGATTTTTATAGGGGCTTCCACCCGTATGTTTTTCGGTGAAAACATAGTTATGAACAGAAAATATAATTTGAAGGACTTAGGTCAAGCACCTCTAATTAAAAACAAATTTTAAAAACATTTCGGAATAAGTTTGGCTGATTTGTACATATAATACCCAAATTTAAGGAAAGCAAAATATCAAAAGAATATAGCTAAAAACAACATTAAAAATATTTTAATATACGGATTGATTTTGAATTTAACTTCTTATACACTTAACAGAAGTTCCCCAACTTTAACATAATTACTCCACACTTAACGGCTACTCCGCACCTATCAGATCAGTCGGTTAATGTAACAGTCTAGTTGAAATATTTAAATAAGATATGCTAAAATGTTCAAGTTGAAATTCAACAGATATTATTCCTCAAGCAAGTTGTGCTAAAGCAAACTGCTAGTTTTGTTATTCCGAATTCGTAAAAAATTAACGTAGTATCATAAATGGCGTATTATCCTGAAATCCAATCATTTTCTTAAATGGTTTTTATTTCAAAAATAAAATTCAAAAGTTATTTCCACAAAAACTTTTAATTTTGTAACAGCAATTTGTTAAATCGCTGAAAGTTACAGTACAGCAAATGTTAAATTATTGCAGCTGTTAAGCCCTATGTTAGACAAACAGCTGACCATTTATGTCCGTCCAACTCAGCAAAAAATACCAGAACAGAACAATTAAATACCAAACCAACGCAGCAATTTTTGTTGTGTCCGCAGCGAAAATGTATAAACTCGGTTAAATTAACACAATCCATACAATTAGCTCGCGGTTTCGCAATAAAATCAGTTTACATTATTATAAACTATCGTTAGTCACAATAATATGGGCGATTTCTTCAAGTCGCTGAACTTCAACTATTTTAACACCACCACATCGAGCTCAGACGATGCAGGTGGCAGCGGAGGAGGAGGAGGTGCTAGCAGTGCCACAGTCAACAGTGGCAGCCTGGACAATGATTACGTTGGCCAATTCGTGGAAATATCTGGCCAAAAGCTGCGCACGAAATGTGTCATAGCCGAAGGTAGAAGAATACAAGCAAATTACATCAAAATAAATCAATGCTCTTAACGCTTGCAAATCAATAGGAACTGAAATAATGAAACAAATTGGTGTATTCGTCAAAATCAATTTGTCATATCAAATGATATTTGCAGCCAAAGCTGGTGACAATGACACCACAGTCATATCAGCTACTAGCTCTTTGTTTACGCTTTCATGATTTTCACATTGAAACAGAATGGAAAACTTGTTGCTTTGTTAACGAGAATTGAGAATGAGATGTGCACAAATAAGTCGTGTAGACTTTGTGTTAGTATTGGTGCCCAACTTGTTGTTGAAGTTCAAATGTTCTTTTCCCGTTCTCTGACCTCATGAGTCATGTTGCCTCACTCAAGCAAACTTACACACGCACACGCACATACATACGCAATCAAAATCTACAAATTTCCATTGGATTCACAACGAATATCTGTTTAATTACTTTAATGTGTTTGGGGCATTACTGAAATGAACAAACCCGCTTATCAGTGCCCGTTATCAACTTCCCCTTTTATATATTTTTTGTTTTTGCAGGCGGGTATGCCTTTGTTTATGTCGCACAAGATGTAAAAACTGGCGCTGAATACGCCCTCAAGCGCTTGATCGCCGCCGATCAGTCGGCCTGTCGTGCCATCAACAACGAGATTAGCGTGCACAAGCAACTATCCGGACATGGCAACATTGTCACATGCATCGGCTCCAACTGCATCGCCCCAACGCCGCCACAGGGTGCCCAATTCTTGCTGCTGACTGAACTGTGCAAGGGTAAGTGATGGAGTTGCTGTTACCTGTTTAAGAAATCTCATCTTCTTAACACATATAATTCCATAGGCGGCTCGTTGGTGGACTGCTTTAGAGTGGACAATACATCACTCGATCCACCCGTCATCCTGCGCATCTTCTATCAAATGGCCCGTGCCGTTGCCCACATGCACACACAATCACCGCCGATAGCACATCGTGATATAAAGGTATTCATTCAAATTTTAATTGCACACAATTGGCAATCCAATCACTTACTAATCTCGTGAGAATAGTTCGGAAGTATTGCCTATTCATTTTAACTATGCAGTTGAAGCTAACCAAATCTCGATTTATCTCATCGACAGATTGAAAATTTTCTAATTGGCAATGATAAGCAAATTAAACTTTGCGACTTTGGCTCGGCCAGCAAGGAGTTGCTTGAGCCCACGTTTGAATGGAGCGCACATCAACGGAACATGCTCGAGGATCAGCTCAATACAGTCACAACACCCATGTATCGAGCACCTGAAATGCTGGATACCTGGTCGAACTATCCAATCGGTCCAAAGGCCGATATTTGGGCATTAGGCTGCATATTGTATTTCCTGTGCTATCAGAAGCATCCCTATGAAGATGGTGGCAAGCTGCGGATTATCAATGCCAACTATATGCTACCGCCAGATTCTCGGTATCATTGCTTTCGTGAAATTATAAAAGGGTGCTTTAAAGTGAATCCGGCTGAGCGTTTTGACATCTCAATGGTACTGGAGCGCTTGGCAGCCGTTGCCGAGACGAACAACTGGTCGCTAAAGGGACCGTTGGATTTGCGCGGCCTGCCGATAGAAACGTCGCCAGCTGAGAGCCCAGCGAGAAGCCTGCCCGAAACGAGCAATTCAGAATTCTATTGCGACAATCCAAATCCGACGGCGACTCCCATGCCGTCTGCGGCTATGCCACAAACTACTGCAAGTGCTGCGACCAGCCATGGCAATGGTAGCCTCTTTTCTTCACTGCGGGGCGGGGCCGGCACCCTGTTCAAGAACCTGAAGGACACCTCGACCAAGGTGATGCAAACGATGCAGCAATCAATTGCACGCAACGATCTGGACATTAGTCACATCACGTCACGCATCCTGGTCATGCCCTGTCCATCCGATGGCTTTGAGTCCACATACAAAACAAACAACATTGAGGATGTGCGTTTGTCGTTGGAGAGTCGATTCTCACCGCAAAAGATAAGCATTTATAATTTTGGTTCCCGAACTGTGCCGCGTCTGCCGCCGCCTGTGCGTACTGTTGAGGCTGGCTCCGTGTACGGTTGCCCGCAGGCGCATGCGCCCAATCTTCAGGTAAGTGTGCAAATTCCTAATTATTTTCATGGCTATATATTGAATGGCTAACGTATTGCAGGGTCTCTTCACTGTGTCAGCGGACATGTACAACTTCCTCAATGCAGATCCCAAATCTGTTGTGATTGTCCAAACCGGTGACTCTGGCGGCTGCACAGCTGCCACTGTCATTTGTGCCCTACTCATGTACGCCGGTCTGCTGCACGAACCCGAGGATGCGGTGCAGGTGTTTGCTGTTAAGCGACACACCATCAATTTGCGGGCCTCTGAGTTTCGTTATCTCTACTATTTTGGCGACATACTGCGTCCGATTCCACTGCTGCCGCACTACAAGAACTTCAATCTTGTTTCCCTCAGCTGTCAGCCGGTGCCACGCATGACCAAAGCTCGCGATGGATGCCGCATTTATATGGAGGTTTATTGCAACGAGAAAATGTTGCTTTCGACGTTGCAAGATTACGAAAAAATGCGGTGCGTCTTTAACTTTCTTGTTAATTTTCTTCTTCATATTAAATGATTGTGAATTGATCTATTATAGGCTGCATCTCGCTGGACCCGGAAAAATTGTACTGCCCATTAACTTAACGGTTTGCGGAGATTTGACCATTGTATTGTACCATGCGCGCAACGCCCTGAAGGGTATGGTGCGTCCACAGGGGCTGAAGATTTGCCAGTTTCAGATCAATACGGGCTTTGTACCCGAGCCAGAAACTCTGATCACCTTCAATGCTCTTGATCTTGATGATTTGCCGGATCCAGAGCAGGTGCCACAAAGCTTTTGTGTGTCGCTATCGTTGAGCGTAACGGAAACAGAAACTCCGCCCAGCCACAAGCCACCATGGCTTCCAGCCAAATCCAAGCGCGCTGCCCAAAATCTCTTTAGCTCCGATTTGGAGTATGTCGAGATGCTGGATAATTTTGGTAAGACTGAATTCACATTCACACACTATTAATTGTTTATATTAATAATCGTGTTCGCTCTGCAGTAACTAAGCCTAGTTTGCGATCCTCACCGACGCCACAAGTTAAGAAGCCCGAACGTTCGAACTCTCCGCTGGTGCTACCGGATGTCACTGAAATTGCTCATGATGCACCGGCAACCATGCCGGAGCCCTCACCGCCCATAGATTTGCTCAATTTGAATCAGCAACCCAGTGCTGGCGCCGCATCTGCTGCTTCTGATCCGCTGGCCAGCGCCATGCCCAGCTCGGATGCCAGCTTCGATCTGTTAGGCGCTTTTGGGGATGATGATTCCACAGGCATTGGATCGGCACCCATACCGGATGTGCTGCCACCACCGCACGCGGGACCCCAGCCCAAAATTAATGCTGATCTCTTTGACATATTTGGCTCTATTGATCAGAGCGGCGGTATGGGCACCCCAAATCTGAAACCAACAACTGGCGCAAACCGGCCGCCATTTGTAAGCGCAGTACCCACCTTTGTGACCACGCCAGCTGCACCCACAAAGGAACCATCACCCACGCAACCCCAAAAACCATTAGATCCGTTTGCTGACATTGCCAACCTGGCATCAGATCTAAATATTAACTTTAACCGGAGCACACTTGGTGCCAAATCGGCGGGCAGCACGCCCGTTGGCCACAGTCCACAGACAACGCAGTTTTCCAGTCCCACGCACAAGACGACACCAAGTCAACCACAGACTCAGCCTCAGGCACAGCCAAAACCTCAGCCGCAGGCACAGGCACAGCCCGCATTTGCCAGGACGCCTCCGCAGCCGCAATCACAATCACAAGGGGCATCCTCTCGACCTGACTACAGCCGCACCCACTTCGATGCGCCGAAAACATCGCAACAGTCGGGTGCTGGTGGCACGAAGAGTTCAGACATTTTTGGTGATATTCTCGGACAGCAAGGCTACTCATTTGGAAGCAAAATGCATCATGGTCCGCGTTCCATCAATGAAATGCGCAAGGAGGAGCTGGTCAAAGATATGGATCCCAAGAAAGTGATCATAATGGAATGGGTAAGTAAAACAAACTTATAAATAATAGATAATGTATCTAGGTTTTGTATGACCTTACAGACCGATGGCAAGAAGAACAATATACGCGCCCTGCTCTGCTCCATGCACACGGTGCTCTGGGAGAATGCCAAGTGGAAACGCTGCGAAATGTCAACCATGGTCACTCCGGCTGAGGTTAAGAAGGCCTATCGACGCGCCTGTCTAGCCGTGCATCCGGATAAGGTCTGATTTCTAAATTGTTGTCTAAGAGTTTGCTTTATTTAATGTAAATCTTTACAGCATAATGGCACCGAGCACGAAGAAATCGCCAAACTCATATTTATGGAATTAAATAATGCTTGGACGGATTTCGAGAACGATGCCACACAGCAAAACATGTTCAATGCTTAAATTGTGTCCTAAAGCTATGTGTAACCATATATAGTACATATATATTATATAGTTTTAAATTTCCTTCTATTAGCTGAAACTAGTGTAAAGCCATGTAAGAGTAAGCTTTAATGTGTAAAGTGAAAGTATTTGTGTATGCTGCATTATACATGCATACACATTTTAGTTAGCCCAAGATGAACCCAATTTCAAATTCTAAAATATTTATGGACAATTTACTTAATTTTGTAATTAAAGCATAGTCGCGCCCACATTCCCAAAATTGCACAAAAACTATATTGCTTATGAGCACATCAAAATAAACTCCCCATATTCAATATATTAAGAATGTACAGTAGAGGCTGATTACAATATTTAAGGAATCTGATCAGTATGGTCGATATCTCTACAGAATACTAATTCAGATTCAACTGTGCATGATTTGTGTAACAATCAGTTTGATATACTCAATTCGAAAACAGCTCAATTGTAATTGGCGTTTACAACAAATATGACCTGGTCCCAACCCAATATGTGATTAAGATACACGCCTACGCAAAAATGAAAAGTGCATAAGTTTATATAATTGAAATATATATAAATATATATGATGTTTAAAATGAAATTATATGTATGGTAGACCAATCCAACGGTACTAAATAGGATGAAAAACGCTTGATTTACTGTTACCCCAAAATTGTTTAATTTTCAGCATTTAAAATCGATCCAGACATACACTGAAAAATATATGTAATAAATTCTCTATGCATTTCTATGCGAAATGGTACTGTTAGCAAACAAATGTTTTCTTAATTGGTTTCCCATTTTGATCCTTTGACACACTTGCCAGCCACAAATACGGCGGTAATATTGCGATCGTCACCCGTAAATATGAATTTCTCCACCAGCTCGTCAACAGTTAGTGTACGATGTGGTTTCTCCAGAATGCTAACGTCCACCAGAAGTGCATCAAACTCCTTGCCGACAGCAAAGTTACCAGTGATGTGGTCCAAAGACAATGCTTTAGCACCACCCAAGGTGGCCAAATAAAATGCCTGCTTGTACGACAACTGCTGGTAGTCTCTATTTGGAGTTTTCGCTGGGCCCGTACCGAAAATATCCTGCTTATTGAAAAAGTCTAAATGCTTGGACACGTCTAAAGCGCGATTCAAGGCATGCAGTATCGATACGGAATTGCCACCAGAAACATCAGTTCCCAAGCCAACACTTATTCCTGCATTGATTAGGCGTTGCACATCGCATAGACCCGAATTCAAATTTGTGTTGGAAGCTGGACAATGTATAATGGATGTGCCACGCTCCCTGAGCAGAGCAATCTCATCATCCTCCAGATGCACACCATGCGCCATGACAGTCTGCGTTACAGACACACATTAGTACTTTAGGCTTTTAGAGGGGAATCGAACAAACCTTTTTGGTCAACAAACCGGCCTCGTCATAGGCTCCGGCATAGCTAGTTTTAAATATGTCCTTCACCACCTTAATCTCCTGAAGATTTTCGCTAATGTGGCTCTGCACATGGACATCATTGCTCTTAGCAATATTACCCAATTCCCGTAGTAGCTCCTTGCTGCAGCTAAGCGCAAAACGTGGCGTTATTGTTGGCAGGACCAGAGGGTTATTCAGCTCACGGATTGCTTTCACGAACGACTGCGTTCCCTTCACCGATTCGTCAGTTGTTTCCCTGCATGTGAGAATTATTAATTATGAATTAATTGATCATTGATTTTGTCAAAGGACACACTTACACATAGAAATCGGGACTGTTGCAATTGGAGCAGACCTTGCCAATCAGTGCACGCTGACCTTGACGTGCCGCTTCCCGAGCTAAGATCAGTGTGGACTCTAAGTTGTTGGTAGCGAAATAAGAGGCCAAAGTGGTGCCGCAACGCAGTGTCGCTTCCTAAAGAGTATCATGTTATCAACTGGCTTATGTGTATGTGATGTTTGTGTGTGAAATTGAGAGTGAGAGCCCAAAGATCAGTGAGCAAATCGTTATCGTTAACGTATGCGTATGTAAGTGTGTGTGTGTGTGTGTGTATGATGAAAAGCTGATAAGGAATAAAAGCAATCATATTTAATATGATAATTGTTATTCGACTTACGACAACACTCTTATAGATTCCCAAGGCAAATTCTTGATCAACATATTTAGCTTCAGTTGGAAAGGTATACTTATTGAGCCAGTCGAGAAGCGGCACACTCAATCCCAGGCCAATTTGGGCGTATTGTGGTGCATGAATGTGACCATCACAAAATCCGGGAGAGAGAAACTGAAACTCCGTGAGCAGCACCTCAGACAACGTTGTGCGGTCGATTTTCGTGGTGGACAACCAATCCTCGTAGTCATCGCCAACGCCAATTATCTAAATGGAAATTATCATAATGAATGCCACATCATCAAGGAAAATGAATTTTCAATAATCCATTTTGCCAGCCATGTGCCTTTTCATACCTTTCCATTTTCGACAGCAACAAAGCCTTGCTTAAGTGATTCAAATTCATTGAAAGATTTGGTGTGCACAATGGTTCCACGATATACTGTAAGCATCTCGACTAATAAATGTGCTCCTTGTTTGACGACGACCCAAAAAGAAATGGGATTCCTGCTCAACAGGTATTTAAATTGTCGTCAGTTTACTTTACGGCCCTGCCATTCAAAGTGGAAGCCTACACAGATTTATTGATGTTCTGGTGAATGGCAAAATCCATCTTGGCGGGTTAATGAATTTTAATTAAACTTAAATTGATAAACGTCATGTGGTCAACACGACGTTGGTTATTTACAGGGTGATCGATCATAAAACTTTTATTTTTTTAAAACGTTTTCTTTTTACATATTTGTCAGCCAATTTCAATTTTTGATTTTTAACGTAATCGGGGACTCTGTTAAGATTTATCACTCACATGTGAGCGATATATAACACTCGATAATACAATCAGTTTCATGTATAAGATGTAATTAATGTACTTAATTAAATCATAAACAACATCAAAATTATATTTTACCTAATAAATTCAAACGTCTAGTGGTGCTATGTTTGTTTGTTATCGATATTTCGAACATCACAGCTGATTTCTTATCGATGATTTTAACGAAAACAAATTGAATTAAAAAGAGGGAGTGCGCTTACCATCTCATGTTAGCTTCTACATTTCGTTTGCCCACACGGGCAATACAAGCTTATTTACAAACAATAATGTGGGAATAAAAGTAAAAGGTCTGATTTTTATGCGTTTCTTGGCACCAAATTTCAAAATTCTTGTTTACAATAAGTGCATTGTGTCCAATGGCGGTCGAAGTGTAATTTGCGTGAAGTGACCATATCAGTCAACACAAATCGTCTCATGTAATCTAAGTGCATTATTACTCAATGCAAATCCAATGCACCTAATTGATTCAACTGGTTTTGCTCAAGACAACTTACCATTAATTGCGAAATGTAAGTCTGATGAAATAAAATACGAATTTCGAATAGGGGCTCGACAAAACGACCACCATAGCATGCACAATTTTATTACATATTTATTTTTAAGTTGTGTAAAAATGTATTATTTATGTTCTGTACAACATGTCTGTGATTTGTAATTATTATTATTATTATATGCAGTTGACACGTAATCGCATACATTTGCACATATTTGCACGTAATTCCAATCGAAAGCTTTCTCTAACAAAAAAATTAAAACAATAAAATAAAAACGCCAGAAGCACATATTTATTATCAGATTTTTTCATTCAGCGTCGCCAGCTGATCAAAACAAATACAGACACACATCGCTTGCGATTTGTATAGAAAACCCAGAAGAAGCAGTGCCAACAAAGTCAAAATGCGAAAAGCACACACAAAACACGGGACAATAATGAGCGTCTTGTGCCTCAATTTATCTGACTTCTGAATACGCTGCTCAGCTGCTCGCTGCTAAGCACGAACGAATGAATGAGGTTGAGCAGCAGTGACATATGCCGATTTTGTAGGGCACAGGAAGTAGAAAGCTCTTCATAAATATTTGGTTAGCGCGTTTGCTTGTGTTCGTGTGATTGCCACAGAGCAGAACAAGTTATAAACAAAATCGAAAGGCAGCTGAAAACAAAAAGCACCAAAGTACATGCAAGATGCGAAGCGGAGCAAAAGCAAGTTGGCCAAATAAACTACATATGCGTGTATTCACCCGTGTATATATATGCATGTGTGTGTGTGTGTGTGAGTGTGATTGTGAGTACATGTGTATGTAGACACAGGGCCAAAGCGCCAGCGTCCCCAAAATCGATTTTGTTTCGTGCCAGTGACACAATCGGCGCCCAGCGCACAACAACAACGGAACATAACGGAAAAGGTTGTGATTTAGCAAAATAAGGCGCTTCATTTTCAAGTTTCTTTTGCTTAAGTTCGATGAGAATATTATTTATATATGTGGCATATGCAGAATGCAGAATGTAGAATTTAAATTAGAACATCAACTTGTGATTGTTTCGATTGTTTGTATAAGCTATGCAGTGGCGCAACCCCAAACATAAACAAGCGTTTCAAGGTCGTTGCAAGCAAAAGAGGCCATGCCAAAAATATAATGTATACGTTTAATGGCGCACTTGCTCGAAAATGTTTACAAAAATTATGATGTGATCCATTCTTTATTTCACTTATTTTTTTGTTTTGTTAACAGTTAGCAGAGAAGCAATGGAATCGTTTCTGAGCTTATTTGATCCAAATCAGCCGGACGATGGCTTCGATGAGGAGCAGGAGCTGAATGGCAACAGCAGCGGTAGCAGCGAATATGAAGTGGACGGCAATGTTAATGAGAGCAATAATATTAGCAATAACAACCTAAGCAATAATGTCAAAAGCAATCTCATTTTTGACTTTGAGCAGGGCATTCTGCCGCCAGAGCCACAGTTGGGCAATGTGGAGTACAAGCTGAAGTTGGTGAATCCCTCAAAGCAGCGTTTCGAGCATTTGGTCACGCAAATGAAGTGGCGCCTGCGCGAGGGCCAAGGCGAAGCCATCTACGAGATTGGAGTCTCCGATGCGGGCCATCTGCAGGGCCTCAATGACAAGGACATGAACGCTTCACTCACCACGCTCAAACAGATGGCTCATCATTTGGGCGCCAGCACATCGGTGCTCAGGCGCAAAATAATTCCCGTCCGGCGTTCCGTTGCCGAGGTCCTGGTGCGCAAGATACCCGATGATCAGCACAATATTGAGATACGCGTCGCGGTTCTGGGTGGTGCCGATGCTGGCAAATCCACGCTGCTGGGTGTTCTCACCCAGGATGAACTGGACAATGGACACGGACGTGCGCGTCTGAATATGTTTCGGCACATGCACGAGATTCAGTCGGGTATAAAATAAACTCACATCATTTATGCAGACACTAATTCAATTCTCCGCTCAGGTCGCACCTCTTGCATCTCGCATGAAACATTGGGATTCGACGCCTTGGGCAATGTGGTCAACTACAAATACAATGAAATGATGACTGCCGAGGAGATAAGCGATCGATCCACAAAGCTGGTCACCTTCATGGACCTAGCTGGCCATCGTCGCTATATGCGCACCACAGTGCAAGCTCTGAGCGGTTACTCGCCACATTATGCCATGCTCGTGGTGTCCGCTGGCAGTGGCTGCAACGACACCACAGAGGAGCATCTGGCCATAGTGCGTGCTCTCGATATGCCCTTCTTTATATTGATCACCAAAACGGATATTACATCACCCGATGCCACAGTGCAGGAGTTGCGCACATTACTCACAAATATTGGGTGCCGCAAGGTGCCGTTTGTGGTCACCAATACGGATGAGGCCATATCAGCTGGCTCCAATCAGGTCTCGGAAAATATTGTGCCCATATTTTGTGTCTCAAATGTGACTGGCAACGGTCTGAATCTAGTCACCAAATTTCTCTATGTGCTCTCGCCGGGCATCAGCAATGCGGAAAAGGATCGCCTCGAGCTTGAGCCCTGCGAATTCCAGATTGATGAAATCTTTCGGGTTACCGACGTCGGACCCGTTGTCGGCGGCCTGCTCGTACAGGGCGTGCTCACTGAAAATATGCCCATGAAAATTGGACCACTGTCGGATGGAAGTTTCCATGCCGTTAGCGTGCACACAATCCATCGCAATAAGGCACCCTGTCGAGTGGTGCGCGCTGGCCAAAGTGCTTCGCTATCGTTTACGCCAACCCAGGAGCTACCAGCGCTGCGCAGCGGCATGGTCCTATTGGGCGACTCTGGCAACATTGATGACCCCTTCGGCACCTACTTCTTTCAGGTTAGTCCTCTATTTTACACACACACACACACACACCCGATTCACCCATATTTGATTGTTTGGTTTTGCAGGCCAAGGTATCGGTGCTGTTCCATGCGACGGCCATTTATGTGGGCTTTCAGACCACTGTGCACATTGGCAGCATCCGACAGACGGCTGTTATCCGTGGCATTATGGGTGGCGAGAAACTGGGCACCAATGATTCCGCCTCTGTCATGTTTGAGTTCGTTGGGCATCCGGAGTACGTGCGACCCGGCATGCGCATACTCTTCCGCGAGGGCATGTCCAGCAAAGGTATCGGTGTCGTTACCCAGGTGTTTCCCGTTAACAAGACCCGCGTGAAGTAAATTGATGCGCCGAAATATACAAAGAGTACCTAGTATTTCTTCTTCGTTAAAATGGAGCATAGATGCCATGGACGATATGGTTCTGCAATTGGCCAGTGGTCAGCTAAATACTTATTAAAGATTATGAATATATATCTCAATGCGGATAACATACTGACATACTGAGACATGTACATATTACTTACAATTAGACTCTAGTGATTTCGATCGGCATACGCAGATATGCGCTAAAATTGTAGCAGATCTTCTTTACATTTAGTTTGAGTTCTGTGATTTTTCTTTTAAGCTCAACTCCTCTATATTAACACATATACAGATCTATATAACAATTACAGACAACTTTATCTGTAGACAATGCAATTTGAAAACCTTGTACGAATTTTAATTTTGCCTACGCATACTTAATAAAAACTAGACCGTACAAAAATCTGATCCACATGATGAATTCTGGGTTCAACAATTAATTTATTTTAAATAATTCACTACGGCCTGCTGCCAGTCTCAGTGTGCTCCTCCCTATGGCTGCTGGCGGTATCACTGGTTTGCGCTGGCATGTTGGCGGGGCCCTCGATTTCCTCCGCCTTGGCGGGCACACTGGATGTGAATCTAAAGAGGACGGGTATTTCGCCAAGCGACGCATAGCCACGCGCCTCCAGCAGGCGTATCCACGAGAGCAGCGAGTCTTTCGTAGAGGTGCCCGTGGCACAGATGGCGAAAATTGTTCCATCATCTTGCTGGTGAACTGAGCGCAGTTTACCCAACTGATTGTGCCGGCGCGGTGGTGCGCGTCCAAAGAATGGCACACCAATCTGCGTGACATCATCATCATCCACCTGGCGCTCGTCCAGTTGCGCCAAGAACTGGGCATCGGCATCGGCACGCAACGTAAAGTAATTGATGCGTCGATTCCGTATCCAGATGTTAAAGGGACCCTCAATGTAGAGCGCCTTCTGACGAGAATGCTCACGCAAGAGCTTGGACTGTTCCGGGCTCATGCCGCTCACAATCCATGTGTCGTCCAGCGAGTCCTTTATTTCCCTCGTTTCGAACACATCGATTTTGGAACGCAAGTCCACGGTACACATGCGCTCCACGGCCAGCTTAGCTATCTCTAGCGTATCGTCGGGCACCGGGTCGGGCAGTGGCCATGGCGATAAGTTCTTGAACTTGGGCATCCAGTACATCATGCGCCAATACTTGCGCAACGGATGTCCCTTGTTGCCGAACACATTCAGCAGCATCGCTTCCATTTCATAGTCGGGCATAACGCCATAATCCTCCATCTGCTCGAGCAAATCAATTATACATTGCTGCTGTTTGGGATAGTGCATGAATTCCGCCTGAAACAAATTGGTCGGTATAAATTTCCCTTTGGGCATCACATTTATCAACGCCTTATAGACTTCCAGATCGTGTTCCACATTAAAATCGGGCATATGCTTCAGTGCCGCATATATGAACTCCACATGGTTTCGACGGTGCACATCTCGCTCTTCAAAGATTTCCACCATCGTCAGGTAGGTATTCTTCGTCTTGTCTTGCGCAGCAGCAAACGGATTCCGTATGGCGGGCAGGCTCTTTGAGGAGCTGGTGGTTCCAGCTCTCTTATTGCTTTTATTGTTGCTCTTGGGATCTGCATTTGCATTTCGATTGGCATCGTCCGTTGTTGCATAGCTTCTTGTGAAGAGCGTGGGTGCTCGCTGTCTGTAGACCGTTCGGTTGACTGGGCTGTGCAATCGCAGTAGGCAATGCAATTTGCGTATCATTTTTATTTAAAATAAAGCCAATTTAATAAAAACCAAACTGAACGATTATAAAACAACAACAAATGCATTTCACAGCACTGGCCAGCAACAAGCAGCTGATAGTGACTCCGAACTATCGGTTCTATCGATAGTTTATTTGAATGAATTCCGACCAAAAGTTATTAAAGAAAAAGTGTTGCCAATCTCTTAAGGGCTGATGATTTTCATTTGGCGCGAGTTTCAAACAAATTGAATAATTCAATTTGAATTAATTAATAAAATTTGAATATTAAAAAAGCGTAAAACTTGGTTGCTTCTAACAATTTCGATTAAGCTAAACGTTATTATATAAGAATAGCAATTCAAGCTCATCTATTACAGTACGCGGTTCTATTCGCGCTTTATAAATTGAAGTAAGTTACAGCAACGCAGAATAGCAATTAAAGAATTTTATTTAGTGTAGATATAATGCAATATGACAAGAGTAGTTTGCTTAAAGAGAATCGAACGGCTGACCAAACGCTAACCATATGCTGTCAGCTTTGAGCACTTACCGAACAAAATAAAAATAATCAGTTACTCAGCTACTCAGCTACAGATAAGAATACATAGTTAAGTAGCCTCCCATAGCCTCTGAGAAATACATAGTTAAATATTTACGAATGTGCATGTGAGTAAGCCATTGAATACATGCGCAAAACTCAACTTGCTGAAATATACAGTGTCCCGCAGCTTATTTCGGCAGTGTCTAGCAAAAATTTTAAAGTGCTATAAAGTTTAAACAAAGAAACAAACGCAAAATGTTTAAATGTCAATTTGTTTTATGTTATATCACGTTTGAAAAGGAAACTTCAGTTTTCATTAAAATATTTATTAATTAACTAAAATTAGTCAAAAACTGAAATCTTATCCAAAATACAGGTCAAATCTTATTTCGGCAGTCTTAGAAAAGTAACATATTAGGCGTATAAAAACTTAAATAAGGATGTTAACACTTAGTATGATATCATTTAGCCTTAATAACTTCCCCTAACCTATATATTATATATGATGCTTTACCAACAAACAAACGAACAAAGAAAAATTGGCATCGAGGATACGTGCGTCTAAATGCGTTCTACATAGAATATTTTGTTGGCATATAGCAGTTTAGCGCTAGAATTCGATTATGATTCATAAGGCTCCAAAACTTGCCGCGACTTGGAAATCGCATTGAGGAATCCAGTAAATTTATGTAGACACGTCACAACTGAATAAAATTTCTATCACAGTTGTCAAGTGATTTAAGATAAGAACACCTGGGTAAAATGAGTATCACACTTTAATGCGACTCACTTATGAGGGCCACATTATAATCAAATGGGTGTATTAACCAAAATCACATCCATAAACAATATAGAGCACAAAATTTAATACGTGAAAAGAGTCACGTAGACCAGCATATTTCAATGAGTCTGTCTTTGTTCTAATGCACTCATCAGCTGCGCACAATTGGCTATGAGCAAATCAAATGCAATTTAATTTATAAACAATATAGAGCACAAAATTTAATACGTGAAAAGAGTCACGTAGACCAGCATATTTCAATGAGTCTGTCTTTGCTCTAATGTACTCATCAGCTGCGCACATGAGCAAATCAAATGCAATTTACGGCAGATAGTCTGCAATGCAATGCAATGCAGCAGCATTCGGAATACGTCATTAAAATGTCAACGCTCGAGCGGGCACTGTGTGTATGTCTCAAGGCGTTCTCTCGATTAAATTATGCGAGCGAATGAAAAAACAATAAAAATTATTTTGTTTCTCAGTCACGTGGCTGGTCACGTGAGAGGTGCAAAGTAATCGATAAGCTGACCACACAACCGAAAACTAGTCGCATATGTGTATTCGATTTCTTGAATACAAATATCCCATTCCTAATTAAAGAGATTATCCGTAAGAGATTTACCTTTAAGAGATTAGGCTTTTATTACAACCACTAATCGATCATCTATATTTCGGAAGGAAAAGAATGTATTGCTAAAAAAAAAACACTAAAACTTGATCTGCAAATGGTATACAAGATCTTATATTCAAACTTTGACTTCTCTGAATCGGACAAGCAAACGTGGCTGAATCGACTCGGCTCAAGAGTATATATTTCATGTGGTCGGAGTGGCTTACTTCTGCCGCTTACATACTTGTGCACAGTGTTCAGACACATGATAATTGCTTCAAAACCTTAAAAGTCGAGACGTGAAATTTGGAACACATACTGGCCTATGGCCGCGTCAAACAAAGTCTAAAAATTGGAGTGCTATGTCTACCAGGGGGCTTGGAAATCGATCAAATCGATAAATCCATATATCTCCCACAATTTTAAAGCTACAGTCACCAAAATTGCTTGGTGAGTTGTTCTGCTTCGGCATGTGTCACGCCCACTTACGCCGCCCGTGTGTGCCTATACTCCATTCCATTTGAGGTCAATGCAAATGCCTACTTTTAGGCACGAACAATATGTATAAGCTGATCTGACTAATGCTACATATACAATGTATGTAGCATATATATATGCAAGTCCCCTGTTTTAGTAATTTTACATATAGACTCATAAGTTAGACATAACATCAGATGAGCCTTTGATTATAAAATTGGGATCTAATAATTATTTATTGTTTTGTGTGGATGTTATTACCTATATACGCAATAGCCTTAGATTACAGTCGCGAATTCAGTATATGTATATTGAAATTTTCAGAAAATCAAATCGCCCTGAATTTTAGAAATTTGCCATACTTTTAATACTTTTTTATAGATAGATGTTTTCATAAAAACTTTCTAGTTTTCAATGCAAAATTTTGTCATGAGTGTAGGTATTTAACTTCGTTATTTGGCTATTCGTGGAATGTATTTTGTTGAATTTTGCCATCTCCACACTATTTTAGCATAAGATAAGATTAACAAATCAAGAATACATTTTCTTTATAATGCCAGTATTTATATTCCTGGTTCGTGCTATTAGGCTTTGTTGAAAATATGATTATGATTGATTACAGAATTGTACAACGTTTCTCTCTTCTTTATCAGTAATTTTTAAAAGTGTATAGAACATTGATGATGTCATGTAAGGCATTCTAGTATGTATTTACTTGGAAGTGGTGTTTACTAAGAAGGTATACAAATACGATTCGGTGCTCTTTATAACTGCTCAAGGTTTTTTTTTTTGCATTAAGGTATATACTCGTATATGCGTCTGACTAGATTTCCTTAGCTTTAGCAATATTTTCGCTTGTGAGGGTATCTATTATGCGGTGATCTTCCTTGCTCTGCACCCATTTTTAGCGCCCAGCACTCTGCATTTACTTTGCATGTGTTTGCATTGAATGCGCAATTATTTAGACAGGAAGTCAGCCGAAGATGCAAGTCGGAGCAACTGCAGCAGCCTGCGCAGCCATTTGGGACGCGGGGGAAGGAAGGTGGAAATGCAAACAGGCGCGGGGAGTGTGACAAACAAGCAAATAAAAATAATAATAAAAATAACTAAAATAGCAGCCGATAAAAATAAACAAAACTCGCGCACAACTCGCTGTTGACAGACAAAGGGCAAAGAGCCCAGTGCTCGATGAGGCTGACTGGTGGTGGCGACGGAGAGGGGGAGGGAGGGAGGGTATTTGGATAGGGTGCAGCTCGCGTGGCAAACATTTCTCTATATACATAAGCAGACACAAATGTATATTTACGTGCTCAAAACTTTATCAAATGGCGGCAGCGTTTGAAAGTAAAAACAAAGAGGCTGCAAGCGAGGCGACAGCTGAATAACTTGCCTGCTAACCACTGGCCATGATCAGAAGTGCTGACAGCACAGGGCAAAATATTTGGGCAGCTGTTGGCAAGCAGCATCAGTGCAGATGTAATGAAATGCCAAGAATAGTTTGCTTAACGAGAATCGACCAATCGGCTGACCAAATGCTGTCAGCCTAGAGCACTTACTCAGTTACGCAGTTACCCAGATACAGATACGGATACATCGGCATCTGACATTTGAAATGATTTACTTCAAATTGCTTAAACAAACCGACAAATATATAGTTAGTCAACTTGCTGAAGTGCAATTGATGCGTCGTTGGTATGTATATTCAAATATATATATTATATATTGTGCCTTGGCAACAAACAAACGAACAATGAAAAATTGGCATCGAGGGTACGTGCTACGTGCGTCTATATGTGTACTATATATGATATATATGTATATGTAACTAATCCTATTCGGCTCTTCTATGCAGCTCGATATTTTCGATATGTTTTCGGCATTTAGCAGTTTAGCGCATTTAGCGAACAAAATACGAATACGAAATACTCACTGACTCGACTCACATACACAGATACATCAACATCTGACAGGCAAACGGTCAAAGCACGTATCACATTACATTAATAGTGTCCATTTTGGGGTGTGGGCTGGGTCGAGGTTTGTCTTACACAATGCTTTAAATTAAAATGCATATAAATGTGGCACAGAGCAAGCAACCACCATTAGAGGGTAACTATAGTCAAGAGGTCACCACACCCAAGACTCATAACTCATTTGAACCCAAGAGCTGGTTTTATAACAGAAACTCTCTTTTGTTCGAGGAAAAGCAGGAAAAATCAGATACAATAAAAAAGGCAAAGAAGAGGCAATAAAAAGGCAAAAAAAAAAAAAAAAATTAGATAAAAGAATGCATGAAAAACTCAAAAATAGAAAATTGAGAGAAAACCAGTTGGAAGACCGCGACTGGCGCACAACTATTGTGTGGCATTTTCCACACGGCTGCCTCTGCCTGAGTGGAGCGACAATTGTCGCTAGTTTTCGCTAGTTATTTTTTCTTTTTGTTTTTTATTATGTTTTGTGTGTATCTCTTCTCAACCAGTTTGGGTGTGAAATGTAACGGACTGCTAAGATTCATACAAGTGGGTCAGTTAGCTCGACGACTGTGTAAGTGGCAACTGGCGTGCCGCATGCAATGGCCGTCAGTGAGGCATGCTTGGCCATAACAGTGGGGTGCAGAGATCGCGAACGCGAATGGGAACGAGATCTGACCCACTGTGGCACATGCAACGCGCTACTTTGATTTATGCAAGCGCCGAGGCCCACATTGCAACTCAACTCAACTCAACTACGACCACTGCCCTAAAGACGTGCACATGTGTGAAAATAGTCAGCATTACCTTATATGCATATATCATCTTCAGCCTGATTGTCGCCTTTCATCTATCAACAAAACGGGGCGCAACCCTTCTGTTTTTTTTTTTCTTTTTTTTTTTGTGAATTATGAGCTGGACATTGGTCACTCGAAACGGGCCAGCTGGTGGGTCTGTCGAGAGTGTCCCCTGAGATCCATCCACATCGCCTACTTGCCCAATTGCGGCTGGCGAGAGTTGGTTTTCTATGCGCTCAGAGAACCGGACACTCTGTCCAGACACAGATTACTTCTGCAATCGGAGGCGCGTGAGATTTATGAGCTCCCAGACAGCGGTCAACTACTGCAATTAGCCGTCCCGCAAAGACCAGATCTCATACAGCATATATGCATATAAATATATATATATTCTTGGTCGTTTGACTGCCCGAAGTGTATGATAAATGTGGCAAATTAGCAATGTGAACAACAACAACAGCAACAACAACTATGAAATTACAAATAATAAGCAGCGAAGCCGATATTATATGAACCGGAACTGTAATGCTTCCCTTGCACCGACTGAAGATGCACCCCTAACCATAAATGAGTTGCATCTGATTAGATGCGTTATATTTTAGTGTCAGCCAAGCTGAGCTTATAAGACACGGTACTCCATATCCGATATGGATGTTGCAGCAGCGGTGGCAATAATAGTTGCTTAGTGGATTCGTAATTTCAGTTATGAATTTGTTGATTTAGATGTGCATCATAGGCTTAGACATACTTAAGACTCAACTTTCAAGTGATTGACGAATATATATCAAGTTTCATCAAGAGTGCTTTCGACGATCAGACTGATCAAGTATATATATACTCTATAAGGTCGCAGACCTTTACAACAACTCATCAAACATACTTTACAATGTAAGTCAAAATTCAACTTTTTTCCGTATTAGTTAAATACTTGAATAGACTAAGGAACGAAGCAAAAGTTTTTTTATGTGTAAATTTTGTTTGTTCTATTTATTTCCGTAGCCTGCTAAATCAGAGATATTGTTTATCTTACATTTAGTTAGCTTTAGCTACTTGCTGACTATGCCTCATTCATGAATTAAGTCAAATAGAGCTCTTCAATTGCTCTACTTTGTTTAAAGCTCACTCAAGTTAATACTTTAAATGTCAAATTATTTGATTATTACTATTTAACTTAACACTTTGATCAGTTTATTTGATTACTGTTGTCAATTACGATAGCGTTTAATGTCGACAACTGCACGACACACATAATATAGATAAGGCAATAGTATTGTTATCTAAAGAATAGGCATTATTTGGAATTTGCCTTTGGATGAGGTAGTATTTAAGGCCAATCGAGACAACGACGACAATTCCGGTCTACACTTTTTGGGAGCAGATGTTATTTTCTGGCTATCCCCCCCCCCCCCCTCACCATCATCTCTCCCTCTCTCATCCCTCCCCAACACTCCTCCAATACATGCATGTTTGTATGTAAAAACAAGACTGGCGATCGCTTTGAGCACGGCTGCAAGGCTCAAAGCAAAACAAAACAAAACAGCATAAAATAAAACAAAATAAAAACCAAAGCACTTGTTCAGCTTGAGCTGCGTGGCTCAACGAAATGTTGAAGGTGCGGAAGCGGGAAACGTGTGGCCAGGTTCCTGGTGCCATTCCCGAGTATCCGATGCCTGCTGCCTGCTGCCCGGCTGTGCCTGATTCAGGTTTTGGTTTTGGCGCAAAAATTTTTGCTCACAATTGGCAGCAGGTATTCCAACAGTGTGTGTTGAGCTGAGGGCAGCAGGAGCAGCGGCAGCAGCAGCCGCACAAATTGGCGCAAAATTTACAGATGCCTCACAAAAAAATATAAATAAAAACCAAAAAAAAAACAAAAAAAAACAAGACAGGCAACAGATATACGCAGAGTTCGCCTCAGCTGTGCTGTAAAATTTATGATCTCAGTCTGGCACGCCGATACGAGGGAGCAGCAGCAACGAAAACTTGCTGTACTTTTGCCACAATTCGAATTCGAAAATGCACCCAGATCCGACACACGCCACCCCACGCACTATAAATAGATTGGCGACGGCCCTAATGTATCTGCTAGATACATTCTACGTTCTGCATATGCTTGCAATTTTTTTTTACATAGCAATATATACGTACGTCTATAAAGATAGAAGGCGCTGTTGCAGTTGCCACGTGCAATGTGAAGCGACGTCGCTTACCGGGAATTCGTTTAACGAGCTAATTTATTAATTAGGCAAACGTGACGTCAGCGTGCAGCAGACGGGACAAAAGGCACAGACACAGATACAGTTACAGTTACAGTTACATATTACATATACGGAAGCAACCCTCGCCGGCTGAATTTTGCTCAACCTTATGCGGCATGCCTCGCGTGCCACTACAGATAATGTGGTACGTGGGCAATCTATGCACCGCCGATGACAAACGCTAGAATGGGAAACAGCATGTGATTTACGCAATACAAGCTGCCTTTAACGGAAGTTGGCCACAAAGTAGCTCAGCAGCACGCCGATCACGTAGCTAACTAAATGACCAGATAAAGATATATACAGATATATACACACATATGTATATAAATATATATATAGAATAAATAAGTTGACACACATAGTTTACGCTCTTTAATTACGCTCTACATTGCTATCTACAAACTACTTTGAATGAAACTTACTCCAATTTGAAAAGCTTCTTAAATTCATTTTGCTCAAATTGAATGCAATTTTCAACTTGATTTAGATAAGTTAACCAATGTAGAAAGAATTCTTGTTTTTTTCTATCTCTTTTTCGATTTACGCAATGTAATTTGATTCATAAATTATTTGTCATTTTTGCTTTTTGGTACTACAATTTGTTTGCATTTCTTAGAAACGCGCAATTAATCTATAGACTCAGAAAAGTAAGAAACATATTTTGCAATGACAGATTTTTATTTTATTTCTTGACTCTTATTTTATTTTTATTTATTTTTATCAATTTCGCGCAGCGCAGTTAATTTTTGACACCAAATTGAGGCGCATTTCCAATTTCAATGGAAATGGAAATGACGCATTCGATTTAATGGGTATTCAATTTTCCCTATTTTTGAGAGGTTTCCTTTTTCCTTTTTTGGCGCGAGGGTTGATTTATGCACAGGACATGTTGCGGACGACCTGTGCCCAACCCTCAATCACAACCCTTATTGTTGCATTTGCCGCCGAACGGGGGCAGGTCAGGTAGGTTTTCTGAATTGGTGCGAAAAAAACAAAAATTATAAATATACATATGTATGTATGTATCTGTGTACGTGTGCATGTATGCATCTGTGCACGTTTATGATTATGCAGAAGAAATACTTTTGCCAATAGCCTCGGCTCAAAACCGGCGGTTGCAGCCTGACTCAGAGATATATCACACACACATCTGCACACGCACACATGTACATCCATCATACATACAAATATACATAGAAAACAAATTTCACTTTCATTTGTGGGGAACGCTTGAATGAGCGCCTCGAGCGCGAAAGTGTTTTTTTTCTCGATTTGTTTTTTGTCGTATGTTTTTTTTAAACCCGTCTCACTAATTATACCGCTTAATGCTGCATGAAACTGGCTTTGACCTTGGACTAGGCCCTAAACATCATTAAAACATTAACTAACAATAACAACAACAACAAAAACAACAAAATTAGAAGCCCCCATTACAGTAAATATTATTTACAAAATACCAACACGTAATACACATACACACACACACACATATATATATATATATATATATATATATATTGCAATATGTATTTAGATTTACGCTCAATTGAGCTTGTTTCGTTGCGATCTGGCAACACTGCGATTTCTAAACGATGTTATTTAACAGGCGCTGTAAGAGAGAGAAGAGAGAGAACTGATGTGATGCAATACTCTGTATTCCTGAATACATTACCACGTTAAATGTTTTTTCGCTCAATATGCAGTGGCGTCATGGTGCTGCATAGAGCTGCTTTCAATAGCTGAGAAGTAAATAGACTACAAGTCATATATGCTTTCGGTATTTGTTGAAAGTTATACACCTAATGTTTCCTATTGTGCAGTCCAAATAAGAATTTCAACCGTTCATTAGTTAAATGAGAATGACAATAATAGATAATACTAATAACAGATGTATATACACATAAGTATTTTAAATTAATATTACTTCTTAATTTATATTTATTCAGCGCAAATTACTTTAACATAAATGCTAGCTTTGAGTGAATAACAACATTTCGTGCTTTTGAAAATTAGTGTCTACACTTTGCGTTACCTTTCACATTCTGCATGAAAATAAAGTGAGCGAGAGAGAGCTGTTAGCCCGCTGTTAGCTCCACTGTTAAGTGGTGTATTGTTGCTCGATTCACTAAGCGCTATTACTCTTCTGTGAACATTCATATCGTACGGATGCGTGTGCTCCGTATATCGTGCTTTGTATCTTAAGTCGCGAACGCGTTCGTATAATCCAAAATAAGGAAAAAACTGTGCCAAGAGCATCTACAAATTATACAAGTCAATACCCAACTATATATCTGTTCGCGGCGAATTGCAATTTGCAGTTTACAATGGTCTCTCTCTTGAGCTGAGCATGCATGTGTATTGCTTGCATGTCGTTGCTTGCCAAAGAAAGTTCAAGTGAAAGCTGCAATAAATAGCAAAACAAAAAAAATACAAAATAAAAACAAAGAGCAATACAAAAAAAAAAAAAATAGAAATCTTGCAGAGTAAAATGCTGTCGTCGTTGACAAGGGTAGCACCGCTGGGGGCGCAACCCCGGCTATCACATGCGCCGCGCCCCGCCATCCTACCGGCGGATAAAAAGTCCATTCAGCGAAATCTATTCGGCAGTTTTCCGGGCTGTGAGGATATCGATGCGATGATGAAGCAGGATGAAGAACTCAAAATCGAACAATTGAAAAAACGATACAATCTTAAATTGGAGGACAGTGGAGAAGAGTGCAATCATCTGATCTCAGCGACGTCGAAGCAATCGATACTCGTCATCGACAGCATCAGCGAGAAAAAATTAAAATCTCGTTCCTGCAAGGAGAGAATATATAAACGACAACAAAGCATCAAAGGTAAGTGTTTTCCTAGGCGGCAACAGTCACCTGATTTATGCTTTCTGTTATCATCAATCCCAACCCCTGCGCGCTTTTTCTCTCTTCGTCTCTCGCTCTTTGGCAAACAAAACAACCCTTGGCTTAATTTACGTTTTAATCCACTGATTCTCAGAGATATTTATTTCTCATTTGATACACATTGTTCTCGAAAGTGTTAGTTTTTCTGCTATTTATTTGCCCATTTTTTTGTTGTTGTCAAGTTGTAGAAGAACAATAAAAAGTTTGGCTATTTTGCTTTGGCAATTTTAAGTAATAAATTTGAAAGCAATTGAAATATTTGTTCAATTATTAACTTTTATAATTGTCGACAGCTTAAATAATAAACAGAAAAACATGAAAGTCCCCCAACTCCTAATTAGGGAAAGTGTCCCAATTTGGTTCCATTTTGGTGTTTGGAGCTTTTGGCGCCTAAAATTTTATTTTGATTTCGAGTTTCTTGTTTTTGTAGTTTTGTTTTGATAGCGTTTGCTTTTTGCGTCGTTCACTTTACGCTGCCTCTTAACCACTTTGGTGAGACACTCACACACTTGCATATGTCTATACATGCATATTTACTCTCTTTTCCTCACTCTTTTTTGTTCTTTCTGCTCAAAGTTAATTTGATCAACGACGCACTAATACCTACAATTTACAACACGAAGAAATCGCATTGCAAATTGTATCTGCATGTTTCCATCTACCTGTTTGAATGTTTGTATGTATGTATGTATGTATGTTTGCTTGATGACCAACTAGAAAAGAATCGGAAATGAGAAAAACAAATATGTTGAATAACAAAATTGGCGCCGTCGTCGCTGCTGACCAATTGACAAAATAGATTTTTTCCCGCCAAAACAATGTTTTTGTCGTTTTAGTTCTTTGCATAAAAATAGCACACAAAAATTAAAGAAATGTATAACTGATTACGTCAGCGGGTGCAGCTGCAGATGCAGTTGGCTGGCAATTAATCGAGAGGCCTCAATTAAAATGGAAATCACTGTCAGCTCAGCGCGTTCTGTTGTTGCATTTGCATACGTATAAACCTACATACATATGAGCATATTTATGTGTGTGTGTGTGTCTGTGTGTGTGTGTGTGTGTGTGTGCGTGCTTGAAAACGAAGAATGAGAAGCGAAGAGAAAAACTTGGCACACGCCTGCCAGTGAGCAACTGTACATTAAGTAGTTCTTGTTGTTGCTGCCTGACAGACAGCCGCACCCACAACACAACGACGGACGACAATCGAAAACATCGACGACGTCGTTGACTCTTATACTCACTCACACACACACACGCAAACGCACACTCACATGCACACATGCTACAGTGGCAGACAATCGGGCAGGCTAAAGCAGCGCCATCATAATAATAATTCACATCGCCTGTTCTTATTCTTCTCCCCCAATAAGAGAGAGAGAACGAGTGACATAGAGAGAGAGAGAGAGAGAGAGAGAGAGCGAGAAACAGGGAGTAACTGAGTGGTCGACTGCTGTTGTTTGTTTGCATTGGCACACGCGGATACCACGAAATGGTTGTTTCTCTTCGTTTTGGCGGGAATTTGTGATTTTTATTTTTAGTTTAGTTTCATTTCGTTTCGTTTCGTGTCCACTGATAAGCGTATTCTGTATCTGTATGTTATGTTGCGTAAGTGTGCGTGCGTGAGTGTGTGTGCATGTCTGTGCGTAGTACGCACACATTTATTTGTTGTTGATGTTGTTTATGAAGAACTCGTCTTGAAGGTCACACACTCGTTATGCGTAAGTACAGCAGCGTTTGCCTCTGCGTCTGCGTGCGCGACTTGTGGCAGGTCCAACTAACAGGCAAATTAGCAGTAAATTGGCAAATCAACTTCCAATTTGCTTTTGAATTTACTCATACAACAAATAAAATGAATTGATATTTAATGTTAAATTCGAAACAGACACGCTTCAATGTTCATTCGAGCTCTTTTTATCACTTGCTACGATTCTTTTATCAATACGAAATTTGGGTTTGCATGGCATGTTTTTCATTAAAAATCAGTAGCGAATTTGCTGTAAAATTTCTATTCAACGATAAACGATAAACAAAAAACAAAAACTTTTTATCTTGTATTGTATAACACACACACACACACACACATGTGTGTATAGGTTAAATAAGTGTTCTTATCGTTTCAAGTAAACTACAAACTCTTTTCGCCATGTTTTGGCCACCACTGTACTTTACAGTTAGATGTGTGTATTTGTTTTTCTATTTGATTTTGGCTAGCGCTTTTTGTTTTGCTTAGGAGTTTCACCACACCCCCTCAGCCGAATCCAAAGCTTATAATTATGTATGCAGCAACTCTCACGGCCTCAATGTGTTTGTATGTATGCATGTGTGTGTGTTGTTTTGTATGCGTGTATGTGTATAAATATATATGCATGTGTGTATATGTTATGTGCTGTTGCCACACACACATTTCGTAAACAAAACGCGTTTTGTTGTCGTCTCACCGTCCTATCTTAAGCGGATTCTTGCTTTTTGTTGTTTTTGTATGTTGTTTTTTTTTTGTTTTGTTCGAGAGTAGAAAGCGCTGTAAACGTGTGCATAATGAATTGGTAAAGTTTGGGAAGCTAGCAGCGCGTCTGCGTGCCCATAACGGTAAATTACAAATGCTTGAAGTGTTGGACAGTTGTCCCCCACCCCCCACCGCAGGCTGTGCCTATTACATTCGCTACTCCCCAACTCCCCCCGTTCTGCAAAAACAGCAACAGCAACAACAACGACAAGAAAGAAAAATAACCGCAAGACCGCATTCTTGTGATCACTTTGCTTGAGACGTTCTGTGTTGTGTCGTTGGCTTGGCTTATAATTTTCTCTAACTGTACAACTGACTTACAACGCCGCTAGCTCAATCATCGTCTTCTTCTTCGTGTTCGTCGTGTTCAGCTTTGTCGATGCCGCTGACTGGAGGTGGGCGCGTGCCGAGTAACGTGAGTCTCGTGCACACATTGGAATGATGTTTTACAATAGTTATTTACAGCTTACGATATTTATCTATAATAACAGAAATAAGCAATTCGATTTGTTGCCACGCTAAATTTAATACTTACTTTCAATTGTTGTTATTGAACATCCCTAAAGCTTTGATTTTCTAATTATCATTTTAATGTCGCATTCATTTTAAATATGAATTTAAAAAACTTACAGAAATTATCATGATTTTGCATATTAACCCTGAATCCGAATCGTTCCAGTTACCCAGTGGTTACTGTATGAATATTTGTTCATTGACCTGTTTTTTTTTCTTCAATCATTTCAATTGACAGTGATTAGCATTTCCCCTCTGTTACTATCAGTCGCTGTTTCTAATGGTCGCCGACGTTTTCTCCACTCTATTGCCGACTCCTGGATTTTAGGTCAATGCGCAGTAGCTGTTGAAACTTCTTTGTGTTTGTCCAATGAAGAGATGACTAAGTTGACCGATGGAAAGAAAACAATCGACTGCAACAACAATAGCAACAAGAGAGATTTGCTTCCACTATACCTGATAAGGCCCCGTTGCTGATGTCGTCAATTGTTGTTGTATTTGTTATTGTTGTATGTGTAACACTTATCTTGCCATAGATGATACATACAAACAAATACAAATACAAATATATACATATATACATATGTATATAAATATCTACATACATATGACATTCGTATATGTTTGTTTGCTTCCATATACAATATGTAGAAATTTCAATTTCAATATATACATATGTATGTATGTATGTATATGTATATGTATATTTTTAAGTATATAGAGACTCTCGAGCACATATGTCTGATAAGAGTGCGCTCTGTGCATGTGTTTGTGTGTGTGTTTCTATTTGTATTTGTATTTGCTGCAGTTTTGTCTGCTTTTTTTTGTGTGGCAACGTTTGCAGTTGCGTTTTGTCGTCGTCTTCGCTTTCCCTTTTCCTCCAGCGCATATGAAGGTCACATTTTTTTTTCTCGTTATTTTCTATTTTGCTTGACTTTAACCTGTGTCTAATTGTTGGTATTTGTTATTTATTTTATTTGCAGCTCAATTGCGTATTCGCAAAACCCACAATGTAAACTCGAATGTGCCAAATCAAAAGAAGAACAACAACAATAACAATAATAATAATAACAACAACAACAACAACAGCAACAAGAACTATTCTAAGGCTGATAGCCGTAGTACCGAAATGGGGGCAGATGGGGCTAAGAAAGAATAGAAGCAATAATTGATATTTAATTTATACAAATTTTATTATCTAAATAATTTATGTTTTTTTTTATGTGTGTTTTTATTAATATTGGCAATACGTAAAATGTTATCGACATTACTTAATGTACATCAATTTGTAGGACCATTTGTAATTAGTAAATATAAATTAAGGATTATTGTAGATCATCCCATAAGTTACCCACACACACACACACATACACACACACACACACACCCACACACACACACTCATAAACACATACATACACCCCTCCCCTAATTTCAAAGAGTTCTCAGCGTGTTTCTGGCCTCTGCAGCACACGTGTGCCGAAAGTATTTTTAATTGTCATGATCTCATGTAATTTAATTGAAATTATTTAAAAAGCAATTTACACAGGCAGTTCTACAGTACAACGCTTAAGTTCGTATATCTATTGTACATTTTGGTATTCATTAATTGTGTATAGGAAATACATTATGTATTTCACATTACGGTTAACAAAATTTTGAACTACTCAAAAAAAAAAAAAAAAATACAACACAAACTGTGCATATTTCCTTAAATGAAACTCAAAATTGTAAAGCTTAGACAACACACAATTAAATTATGAAAATAAAAAACAAAAAACAAAAAAAAAACAACTACATAATACTGCACTTTTTTTCTAGCAAAAAGAAAAACAGAATCTTGAAAAAAAGAAACAAAATAAAAATGTAAAGAAAAAAAATCTTAAAAGCTTTTTATTTGTTTACGAGGCCGGCGCCCTTGTTAGACTCATTTGTTTAAAAATGAGAGAAACGCGGCAACGCCGGAGAAGGGAAAAAGGTGACTCAGCGGAACCGATTTTGTATGAAAGAAGCCGAACTAGGTAAGTGCATCTGTTTGTCACAGTGAAACCCGAATATAACGAATTGGTTCTTAAATTGCATACTGAGAACAAAGTGTTTCTCATTTTGAACGGAAACAAACATGTTTTAGCAACAATTAATTTAATTTTACAACTATGGTAAAATGGATCCTTCATCATCATTTCAACATATTAAATTTATTCAAATGTGTGTATTATCAGCATTCAGCAATATTTAATTGTAATTATTATAAAATTCGAAATTGACGACAAGATCAGCTGTTGATCAGTTTGTTTCGCAAAAGCAGTAAATGTGGCAATAATATTGCCAATATTATATATTACTGTATTTACAAATCACTGTATCCACATTAGTGTAGCTTTACTTTACGTGCACACAGACGCAACACATGCATAGTAAATTCAACGCTGCCTGCAGACATTTGAGAAAATGCTTTCCAGTTGTAATGTGTAGCTTGTTATGTGTGTGTATGTGTGTGGAGTGGGCACTTAACATTAGATTGGCTGTCACTTCCGGCAGGCCTTAGGCAAGCGATGCCGTCGACGTCGACGTTGGCTTGATGATGATTGATGCTGCTGCCCCAACAGCAGCCACTCGGCTGGCGGTCGTTGTCTGTTACCCAAAGTGCCCAATATTCACATAGATATCTACACATATTTGTAAGTGCGTGTGTGTGTGTGTGTGCATGTGAGTTTGTAGGCATATTGATAATCCACGCATGTTGCAAGTATCTATGCCGCCTCTTTTTTCAATTTCAACTTCATGTGTGAGTGTGTGTGTGTGTTTTATGTATGTAGGTATTTATGTAATAATGGCATTTTGCAAAAGTAAATTACATGCTGTGCATTTAGTAACAAGCATGTCCAACATTTTTGCCCACTTAAATAGCTCGGTGCTATGGTTATTAGCATGCAATTTCAAGATTTTTAATGCTGGCAATGCAGTCCACTCACAGTCACACACAGTTACACACAGGCACGCTCGCACACACATGCATGCATCCATATACGCATGCTCGAGCATAGAAACTGGGCAAGTGGCAATGGCAACGGCAAAGGCAAAGACAGACGACGCCGCACAGACTCAGACGCAGAGGGTGTTAGGGGAAGGTGCTTTATATTTGTACATTATACACTCAGTCAGACGCGTTGGCCGCATTTGCGACTGGGCCTTTTTTGCATTGGCCTCGCCAATAAATCCAAAGCGCACAGCAAACAAACAACAGCAATTTATGACGCCGACTTTTTCTCGTTGATTTGTGTCTTTTGACTCTGCGCCGGCGTAACGGTAAAGTCAAGCTCTGGTGCCATTAAAAATTGTGCAGCTACGAGAGACATTCAACTTCAAGCTCAAACACAGGCACACACACACAGGCTCACACACAAACACAGACACACATTTTGCTTTGTTATCGTTTTTCTATTTGTCGGCTTTTATAAATGTATTTTGTTTTGCTTTGCGACAGCACACACAGAAAACGGAATGTGTAAAAAGAAATCGCAATAAATTATAGCACAGTAAAGTGGCAACATTTAATAGCATTGCGTTTTTTCATTAATCATCATTAATGTCAGCGACAGATCGTTACGAGAGTGCATTGGCTGGAAAAGCGTGAAAAGCAAGCCAAGGTCGTGAATCATACAATCTACATTTGTATTTGTACATACAGCTGGATCTCCTTACATTACACGATTACTATTGGGAATCAATCAAGCCTCGCATTGTTGCTGCTCCACCCCTTTGCCTAGCCATGAGCACAGCTCGCACTGCCTTTGTGGGCTGTACTTATTGCGGCTGCGTGTCTGGAGCTGGACGTGAGGTCACGCTGAGCAATCGGCAAGGTTTGCTCTAATCTGATGACCAAGTTGTGGCCAGCCGATTCGCATGATTTCTTTCACTTGGCTCACTTGCGGCTTTGCTCAGCTCGGCTCTGCTCTGCTTTGCTCTGCTCTGGGCCTGAGCCTGAGCCTGGTCATGAGCTTTCGCAATTTTAACAAAACACTAAAACACCAAACGAAGCCAACGCAGCCGAGGCCGGGGCAATTTGCGGCAAATCAACATCAACTTGGCAACATGCAAAGCACTTTTGGTTTTCAGTGCCTCATTTCGTTGATTGTTCCCACAATTTTCGTACAATGCTGGAAAATGTACGTGCTCGCTCGTTGTCCCCTGCCCGCCGCATTGTTCTCTTTCTTGTTGTTGCTGTAATTACCTAAAAAAAAAAATAAATAAAAATGAAAATGAAAAAAAAAAATACAAAACGTATAAAAGCCAACAACGTTAAAATTCTTTTCAAATGGCACTTTGAAGCAGGGGTGCTGGCTGACTGAAGTAAGCAAACTTGAAAGATCTCTCAGATCTGGACGCAAATCGCTGAGCGCTGTAATCGTTCACAGATATATATATGTATATATATATGTACAACTCATGTACATTGTATGTACGCTACGTACATATTTAGGAGTAGCAAAGAAGATGTAGCATAAGAGATATGCAAGAAGATCACGTACACGTACCGCTTGAAGAGAGCGAGTCATTTACATGGGGGAGCTTAGAGCGTGCAACATCCAACAACGGATCACAGCAACAACAATGGCCCAGCAGACAGGATCGTGAGCGTGTGAATCAAAATGGAAAATGGAATGAGCATGATCATAAGGGCAGATCGAGTCAGGTGAAGCAGATCTATTACACTTACACATCTGTTTCCCCTACAGTGAATACACTGTGGACAGCATCCGTAAAGGTCACATTTACTTGGCTTTCTGTGAATTTACAACCGAAATGAGATTGTTAAAGCGAAATTCAGCTCCATATTTCACTGATTTTTGCTATAATTTTATATAATATTGACTTTAACTTGGAACGCATTGAAGGAGATGTCTCCGACCCCGTAAAGAATATATATTGTTGATCATCGTCAGTATCAGAGTCCATCTGTCCGAATTTTATAACTTGATAGTTTTGCTGAAAGCACAAGTGGATCGAACCACTATATCATATATCTGGCATAGAACTATATCTGGCATGATGAGTTCCAGATAATAATGAGTGACATAATGATATGAACTCCAAATTAAAATTCAGCCAGAAGATTAACTACGGTCTGCAAAAGTATCTAATCTTCGGCGTGCCTAAGATAATCGTTCTTTCTTGTTTTACTTTAAGTAAGGAACTGATGACACGGCAAATTTACCCTAGAAATATTATTAGTCTCACTTAGTTGTGTATTTTCTCGCATTTTGTTGCAGCAACGAATTGTTTGTGTCCACTCTAAATTGAATTTGTAGGAAAAATTGGCTTAATCTGTTAGTTGTAATTGAAATTGAAAATTGCCTTTATGATTTGGATACTAAAATCTACGCGCTATCCAGCCAGAGCTGTACTATAATCTAATAGTCATAGAAAACAATTTAAGTGCCGGTTAATGTATATTTTCAATCAACTTTGTTGAATCAATAAATAGTCATTGCAAATATTCTGTTTATATCTAATTATCATAATACACGCTTATATGGCTCATTGCACCTTTTATTAAGTTTATCAAAATATTATGCCATTAGCCTAATGAACCCAGATGCAGATAAGTATGAATGCGACTTCAAGTTGCTAGCAAGCAATCAGTTAACACACATTTACATATGCATATATGTGTGTGTTTGTGTATTATATATGTTTGCCTGTTTTTGTTTTGGTTTCTGTTTCGATTGGGTGTGCTTATAAATATTGGCAGGCAATGTGGCTCGAACAACATTCCGCGAGGGATGCCGCGCTTAGTCATGTTGAGCGCCTCCACGCTGTCCGCGAGCATCCTGCGTGCCACATTCAGGTACGCCACATTTATGGGATTCATCTTTTTTGGCATTAAGGGCAATCGAACCGATGGCTGCCTGGTTGCACAGAATCGCTACAGGTACAAGGGCTTCTGTATTTTATCACGGATACTGGTGTGTGTTCTGTATGGATACTTGAGCATTGTGGATATTCTCTGGGTATTGGACAACACGCATTTGACGATACTGGCATGCATTCGCCTGGGTTGCAACATCATCTGCGCCTTCGTCATTCTGATGATGCAGTTTTGGTTTGGCCAACGGGTGCTTCGTTTGGTCAACTGTTATTTCCGGCTATTTCGGAAAGTGAATGCACTGCCTGGCTGCGAGGATGTGGGCTTTGGCGGCAGGCGTGAATTAACTCTGCTCTTCTTCAAGGTGATCTGTCTGCTAAGTCAGATCTTTTGCGAACTTCCCCAACTGTATTCACAGTTTAGCCTCGAGGCATGTATTGAAGTAATTTGCGAAACATACACTGATGTGGGTGGCTCCATGATCGGACATATGTGCTTTGTGGGCTACCTCAGCATTGGGGCCCTGTACGCCCAGCTCAATCGATATGTGCGACACGAGCTGCGACGCCAGCTACGCTCCCTGGAGCAGCCCAACGGGTGCCAGGCGGGTCGACGCGAGTTGAAAGCGGCTGGCTGCCGGCTGGATGAGTGCCTGTCCATCTACGTGGAGATCGAGCGGGTTGGCAGCGCCTTTCATCGCCTCATGGAAATACCACTTTGCCTCATCCTGATGTTCTCCTTTTTGAGCATGGCCGTCGTCTCGTACTACATAATGTTGAATAAATTTCGCGATTTCTCTCTGTGGTTGCTTGTGATAAGATTATTCGTCGATGTCGTCCTGCTCACGTTGGCGATCCATGGAGCGTGCAGCAGTTCCCGAGTAGTTCGCAGGCTCAGCTTAGAGAATTGCTATGTGAGTGAACGCAATGATTGGCACATGAAGGTAAGTTCCCCAGGTGCTACCGTAATAATTACCAATTTTAAATTGCATTATTGCACATATCATTATTTCTCAGTAGTTAAAAAATCCTTTAAGAGTGAATAAAACTTAAGCATAAGTAAATCGGGTTTCAACAAGATTTGTCTTCATTTTTACAAAGACCAGTAATAAAATATGAAGTTTATTCTTATCCCCAATTTAGCTCTCTATGCTAAAGCGATAAAAATCGATAATTCGAGTATTAGGAAAGAATCTGAATATTTGGCTGGAATCGTATTTATTAAAATATTCTACAGTATACATATATATCGGAAGATGTATTGCATGTTATTCAAGCTCTTGTCTAGTCTTGTATTGTCTAAATTTGAAGCATTTTTAAATGAATACTAGACTTGATTCTTTGGACTCATTGCAGATGGAGATGTTCTTGAGTCGCTTAAATTTATACGAGTTTCGCGTATGTCCACTGGGATTATTCGAGATATCGAACGAGCTGATTTTGGTCTTTCTGTCTGGCCTGGTCACCTATCTAACCTATATACTGCAGTACAGCATGCAGACGAACCAAATTTAAAGTGGTTTATGAGTTATGCAACTAATTTATGCGACATATTTATATGTTTATGTTTAAAAACAAATTTGATGAATAAACTACATAAACAAATGCATTTATATTTGTTTTTACTTATTTATTTAAATTTAAAATGATGGGTGAATTAATAGGAAAAATGGTTAAACATTTCTTTTCGGATTGGATTAGAAAGGAAATAGAGAATAGATAGACCAATTTCTGAACGTTGAGAAAGATAAGAATACCATAGTTAAACACGCTCACAGATTCTCCGTTGATATTTGATGTCATAATTACGATTTTTAAGCATGATTAACTTGTCCCCTGGTTAATTTCGAAGCGTATGAAGTCACAATTTGCCTAATGAATTAAAAAGATATGTATCAAATGAAAAATTGCATACTATTTATAGGTAAGTGCTGCACATCGTTGGTTTAGTCATGTTCGGAAGCCGTTGGCGCCTGAGCGCCTCTTCGGTCTCCTCAATCATCTTGCGGACCATCTTCAATTACGGCATATTTATGGGAATCATCTGCTTTTGTGTGAAAAACAATGGCACCGATGGCCGACTGGTGGCCCACAAACTGCACCGGTACAGGTGGTTCTGTTTGTTAATGCGAATAAAGTTGATTAGCTACTATGTTGCATTGCCCATAAGCTTCATCGACGTGTTGAAGATACCGCATTTGAAGATAATCATCTGCAGTCGATTGCTGATCTGCCTGATATGCGCCATTGTCACAATGGTGATGCAGTTGTGGCATGAAGAACAAGTGCTACGTGTCGTCAACAGATTTCTGCGACTATTTTGGCGAGTGAAGATGCTACCGAGTTACCACGATGTAGGCTTTGGGGACAAGTGGCTGTTGCTGGTCGTAAAGGTGTTCTGTCTGCTGTATGAGCTGTGCTACAAGGCTCCAGAGGTGATCGATGAACACAACATATATTTCGCATTAGGTGTACTTTGCGAATTATATAACTTGGTTAATGCTGCAGTGATATATCATGTCTGCTTCGTGGCTTACCTCAGCATTGGTCTGCTTTACGACAAGGTCAACGGTTATGTGCGAAATGAGCTGCGCCAACAGCTAAAGGTCATTGCTAATGGCCACATTAGTCGGCGGCAGCTGAAAGAAGCTGGAATTCGCATGGACGAGTGCCTGGCCATCTACGATGAGATCCACCAAGTGGGCAACACTTTTAATCGACTTTTTGAACTACCTTTCTGTATAAGCCTAATATTTGGTCTCTTGGGCCTGGCGCTAGTCATCTTTTTCATTATGTTTAACGTGGACAGAGCGATTAGTTTGTGGTTCTTGGGCCTTAAGATCTTATTAGATATTTTGCTCTTGACCCTGTCTGTTCATGGAGCGAAGAACAGTTCACTGGTCGTACGGAGGCTCAGCTTGGAGAATTACTATGTTGGCGAGAACAAAGAATGGCACATGAAGGTGAGTCTCCACAATTTCCATAGAATTTAATGTCCAAAAATGTATTATTCATTGCAGATGGAGATGTTTTTGAACCGTTTGAATTATCACGAGTTTCGCGTGTGTCCTTTCGGACTATTTGAGGTATCCAATGAGCTGATTTTGATGTTTCTGTCCAGCTTGGTCACCTATTTTATCTATATACTGCAGAATGGCATACAGTGGGAAAAACTTTGAATCCTCGTCACGCTGTGGGCGCTTTTTAATAATAATAACAACCCTCCGATTATGATAGAGACACCTGTCCTGTGTAGTGGTCGCATGTAAAAATCCAAAAATCCGTTGTCAGGACCAATTCCAGTTTCCGCTTAACGTTTTTCTGTCTCACTTTTCCCATGAAAGTTGGCGCATAAATTATTTATGGGCGAGTTTGTACACATACATATGTATGTATGCATATGTAGTTATGCACTTTTTGCCGTGGAGCAGAAAATTTATGCAGCTACCCGAGCAGCGGAGCTACCGAACGACCGACTGGACAATTCACGCTACGAGCGCATAAAAACAAGGCCGAGGCCGTCGCTCTAATTAGCATAGCATAGCCTGAAGAAGAGGTAAAGGTAAAGGTAAAGGTAAAGGTAAAGTTAGGGGCACAGATAAAGGTGCACTTGCTCGCTGCACTTGTTCGAGGGCTCAGAAAAGGCTGCGTCACTGATAATCAGAAAAAGGAAAAAATAAACAACAAAATGTTTCGCAGAGCCGAGTCGACTATTTAATACCCTTGCACACAGATTAAAGACATTATTCATGTCAAAACTATAACTTAACATATAATAACAGAGTTTCATACAAGAGCTCACTTTATAATCGATCGTTGGGTTGACTTAGATTATAATACTTTCAATACTTTTTAGTTTGATCTAAAACTAATAATTTGCATCTAACCTGATTATGCTAAAATAAGATCAAATATTTATGCAGAACACTTTCTTTGTAAACTTCTAACACGATTATGATAAAATATTAGCAACAATTTGTACAATAAAAACAAAAAACAACTTGTATATTTCTCAGTGAAACAATTATTACATTTGTGAATATTTCCGTAATGTATTACTCAGATTTAAAGAATTATTATGTGTAATTATGGTAAGAAAATGCACAGGCTAACAACATACAACACAACGCAATAATGATCCCTCTGCTTCGCTGGGTTACACATCTATGCAACTCCTGCTGCAAGAGCATCGAAATCAAATTGTCGGATAATGACGAACATTATCTCGGCGTTGACAGAAAGAGAACTGTGCCGTTGTCGTGGCCTGCAACAGAGAGACTGAGATCTTGGTTACTCAGACGGAGACGAAGACAGAGACGGCGACTGAGATTGCGATTGGGATTGAGATCAGTGTATTGGGGGCCTGTGTGCTGCTCCAGATGCGTGCTCCCTATGTGCCTGTGCGTGCCATGTAAACGGCAAGATAATCATAAAACGTAGCAATGGCATTGCTTCAATTATTGTTGTATGTACATGTACATACATTGTAAAAGCGAACCGAATGCGAACGCAGCCGCAGACGCAGACGCAGACGCTGGCGCTGGCGCAGAGTCTTCAAAAAGCAGCACTCGATTTTCCCATGATTGTTCTGTGCTGTGCCGCGACTGCGACCGGTGTGCGGTAATTATGGGTCACCCAGCTCTGCTACTTTTGTAGCATTTTGTGCTCTCTCTTTTCTTTCCGCTTGCAATTATCACACACACACACACACATTCCAGTACGGGCATAGGTGTGTAAGTAAATTAAAGTTTTGGGCTGAAAGGCGAAAGATACTATAAAAAAAGTTAATGATGCTTTCAACATTTCACTAGACAAAAGCACACAGCTCATGCTGAAGTTGTAGCTCAAGTGCAGGTAGCTCTTGCTACCACTGGATACTGGAAACTCTATACAACAACCCTTTCACGTGTCTAGGCAAATGTACAGCTACTTGAAGCAACGGCAACAGCAACAGCAACAGCAACAGCAGCAGTAGCAACAGTAGCGTTAAGAATATTCCAATAAAACAAGCGGATGATAAAAATATCATCATTACGAGCTGAAAGACTGTAAGTCAATCAAGATTATGTATATAGCCGGTAGCTGATTGCCGGTAGCTGGTTGCTAGTAGCCGATAGCCGGTAGCCGGTAGCCGGTAGCCGGTAGCCGGTAGCTGGTCCAGAATCCAGCAAAAGAAAGAGCCAACGGATTGTCGGTTTAAGTTGCAAGCCCTTAACCGAACAACATCCGATGATAACTCATTAGCCAGCAAAAGCCTAACAAAGAAGACAATAAAAAATCAAAAGAAAAAACAAAAAACAAAAAACGAAAGGTTCAACAAATTTTGCACTTCTTCTTGAACAATAAGTTCAAATTACTTTAATGTTGTTACATTCATACACTCCAAATCTGTATATCAGGCAGCTCATTAGTTTTCTCATGAGTATAATTAAGGATGTAATAATTATAATACTTTTGTAATCTAATGTAAAACATTAATCATTACGCCACTTACACAACATGTCAATTGAGTTAGTGCTAATTAAGACATTAGTAATTGGCTATAGGAAAACAAATGTACATCTGTATAACGCTAAGAATAAAATAAAGCTATAAATATCTGTTGCCTCGGTGCATTATTGAATGAAATCAAATATTTAGACAACCAACCTTGTAAATAGGCAAGGTGTAAATTAAATAAAGATAACAATTTGAATACGATGAAATGTTCTATTGTTTAACGTTGAACGGAGACAGAGTACGCTTGATACCATATGGTGTACAAATTCTCAGCAATTGCAACTTTTTGTACAGTCTTTACAAAAGTATATTGCATGTACAGTTTTATTTTTTATTTTTTATTTTAAGCTGCTCTCAGAGAAAACTATTTATGACCATGCTCGTTAAAGTAACTGCGTTCTTGGATTGTATTTATGGAAATAATTAAAAATCACTTTGAATAAATGCAAATGGATTTCACCTTATGTAGCCGGTTCGGTCTTCTAATGTGTTTTTGCAACATCAGAAAATGAATGTACATACTTTATTTATGTAAAGAGATATGTAAAGTGTGTGTGTGTGTGTCTATATATGTTCATAACCATTTACAATAGTATGCACAGGCATTGAACACTTTGTCGTTGTTGTCTCGCATCCAGCCGCTAAACTCCAACAACAACAACAACTCCAACTGCAACTCAAACTCAAAGTCAAAGAATTGGCACGAGCTGAGCACACGTCGCCATCGTCGTCATCGTGGCTCCATGGACATGGGCATGTGACTTGGGGCCTCAAGTCTGTCGCTGTGTACAGTTCTGGCGTGATATTTTATGGCTGCACACATGGCGAATGCAGAATATCTGCCCCGACTTGGCCTCGGGGGAACTCGTTTTGTGGGCTGTATGGGCGAGAGGCGCAAGCGAGCGCGCGTAGGCGCTGCATCAGCATCAGCATTAACATCAGCAGCATCAGCAGCAGCAGCAGCAGCAGCAGCAGCGGCAGCAGCAACACTCGGAGCAGAAGCAGCGCGTGTGCGATGTGCCAACATCTGGAGCTGGACCAGTTTGAAGTCAGCGTCGCACAGTAGCCAAAGGCGCACAGGTACACAAGCACACACATACATACAAGCACACACATGCAGACAGACAGACATACATAAATACGAACAAACAAACACACAAAACATATGTACATCTGGACATTGGGCGAGACTTGAGTCCAGGGCGCAAGATAATCGATGTATACTAATTATTTGCTTTGGCTGCAACTGTTTGTCATGCTCCGCAGTGCGCCGCTTCGGTACAGCAAAAACAAAAAGCACAACAGTAGCCAGTAGCAGGCAGGCAGGCAGCAGGCGGGAGGCGGCAGGCAGGCAGCCAGTCAGCCAGCAGCCAGCCATCCAGCAGCCAAGAGCCGATTGGCAGAGTCTCCAGTCTCCAGAATCGCACTCAGAACTTGAGATTGTGCATGGGCTAAAATAATGGTCATCGACAGCATCAGCAACAGCAACAGCAGCAGCAGCAGTTGCAGCAGCAGCAGTAGCAGAGGGAGGGGGTTCCTGGCTAAGAGTCTTGGGCAAGGTTAAGGCTGCAAGCGTTGTGTTCGGGTTGGACCACTACGAACGGTAGTCAAGTTTAGACACCTTAAATATACACAGGAAAGCGTCACTTAGCCTCTCGTTCCAAAAGCGACAGGCAGTGGGCGTGGCACACTCAGTCTGCCCCAGCAGACTGCACTCAGCTGCACTATTAATTACATGGACAGAACACGACTATTATTATTATATGTGTGTATGTATCTAAATGCATACACACTATGTGCAGATACATTTGAATCTGCTGAGATTGCACGGCTTGCAAGGTCAGTTCTGTAAAATGCTGCGTTAAGATCTGCACAGATCGATTTCAATCAACACCCCACCACATTAAAGCACAAAAGGCAAAGCTCGCGATTCTCTTTCTCTCTCTCTCTCTCTCTCGTTCGACAACAACAAACAAGTTTAGCCAACATCAAACAACAAAAAAAGGTACAGTCACAAAGATTAACAACAACAGCAGCAGCAGCAGCAGCAGCAGCACAAGCAGCAGCAGCAGCAGCAGCATCGCTGTCGCTCTCGCTGCTGACGTCAAAGCTTGGCAGCGGCACGTTCAGCTTTTTTGATTTGGCCGAGACGTGTGGCAAGCTTCAAGTTTGGAACAGGTTTTTAATTTCAGATTTTGGAGCTGTGTTGTGCAAAAAGTTCAACAACTGCGCTCAGCGCCGCCGTCGACTGCAGATGGCTGGCTGGCTGTCTTTCTGCTTGTTATTCTCGTGCTGCGGAGCGCGGCCCGAACGCTGCTGCCACTGCAAAAAACAAGTAGCCAAAAGACAGCGACAAACGAGCGAGCGTTGCGTAAATTACAAGCAAGCAACCAGCAGCAGCAGCAGCAGCAGCATACACACACACACACACAAACAATTTGATATTATTTTTCTTTACGATCGACGCCGACTGTGACGGCGAAAGCGACGTCGGCCCCAATTGACGCTCCCTCAATTCGCTCAAGACGCGCTCTCGCTCGCTCGCTCTCTCTGCTTGGTTCTCTCACGCTCACGCTCACGCTCACGCTCTTATGCTCTTATGCTCTTTCTATTGCTGTTGTGTGCTTTTTTGTGGATTCCATTTGCCATAAAGTGCGTTAATTTGTTGGAAAGTGGGTCAGCACCAATTTCGGTTCATCGAACACACAAATAACAAACCGTCGTCGTCGTCTCCTCTCCGCTGAGTGTGCGTGCCCGTCCCCCATACTCGCGGAGCGGCCTTAGGCCTTTCCCCTCGCTCCAGTCCAGCCATTCAACAAAATGACGCATTGGCTTGGGTTCACGTACCTTTCGGAGTACGCTACTGAATGTGTGCGGGGCATGCGACTGTGAGTGATTCATGCAACTGCATTCAAAGCTAAAGAAAAGGAACAATAGCAATAACGAAAGCATCCCTTTTGCCGCATTCCTTATGGATTTACTCATACCGAAAACTAAAAGAAAAATAAAAATACCGTAAATCCATTTATGGTCTGAAAACGCAGACAAATTTGTGATTTATGGCTAAAGTTGGTCTTATTGGGGTCCATTCTGATATATCTAATGCCACCATTAGTATAGACTTGACTTACAAAATTTGTAATCAATAATCTGAAAATTTTAAGCTCAACAAGGCAAATGAGTATTTTACAAAATCAAAAGTAAATATTTGTTGTTAAACATTTGATAAATTGACATAAACATTACAAAATTTGATCGATTGTACTTAAAATCTTAATAACAAATCGCCCCTCAATTTATTGCATTTTAGGCTCTTTGACTTATAACTGCAAACAGTTCTTAAAGCTGAAAACATACTTCAATTCGGCCTATTTCCACAAGTAGGCCATCAGAGATTCGTTGAAGACCGCAACGCTTGCTTGCCCACTTGTTAACGCCTTGTGTATTTAGGCCAAAACGAGTATTGGCATTTGCCGTTCTTGGCTTATGGATGAAGTGGGCAAAGGGGGTTCTTCTTTTCAATGTGCTCTCTAAGCATGTATGAGTATTCGAATTCGTATTCGATATACTGCTTACTGCCTTCCCCCTTTGATTTATCATGCATTCAGCGCATATGGACAATCATATACACATATAGTACATATGCGGGGAATTTGTTATTATTTAAGAAAAAAAATAATAAAAAAAAGCGATGGATGCGCAAAGGTTTGTGTGTGTTTATTTTGTTGCTCTGAATATATCCCGTATGCTGTATGTTCTTGCTCTAAATTGAGTTTAAACATTATTCGGGCACGCTTGTTTATCAAGTGCTCCCGTTCGGCCGCCTTCGCAGTCACGTTTTGAGAACTGGGGGTTACGAGCAAATACTATAATACTATATGTACACGGGATGACAAATAAAGTTGTTTGTTTGTGTCACGTTTACGAGCACACGATCTCAATCCCAGACAGGCAGCACTTGCTCTCGCACGATTGTTGTTTTCTATTTTGTTTCTAGTCATTCGCTAGTGAAAGTATTCCCAAATGAATGAATGAGGCATATGACGCTGCAGATGATGTTGGTAATTTCTCTGTTATTGTGGTCCATAAATAATTGCTAAGGCAATCAGCGATTAATCATTCATCTATATATTACTATTTATTATATATATTAATATCTTTAGTGAGTGTATTTTAGTGTAAGGTAAACAGTTCCCTCGATCTTTCGTTATCATTATTTTTCCTGGAATACCTGCAATTCCTTCTTAGGATATGAATTGAAATGAATAGATAATTAAATCATTTCGAGTACATTTTGCTCTTAATTGTAAATACTAATGAATCATTAGTTATTCGATTTATTTTCTTATCTTAAATTTTTGCTCATAATAAAATCGCGTTGAGTTTATTACTGAAAATACTTGCCTTCTATGGGTAGCAACATTCACTTACTATCTAGAGCATTGGCTCAATGAGTAATTTGACTGTGTGTTCTGCTTTTGTTGTTATTTTTACTTAGCAAGTGTTTACTTTCAAGTGCTGAGTTATCCGGATCTAGATAGGGACCTGTTTCTAGATCTGTCAAAACACGTAAATGTATTAGTCTATTGCCCATGAAGGGTCTTTTCTTAACATAGTTTTCGTTATTGAACAGTTGCTTTTAACAACAATTTTGAATATGAATACAAGAAATTTTCTATTGAACAAGAGGAGTTTTTGATTCTTTTCAAAACTTGCTTTTAGATGGACTTACTAATCTTGATTCTAGCCCGAAATTCTTTATTCTATGCAATTTGTCAAGATGCACAATTGTTTTCCCTTTCCATATTGAAAACAAAAGACAACATTTCATTTTGAAATGAATGCTTTTCACAGATACTAGTGGTGGTTGTGGTGCAGCAACAGACACAAACTAGTGTCCTACGAGCTATGTCAGAGGTCAATACGCTTCTTGCCTTAGTTGCTGATATGGAAGTGTGAGGCCTGAAATTGAATAGAATGTGTATTTAATTAGCTCTAAATGTGCCGCTAGTTGCACACACATCACGATTCTTACGCATGCTCGTAAGTCATATGCACAACCACAGCCACCGCAGTAGCCACAGCAAATGGTTGCACAACCACAAACTGGGAGCTCGAGCTGTGCCCTTAGCATGGGGCCACTATCGTGGAGTGTGCGGCATCTTTCAACTGCAGCGTCGGCATGCGGACAACAATGCGGCAACAAGAACAGCAACAACAATAACAACAACTACTTGGTCTTTGGCCATTCTGTGTTCTCCTCAAGCGGTTCCATCATAACCTTATCCGTTCTATCCCCTCCCCGCCGCCACATACGTCCCGAGCAATGGGATTTGCCAAGAATTTTCAAAGGCATCACAGTCGGGTGGGGAGCCGGGCTAATTAAGTACGTTGCAAATACTTGGAATGGCCAGCCCTGCTGAGGCAGGAAATCGAAACTGGCTAATGGGGCGGGGCGGCCTGGACTGAGACTGGCCGGAAATATGCATGGCTTGGCCAAGCTTTTGGCCACCAGCCCCAAATGAGCAAAAACAAATTTGAATGCGCCGCGTCAGGAAGAATTGGGAGCTACGTACATTTGCCACAGCAACGTGTGCAGTCGACCAAAAAACAGACAAATTTATTCCGTTGCAACATATGAGAGTTTTCCGCATATAATTTGTATACCCTTACATTGTGTAGGCGTTGCTGAGTTTATAATATATGAATATTATTGAATTATTATGAAAAAGCCTTTTTCAGCTTTGTTTCGTAATATTTAATACTAACTAGAGTTCTCTGACTTTATCTGCATGTATATTTTTACTTAGATAAATTTAAATAATTCTGCTTTTTTTAAGATTTCTATAGTTGAGTTACTTTAATCAATCAATTATACAACCAGTTGTATTGTGTCGCAATCGTCTTGGGATAAAAGCTAGAAAAACAAGTTTAGTCATAGATAAGACTCTTGCCTGCAACGCAGACTTGGATTAAGATTGGCAAGCAACGAAAATGTGTCGTATATTTCATGTCTCCGCTGCGAGCATTTCGATAACTTAATGCGAAAATAATATGAAAAAGTGTTTTTTACTCCGATTGCGAACGCTATTTGCTTAATATTTTGAGAGAGATTCGTTCAGCAAGGGATTTTTAGAGAGCGAGCAAAACCTTTAATGTTGTTGGCTGCAGCGAATAATATTCTATGTTAATATGAATATACTTCATGCGTCACTTATGTATGCATAATGCATTTACGATTTAGTGTTAATTGAATACAATGTAAAGATTGACTGCTGCTGCTGCTGTTGTTGCTACTGCTGCCAACACCTAATTTGAGAGTATTTAATCTGCGACCTGCGATGTTTATCGCAATTCGCATGGCATTATTTTTGTTTGCTGTTTTGTTAGCTTTGTTCGGTGCACGAGTATTTTGCCAAGCGGATCACACACTGAACGCACATGGGTCAGCAGCAACGGTGCTGGGTTCAGGTTCAGCTGACGACACTGCCAACTAACCTCGACGTTATACTTACTATGTACTTGTACTTGTGTGTGTGTGTGTGTGTGGATGTGTGGATGTGTGGATGTATTCATGTACATGTATATTGTACGTCCGCATAATAGGCGTGACAAGCGCGTTCCGCTCGGCTGGCGCCCAAAAATAATCAAAGACAAAGACGCTTTTTTAGATGACGATGTTGATAATGGGGCGGCAGTGGAGTGGGCGGAGTAGGAAACGGGCATGCCAGCCAGACGTAGCTATGTTAATTACACCGTGTTAGCTCCGAATTCGGGCTGTTGTTGTTGCTGTTGTTGTTGTTTTTGCTGGTGCTACTGCTGCTCTTACTGCTCCTCCTACTGCTACTCCTACTGCTGCTGCTGCTGCTGCTGCTGCTGCTGCTTAACGAGCACCGACTTCTCAGCACCACCCATCTCCGAATTGTATCATTTGGAAGTAGTACGTATAATGGGGCATAATATAATGAACGATAATATGAGCAGCATTAATTTCCAAAGTTCATTGAAATAAGTCTAAGAAATGTTCGGCTTAGAAATGTTTGCGTGGGCTGTGAAAGCGCTTTCATAGTTTTAGGCAGCCCTTAAATCAAAAACCACTACTTGAAACTTAGACGCATTGTTGCCTCTGTAAAATATACATATATACATATGCAAATGTGCTCATTGAACCCGCAGCTATTTGGTTTTCAGTTGATTCGTTTGGTTCCCTCAAAGCGCACAGCAATTGAAATGTGTTGGAACGAGTGTTTATAAATAATACCCTATGAACCGTTGACACACCATACGTTTTTTTAAAGCAATTGACTCACAAAGAAGTATTGATAATGTTGTATTTGTTGCTTTGGGGTTGTTTCCATTTCTCATTCATTTTCATTATCAATTTAAATGCATTTTATACCATGAAAAAATGCAAACAACTTTGAACAAAGTGTTCCAATTACAGAAAAGTCGATAATTACACTAATCTTAAATTAAAATCCAGTTACAAAAATCAATCAATCGAATTAGTAAATGTCAAGATAAATATCTTCGGCTTCTATTAATATGCTGAAATGTTTTTTTTCACAATTTCCTCGCTCATATCGAAGCCACCAGTATAGGCGAACTGTATCAATATAAATAAATATGTTACGATTGCCGATAAAATTGTCGGTATTAATTCGTTGCTTAGCTGAAGGATGCCCAGCACAGTGATTTCCAATTGCTGCGTTTTCAGTTGACCCAGAAAAGACTCCACCTATTCAAAATTGACAAACGGGAACATCAGTTTATAAATGTTGTGCATGTTTTTCAACTTACGCTTTTGTCCCATCGCACATCTATATCGGTACAAATAATATCCAATGGCAGAGTCTGTGGCATCTGCGACTTGGTGATCGTATAATCCGCACACATGATCAATAGCACAATATTGGCCAGCTTAATGGCAATCATCAGGATGTGCACCCAATCACCTTCGGATGCCTCCAAATAGTTCAAAATATACTCGTACAGCATTAGCAGAAGGACAATAAAATTGTAATAGATATAAAACATAATTTGCCATTGGAAGATGCAGCAAAACGAGATAGTTATCTTATACAGCTCGCTATAGATAATGCCACACACTTCCAGCTCATCCGCCCGATCGCAGAGCAAACACATACGCTTGTAACGACTGAGTTGGACAGGCGGAGTTGGATTTGCCATATCGGATTCCTCATCCTGGCAATCCATAATGTCGATGGAACGCATTTGCTGCAGCATTTTTGCAATGTGGGCACCCATATGCTCGTAGAGCACGCCGGATACGCATAAGCCCAGGAAACAGGCATCCAGTAAGAAAAGTGTGCCCAGCCACAAGTAAACGGCAATCACTCCGCTAAGCACACGAGTCACTTCCATATTCATCACATAACTCAACGGCAGCAGCTGTGGCAGCTCGTAGAGGCAACCGCTGATCGTCAGTAGCAGTTTTATGGTGTACAATGTGACAAACTTGAGCGGGAATAGGTGTTGGGATTGCGTCAGCGCACAGATGCGTCCATGGACTGCTATGTAGCGATTCAGTATGGCCATAAATTTGGACTCCGATCGCACCTGCTTGATGAAGGAAGTAAAGGCAAAAATTGACACCGAGGTCGACTGCAGCGAGGCAAAAATAGCTGCATAGCTTTGCGGCGATTTCATCATATAAAAGATTTTGGGTATCATGAACCAATAGATGCTTATCAAAATGGCGCGCCACAATAAGATCAACAGACGATTGCTTTGACGACGCGGCGCCTTCAGCTGCACTTGATCCCGCTTCAGATCCAGCGTGCTGGACAGCAACGACAATCCCCGTGCCGCATGGTAGAGCCCCAGCAGCAGTCGACCCGACCAGAGGTGGCCGCGACCAACTGGCGTATTGTGCTTGGACATGGCCAGGCATTAACTGACCCTGCTGATATTAAACTATATACATAGTTGTCCCATGTCCCAATGTCCTGCTGCCCAGTTGCTTTGCTGTTGATTTTATTAATTGAATGTGTCTAGATATCGGCAATTGCGTTTCACGCTTGGCTGAGTGCCTCGCTGACTGATTAGCCGCTGCCAGAGAACCAGAGCTGGATACACACTGGCAGATGGAGACGGTGCCGGAGTTGGGGACGTAAGCACAGAGCACAGCGATACGAGCAGGGCCCGACCCGTTGATGGACAGGCCACGTAGTGTCGCCCTCGCCACACCCCTTGGACCCACTTGTGCCTGTCAGGGACGCACATTGGAACAGATGGTGCTCAAAACAGCGCGTAAAATGATATATCATCGGCTATTTTCAGTGCGAACTGCTTCGATTCCCAAGTAATTTAAGACTTGTGTAATCGAACCCATTTGCAAGGCTGTTTTGCAACAATAACTGGGCTTGTTCAACTAACATCGATAACTAAAGCAGTTGAGGTTTGATCAAAAGGTTGTACTACTGGAAAATCTGGAAAGTTGCGGTAATATTATTACATAATATTGTAAGAGAGAAGAGTCGTATTTTCAAATGTAAAGCATGGTCAAAGCTAAAGGCTTTTCTTTGTATCTAGACTTTAAAACCGAAGAAGGGATTTTTGTTTGTATTAGAAATCCATATTAATTATTTTAAATTACCTTGCTTAAGTTAAGAACTTTTCAATTCGCAAATTTCTGTTTCAATGTGCATAGTAATTGTGATATGCATCAATAGAAAATTTCATTACAAATTCAATTTCAATTCGCTCGCTAGCGATTATATGGAGCTGATTGGTTGTGTTATTGTTGTTGTTGCTGTTTGACATTTGAAGTGCCACACTCCCACTGTTGCAAGCAACCAAACACGTTTGCTGGACATTAGAATGTGACGCGGTTCAATGAACTGCCACAAACAGCAATATCCAGCTAGAGGAGGAAGTGTTGTATGTTCAAAGACTGGCAATAGAAAAACAAAGTCAATAGCCTTTGAGTTGCTTTCTACAACCAGCCAGAACAACAACAACAAGAACAGCAAGAACAACAACAACAACAAGCAGCAACAGGTCTAGGCTGTTGTTGCTGCTCCTGGCTTGATCATTGCCTCTGACAACGCTACGGTAAGCAGGCAAGCAGGCTGGCAAGCAGGCGTGCAACAAGCCTTGCCCCATAACTGGTTTTATTTTTCCCGATGCCCAAGCCGTTGCAAAGCGAATGCAAGCCAAGCCTCGCCTCGCCTAGCCTAGCCTAGCCTAGCCTAGGCCCATGCATAGATAGATAGATAGTAGAGTCTTTTGCCAGTACAGCATCCTGCAACTGCAACTGCAACTGCAACCAGTTTACGTACAGTTCCCGATTCCTCGACTCTCGACTTTTCACTACTCATCGCGTCCGTGTTATTGCAGCTAAAGTACATGAAGTAATTGCATGGAGCAAGTCTGACCCCAGCCGTGATGTTGATGCTGATGTTGATGCTGCTGCTGCTGCAGCTGGAGCTCCATCAACTGGCGGCCAATGAACTGCCACTATAAAAGACAATAGGAGCGGGCCAGGGCTCAAGCCCTTGCCCGGGTGCATCTGCTGGAGCCCAGTGTGTTGTATTGCTAAATTGGAAATAATTGCAGAGAGGCAGCAGCAGCCACAGCAGCAGCAGAATGCACGTGTGCAGCTCATCTTGTTGCTGTTGTTGTTGTTGTTGCTGTTGTTGCTGTTGTTCTTGTTGTTGCTGTTGCTGTTATCGCGTTTTTGTAGTTGTATGTTTTGTTGTTGTTTTTTTTATTTTCTAGTATGACATAAAATACGAGACATGGCGAGGCGAACCGAGCTGGAGGCAGACAGGCGGGCAGCAATACGAGTTGAATCTGCAAAGAGAGCAACAACAACAAGAGAAAGCAACAGCAACAACAACAACAGCAACATGCGGAAAATACTACTCGCGAATAATAACAATTATAAAAAGTTGTGTGCACTGCGATATACAACAAAAGCAAAACATTATAAAGGAAAAAGTTCAACGACATTAGGAGATTAGAGACCATTCACCAGACAACAACCAAACAACAACAACAACAACAACAACTACATTAACAAGCAACAATGCCCATGCACATTTGAATGTGCCCCGGTGTGTGTGTGTGTGTGTGTGTGAGTGTATATATTTGTGTATATATTCATACATATATGAGAGATTCATCGAAGAACTCTGACGGTTGACGCATAGAAAAAACAAAAAAGTCATCGACATCATATGGATTTTTTTATATGCCGATATGTTAAGATCGGCGAGGGGAATGAAAGAGGGGAAGGGGGGAGGGGTGGAAGGTGGGGGAGACAGGGAGGAATAGGCATAGGGGACACCAAGAGACGCAAGGGGCACGGGGCAGAGGTTGAGTGCATATAACATAACAGAAGACAAAAAGAACATAAAAATACAAGAACCCAGCCGGAGACAGGAAAATGTTTTTCATTGTGCGATCGGTGCCTTGGAAAATGTGATGGAGGGTCGGTGGGATAGACGCAGTCACAGCAGGCATTGGAGTCATTATTAGAGTTGCGGGAGACATGCCCCATGCGTTTGCATAAGCAACAACAAGAATTTAAAAAACACAGAAAAAAAAAAAGATTTAAAAAAAAAAACCAAAAGTCAGTCCATGCAAATGATGAGCTCTTTCTGTGTCTGTTTACGTTGCAGTGTGGCATTGGGGCCAGGCCGAGAGTGCGCCTCCACCCCCAAAGTTTGCTGCACGTTTTGGCGTGTGTTGCACAAAATGCCACACTTGGATGCGCGTTGATCTTGCTATTTACGGATGCAAAAGATGCAACCCCTACATAGCTATGAGGCGGCATTTGCTTACTTTTAATTTTGATATTTTATGACGTTGCAAGATGCTGAGAGTCGGCACAGTCAGAGTCGCATATTCAGAGAAATAGGAACACTTTGGTCTTCTGGGTGTGTCGGCCATATGAAAATCACCTAACAAGAAAGTCAACTACTGTATGCCCTTAGTCCTTATGTCAACTATTCAATTTATTATACATCTGATTCATTTCTCTCGTCAATTCATTTTTCTACTTTTAACTGTGACAGCTTCTAATTAATTCTCATTCAGATTCAAAGTAGGAGATTAATAATAAAAAGTAAGCGGATTATAGATGCGACAAAAAAATGCTGAGTGTTGCAAATTGTATTATCTAGAAATATTTATGTGTTATTTATAAATATTATCTCTTTGTTCTATAATATGTGTAATCGCTTTTAGAGTACAACATAAGTTTGTATATTCTCAGATCACTTAATTAAGATGCCACTCGAAAGTGTAGTTCATTTTAAATAGAACTCGGCCAATATTTATAATGTTTACAAAAGGGTCTTAGATAACAGGCTGTTTGTGTGTTGACCTATTTTTCTTATTATAATAGAAGTTGATAACATACAATAAAATACAATAATAATATCTGAATGCGAGTTCCTTTTTCAGCAACTGCTAACTTTTAACTTCACTAAATTTAACTAAATTCATTTCAATTTTCAATTTGCTTGTTTTTCTACTGTTGCCTAAGATTTTGGGTCTAAGATAATAAGATAAGTTAACAATAATTGAGATATTTGACTAATTTGAGCTGTTGTCAGATCTATTGTAATATATCTGGTTTTCCTTATTTTTAAGTAGTACCAATAATTGCGCAGAGATCCGTACTGAAGACTTCGCAAGCTGGTCAAGTTACGCCATTAAACAATAGTCTTTATTTGATTAATATTGTTACACATGGGCAAGCTTTCTCCACAAGTCATGTTAGCCACTGTGTAAGGGTATAGCTAGAGAACCGCTGCTCAATTTGATTAGGTTTTCAAAATCAATTCCCCAAGACCAAGACAATCTTTATTTGTTTTACCGCCTTTGTGAGAAAATAAACAAGGGGGCATCTGCAGACGATACTGTCCGGTGCCAGATATCTGATGCTGGCTATTGGATCTGCCAACGAGTTGGGAAACTTTGGGCATTTCATTCACTGCGTCTCGCCTTTGTTTGTTATCACTTGAAGTTTAAGGCATTTTTACGAATTGATTAAGGCGACGTTTGTTTACAAGCAGGTAAACAGAAAGCCCAGAGGGAGGCAGTGAAAAATAGTGAGAGAGGGAGAGTTGCTGTGGAGAGTGTAACACAGAGAAAGATAGGGAGTGTGAGAGAGAGAGAGAGAGAGAGAGAGAGATCGGATAAGCTTTTCGCTTAAATGGTTTTACAGTTGAATTGCAAACATGTTCTCAACGGCTGTTCTCTCCGGCTCCATCTCCGTCTCTGTGTCTGGGTCTGCGGCTGCGACTGGGGCTGGCTTTGTGCTCATTAAGCAAAGCATGACGAATAACTGCAGCGTGGATGCGACGAGCGCTGACGTTGACGTTGACGTCAGCACACCTGACAATTTGTTAATGAGAGCAACAGGTTCAGCGACGCGACAGGAAGCGAAGCGATAAAACCAAAAACCAAAGCAAGCGAAACGGACAACGACTGACTGGATGACGGATGTCCTGCTGAAGAGAGACAGAGGGAGAGAGAGAGAGAAAGCAAGAACCAGATCCACTGCCAGAACACAAGCTCAATTAACTGTTGATTGGGAGTATCCGACTATCAATAACAGTGCTTCTTCTCACCTGAGCACCACAAAGTGCGAAACTGATACATGAATAATAACTCAAGTCGGGTAATTAAAATGAGATATAGGATTGATCTGTGAATTTGATGTCTCTTAGATTCTTTACCTTTATTATCACACAAAATCCGCTGATCAAACATCGATTTATATCAATAAAATGAACTCCTGTGAGTCAAACTTTCGTAGTCATAAGACGACTCAACAACTTCAGAGAAGTTAGCTTCGATCTGTGAAACACATCTGCACAAGTTCCCACGACTGGGTCTAAGGGCTACAGGGTATACGAAACTAAAAA